CAAAAGGCAACTGGACTTTGTTTTTTTCCAGAACTGTGGTTCTCTGTCATACATCAAAATTCCTTGGGGTATTTTGGGTAAGGTTTTTAGGCTCTGATATTGAAATGTGGTTATTGTACTAGATTGTGGTGCGATCTGCCCCAAGGAGATGCTTCTTCATCAGAGATACCTATATTATCTTGACAGAGAGTCAAGTCTGTACATTCCACCATAGTACTTCTGATTAAATTTGGCACATGCTAAACAGAGAAGAGTTGTCAGTATCATACAATTATCTCCTTAGTCAGCTCTGGGCATTTGCCCCATTACCAGTTGCATGCTAGTGGAATGGTATGGGCTGAGGTCAAAAGAGAGGGGAAGAATTAAGCATTTCCCCAGATAACTGATTACATTAAGGAACATAAAGTGGATAGAAATTTGGTTTTCCAAATAGGAATATGACTGTGAAAGTTGGCTAAAAATGAATTTTGCTGTTGGAGAAAATTATTGAAAATACCTTAGAGAATGAGAAGAATAAATACTTCAGTACCAGATGAAACAAACCCAAACTGCTTATTGGGGCAGGGAATACTAATATAAAAGCAACACTTTTGAAAATTTTGGAAACAATGTGAAGATGAGATAAAAGATTGAAAGCAAAAAGAAGACAGTAGAAGATGAAATAACTAGATAGTGTATTGTTACTGTGAAAATAAATTTACAAGAACTCAGAAAAGCAGTTACTGTATTGATGACAGATAATCCTATCAACATAATGTCCATACAAAAAAATCAAAAGTAGCTGAATCACAACAAAAACAGGAAGTTTTTAAAAACAAACTTTCTGTAGGAATAAACCCTCCAATATATATTTAATTCATTGTTCTATTGCAGCCTGAGAATCCCCTGGTCATGAGCCATTCTAATTACTTTTAGAATTACTTTTACTTATGTTCACTATTGGTTGCAGTTTCATGCCAACTTTCAAAGGTATTGGGAGCAACAGTTTCAAAATTCCTAAGGCCCCAATGTGAGGAATGCTGTTTTTGCTCTCTGGTGGGGTACTCTGCTCTTTCTGTAATCCTGATTTCCCTCCAGAAGCAACTTTAAAATTCTTGAATAAGGAAACTGTAAAAGGAAACATGCCATAAAGTATTGAGATGATAATAAATGACATTTTCATGCTATTCTGTGTCCTAAATGTCATGCAGTGATCTAAAACTGTGTTTAATTGCTATGTATTCAGTCTATTTAAACAGTAGGGAGGAGAACCTTGCTTTACAAATAAGCTAAAGGAAGATTCTCTCTTGTGTTATTTAACACCATGGTGTAGTGCAACTAAATTGTTCTGCCTAACAATTGGAGGAAGAAAAATCCATCTGGTTCAGTTCCAGGCTGGGAGAAAGGCGCTGGAAATAAAATGGAGACTGATTGGAAAGAAAGTTTATTGATGGACAGAACCACGGTGTGCAGTTCTGGGACAGCTGACCAATTGGCTTGATTAGTGCAAGGGTTTTTATACAGTTTCTGAAATGCTGCAGGGATTGTGCAATGTAGTGAGCCTGATATCTTTTGCTATTCCAATGGTGGTGGGTTAATCCTTTTATGTCCTAAAAAGTCAGGTCCTGTCCTTAGAATCTGGGTGGGGGAAGGATGTAAATTTTAATCCCAGTGCTGGAAGTGGAGGTGTATTGTTTGTGAATAGGTTTGGCCCAGGATTTCTTAATGAGCATCTGCTGTAGGCTATTAAGAAAGACTGGTGGCTGCTTTCTGCCTCTAAGAACATGTTTTCCCATTTCTCCTTTGGGGAAATATAATATTCTACCTCTTTTAATATTCCCCAAAATATTTCATTCTCGGGGGGTGGGGGGCTTCCCACACTATCTTCGTAATGATATTATCAAGTTGGTACAGGAATCAAGACAAAATACTTATTACGAATCTTAACTAGAGATGCATTATATATCTTGCCATAAAACAATATCCATCTGTGTATATAGAAAGATAAAACATAATTTCGCATACACAGCTTGCAACATCTTGATGTACAAGCTGGCTTCATAGCACTAAAACAGATCAAGTAATGTAATGCAATTAATAATGTTTGCATTGTTACACCCACACTAACATCAGGAGAGAGGGGGGCATTATTTAAATGGAATTTAGTTTCTATTCTGCTTGTACATTCAGAAAGTAATGAGAAACTGAATTGGGTTGAAAGAAGCTAAACATCCCTAGGACCACATATGTCTTTGATTCATCTTGAGAGAAGTGCAAATCAAAACAATATGCTGGAGATTTATTTATTTCTAGTGAAATACATTTATTTCCCTAAAAAACCTAAAGATAAAGATTTCTCCTGTCCAGTTGTGTCTGACTCTAGGGGGCACTCATCTTCGTTTAATTGCCGAGGGAGCCAGTGTTATCCAAATACATTTCCATGGTCATGTGGCCAGCATGACTATAGCCCTAGGGCCTAGACATATGGAGCACTGTTATTTTCCCACCAAAGTGTACCTATTTATCTACTCATATTTGCATACTTTCAAACTGCTAGGTGGGCAGGAGTTGAGGCAAGGATGGCAGCTCACTCTGTCACATGATGCTCAGGTCTCAAAATCTGGGCTATCAGCTTTCCAGTTGACAAGCTCAGTGTCTTTAACCATTGAGCCATCACACCCTCTTATAGAAAACCTAGAAGCTGGTAAGAGGTTGAGCTGGAGATTTCATCACTTGGGCTTTCTTCTTTAGGTTAAGTGAGATGTTCTAGCAGAATGTATATTCCATATATTAATTGTTTAATGATCTCATAGAATTATAGACACCATCTTCTTCTCTAGTCTACATATAATACAAGTTATAGTGACTTCATCTGATGTGAAAAAAATATCAATATCCTGAAGTGATGGACAAATGCAATACATTTTTCAGATATATTTTAAATCTATTAGCTGCTTTTACAGATGGCCAAACAGATTTTAAGGAGACAAAATAAGAATTGCTACTCTGAAGAGCAACATGACTCATGATTAGGAAAATGAAAGGAGCAAGTTGAATATATTTCAGTGATTGGTTTGTAGGTATAGTAGCAGTGACCAATTCTTTGTAGATTCCTTGTGAACAGTAATGTAAGTTGTAAATTATCACTCTTATTTGCATTCATTTCAAATGGATTCAAAACATTTTAAATCATGAAATATTTTTTCCTCACAGAAATATTTATCAACAGGCTGTTCATATTATTGATCTTTTGAAAAAAAAATGGGGTGATTTAAGGAAAACTGTTTGCTTGAGCCATTTTGAGACAGTTTCCAAAGCAGTATTCATCAGATAATAATCATGTTTGTGACCAGAAAACATAGTACAGTAGTTTAAAACCACAGGGAGTTCCCAAAGTAAGATATCTCTTGCTTGTGTCCTTGTGATTGTAAAGTTTTGAAAATGAAAAAGAATTGTAGGGAATACTTTGGTCTCTGATTCCTGTCATTCCAGATACTCCAATTACAAATACTGCAGTAAATATAAGTATGCATTATGAATAAAGCATTTAGCCTCTTAGATGCAGTCATTGTTTATTGACATAAGACAGGCACAAAAAGATACCAGTTCTGAGACTGATTGACTGAACTGCTGCCATAGTGCCTCTTTTATGAATCTGGGTATGATGCCAGTAAAGCACTTCACATATTATTGCATAAATTTGTAGCTCTCATACATTTAGAAAACTCTTTTGAAAGAGTCCCTCTTCAATGGCTGAATACCAAATGCAGATTAAAACCACGTATATGCCAAAGCTGGATATTTAAAGCTACGATTTATGCCATTTCCCAGGATTTTAGTTTTAATTCGTGAAATTTTAATACATGTACCTTCTGCTTTAGGAGAATCAAAAGAATGAGGATTAGACGTGCACTTTATTTCAAGATACTTTTTTAAAAAATGAAAATACACTGGTACACAAGACCTGTGTTAGTATTTTTTTTTAGTATTATAGCCTTGACATTCAATAAAAAGCAATAGCCATAATGCTTGAAACAGTATTCTGCACTGATGAAATCTGCTAACTTTTTAGTACTGTTTGTGCAAACAACTTGTACATGCAGATGCATATATTTTGCCTCAAAATCTCTAATTTCTTGCTGTTTGTTATTTTACATACAGCATCCTTTTTAAAGAACAAGCATAGGCAGTATATGAGAATTCGCATCATATTGTAACCATTTCCACACCTGGTTTTGGTGGTTAGCCCTACAGTCTAATACTATCACTGAGCCCATTTATTTCCAGCTCAAGTTCAGCTGTGGCTTGGCTGGCAAGGAATGTGCTGCTGTTGAAACTAGATGTTCTGCAGAAATTAAAGATATTATTTCCTGGGTGCTTTGACTACCAGTTCTTGGCTTTCCTTCCCCCTGCACACAGCCATTCATAAAGCTTGCCTTTCATAAGTTCATCTGAAAGAGGTCATAGAGGCATTGGTTGCTCTTGTTGATGATCTCTGCCAAGAGTGGCATGGAGATAGTGCAACCATTCTCACTCTCCTTGACCTCTTAGCAGTCTTCATTACCATTAACCATGGTATCCTTTGGACAAGCTATGGAGGCTAGGAGTGGGCAGCATGGTGTTTCGCTGGCTTGGCTCCTTTCTCCATGGCCAGTCTCAATCAATGTTAATAGGGAGGGAAAAGTCTAACCATTAGCCACTATTTTTTGGCACATGACAGGGCTCGGTATTCTCTCCACTCCTTTTTAATATCTACATGAAGCTGCTGGATGAGATCATCCATCACCATGGATTGAGGTAGCTACAGTACACTGACGATATCAAATTCTATATTTCCATCCCTGGTGACCCAAGTGATGGTGTTACTGCCCTTTTGCAGTAAGAAGTTAAAGACTCTGTCATGCAACTTTAGTTTAAGTGGTTTATTGTTGAATTATAGTTGTTATCTGTTGTTAGTCTAGTGGTTATGACACCAGGTTAGAAACTGGTCTCATAACCACTAGTTATGACACCACATAACTAGTGCTGCCTTAGGCTTGAAAGCCAGAGGAGGAAGAAGCATTAGGTATGTTCGCCACCTTGAGTTATTTATAAAAATAATAAAGGGGATAAAAACAAATTAAATGTAATGTTCATGTGATAATAAAGTATTTCCTGGATGCCAAGTGTTAATTGAAGAGAATTTTGTCTAATTAACTTGAAACAACCAATTTTCAGAAATTTGTTAAACCTATTTAAAAGTATCTTCCACTTAACAGCTTCCAATAAATACTTCTGACTTAACTTCTCTATTGAGTTGAAATTGAAGTCCGATATATTCATGGATACATCCATATAGGGTTGTTTTAGAAACAGTATCAGAGTTGGGGTGGCAGTGGTGTTTTTACTTTTTTACTTTATTTTTACTTTTTTCTGGGATGTTTGTTCAATTCCCAGTCTAGACTATAGACTAAATATTCCTTCCAACTCCAATCAAGGACAACTTGTGTTGTTGACTGTAGCAGTCTGCATCCTATGGAGGGGACTAAGTGAAGGAAGACCAGGGTAGGTATGCAAATAAATCAAAATGTTTGGCTTTTTAAATATGCACTTCAGGTGGTGAACTGCAAATATTACATTCTTTAAATTTTGCGCTAACAAAAAAAAAATAATTGAAATGATTTAGCTAACACTTATTATGCTGATAAGTGCTCCAGTTAGAACAAAATACAAAAATAAGTAAATAAATAATAAAACTCTAGTAGTTTGGATTTAACAGGAAGATACTTAATTATTATGTTAGTCCTTGCGCTTTTGTTAAGCAAATAATAATGGAATTCAGATCATAAGGTCCACTTTATTTATTAATTTGTTAAATTTGTTTGCCACCCATCTCACTCAGAAGGATGTATAATAATTCAGGGGTTCTATTCATTCAGTTGAGAGATATATCTTCGTGTTTGCATTCAGAATGAGAGAGAGAATATTCTCCACAATTCACACATACAGATACGTACATAATAAATTTACATGCCTACAAAGTCTTACTCAACACCCACACTCATATACAGTATATGTGTAACATTCATTCATTAAGCAACCATTTGAAATTAGAACAGTACTGAATGAGGGGAATTTTCAATGGGTCCTCATAGTTATGGCTATCACAGGGTCCCACAGTCACATGATTGCAAATCAGACGTTTGGCAACTGGCTCACAATTACAACATTTTGATGTCTGTGGACAATTTGTGATTTTTACTGCTGGCTTCTGACAAAACCAGTGGGAAAGCCCACAGGAGGTTGGATTCAAATCATACAGCATTTGCCTAACAATAGTAACTGGAATGCCAGAACTGCTTAAGTCAGCACAGCCGAGGGGTGAAATCCAGCAGGTTCTGACAGGTTCTGGAGAACCGGTAGCAGAAATTTTGAGTAGTTCAGAGAACTGGCAAATACCACTTCTGGCTGGCCCCAGAGTGGGATGGGAATGGAGATTTTGCAGTATCCTTCCCCTGCCACACCCACCAAACCACACCACGCCCACTACCACGAACCGGTAGTAAAAAAAATTGAATTTCACCACTGGCTCAGCCCCATTGTGCTGTATAACGTAGTGAAGGAGTTCCCAGTCCCAGTTATGGTTGGTAAGTGAGAATTATCAATACACATATAAAAAAAGATTTTCTGGTCAAATGATTGCTACACTATAGCAAATAGTTTTGTTTTGTTTTTTTGCTATATTCTAATGATGATCCAAGTTTTTGCAACATAATCTGATAATGTTATTTTTATTTCCAGAGAAGAGAAAATCACTTCATCTTTGCAACCACTGGCAATGAAAATACATCCATTCTGCTCAGAGAAGTGGATAATCAGTTAAATTTACTTCTTTCCCCTCAGTAAAGAATGAAAAATTGTTGCTTTTTTGTCCCTTGACAAGAATACCCAAAAGCTTTCTGTTCCATTTAAAAATATTAACAAACTTAAAGTCATTGGAATGTTTAAATAGATTTATAGTGGAGATCAAAGAGCTAGAAGTTAGTAGAAAAATAAAATATCAGAATTTCCTTTATAATTGCTGTAGTGAAGACTGGAAAAAAAGATTATCACGAGCAAAATAAACTGATCTTAATAAAATAAATAAATAAACTTAGAAGAACACTGATCTTAAATGAAAAGAATAGTAAAGTATCAGGAGGTGAACAAATAATAAAGACAAGCTGATACCCACATGGTGAAAGAAATATGTTTCCTGTATTTATTTGTGAATAACAAGGAATATCCAGAACTGAAATTTCCGCTAACAACAGTATTAATATAATTAATATTCATTTTTTACTACTGTGCTATAGTAAATTCAGATATTACCAGTATAACAATTTCTAGATTCTGAATTACTAGAATATCACTACCATAATCCATACTTATTCTTTCATTTCCTTGTGGATTTATACATAGTATACTTTTTATTCATAAACACCTGGACATTGGAGAATAGCCAAACTATTTGTCACATGCACTAACTGATGATTTTGCCTCATTATGGACTGGTAAGAGGAAAAAAAATAAGAAGCTTTTGAATGTCAGAATGGGAAGATGGTGGAAGAGATGTACAACTACTTTTGTCTAATATAGTTCAAATTTTAATATCTGAAATGAAATTAATGGAGAAACACAGGTAGTTCTCAACTTACAACTATTTAACTACGGCTTGAAGTTATAATGGCCTCAGAAAAAGTGACTTACAACCGTCCTAAAAGTTGTGACTCTCGCGTCACCCACACAATCAACAGTTTGCGTTGTAGTGTCTCGCAGTCACATGATCGTAATTTGCGACCTTCCCAGCCAGCTTTCAACAAGCAGTGTCAATTGGGGAAACCAGATTTGCTTAAAAAAACACATGGCTCACTTGATCTTGTGATTCAGTTAATGACCATGGTAAAAATGGTTGTAAAATTGGATCTGGTCATGTGATGACTCATGTAATGACCATATCGCTTAGCAACAGAAATTCTGGTCCCAGTTGTGATTGTAAGTCAAGTACTACCTGTAATTTACACAAACATTATTAAGGGAGGGAGAAACGTGTCCCTTAAGTTATGCTTCATGCTTTCTTTTTCTTATCTCCTTTACCATATTCCGGCTGTGGGATTTCAACCCCTTCCTCAGGTATGAACACACTGACAGTGAAATCACTTGTCTCTGTACCATACTGGTTTTTTACTACAAGGCTATATCTGCCCGAATCAATCGTACTGACAGCTTTAATAGTGAAGCAGGCTTGTTTTCCTGATTCATATTTCAAGATGATATTGTCATCGGCTTTCAGGAGTTTTTCATTCTTGAGCCATGTAATCTCAGGGACAGGATTTCCCCAGACACTACATGTAAGATTAAGTGCCTGCAGGAAACATACAAAGGATGCAAATATAAATAAATATTAAGAACTGAACAAATGCTATCATTACTATACTTCTATTATTATCTCTACCTCCCTCCTCCTCCTCTTCCTTGCCACTATTACTGCTGTACTAGAAACTTTTTTGTGTTCGACTATTTTCTCTTTCTTGAGATAATCAGAAACTATATACTTGTTTTATCATAAATGTAAACACTGGAAGTGCTTGGATAATTAGTCTGTTAATAGACAACCAGCCTTGTTTATGCTCAAAGAAAGTTACAGTGCCGGTAACAAAATGATTGCAAAACAGGTTTTCAATTTAAATAATATGTTTAAACTATGTAAAACAACTTTTTCTAGATTGTGATAATTGTATGCTTGATAGGTTTACTGTTAATTTGAAATTATATATTTTTTCCAAACCACAGTAATCCTAGAAGATTTTATGAGAAAATCTGCCTGTGACAAATAAATTGTGGCTTAGGTAACTAATTTTCAAAATACATTATTGAAAATGATTTTGAGCCAGGTCAGAATCCAAAAGTTAAAGACTGCTATATTAACTAATATAGTATTATCTAGATTCTCACATATCTGATGTTTAAAATTTAAATAATATTAGAAGCATTCTAAACTCTTCTGAAATGCGAATAGCACAATGACTAAACTGGACAACAAAAAATAAATTGCCTCCCCATTCTGTTCCAGTTTCTGATTTTTTTTGTTAGGTAATTGTAGGTTTAATAGTGTATACTAGATTGACACTTCTATTAATGGGAAGAAAAAAATCTCAACAGACATGGGCGTTATGATTTTAAACTCCACAGGAGTTCAACATTTAAAGGCATTTGAATTGAGAAGCTTTATTTACATCCACTCCTTTAGGCAAGAATTTATTAATACAAAAAAGAAAAAAGGTGAAAAGCTAGATGGATTACATATCATGATTCTTAATCTCAATCTAATAATCCATGACTGTTTTTAATTTTTTTTTAAAATTCAAGACCTATATCTTGAACCCCATTCATTAGTGAAAATGCAGATAATGAACAATATTTTAAAAGTATTTATGAAGTTATATATTAACTGGCTGACTGAGGGGGGAAATGTTCAGATTATAAATAGTCCTTTATTGACTGCCTCAGACAGTGACCATTTGGAATTACGATCGTGATGAAAAAATAACTTTGCAACCAATGAAGGCATTTATGACAACAAAAGCCTTCAGTGAGAAACTAATGAAAATCTGGTCAATTTCAGGCAGCAAATAGCAGACCTTGGTAGTGTTCTAAGTAGCTAATTAAGCTCATAGAACTGATCTTATTAACTTGTGCTTAGCACTTTTTAGTGAAGCTCTGTGCTGCAGAGAAAAACAGCTCAGGAAGTTTTAGGCAATCTTTCTGCCCTGCAAGGGAACCAAAATAAGGGAGTGGGGGAGGAAAAAGGGTCAGATACAGGACACTGTAGAATGGAATTTTATCTGAACAGCAATCAGTGATCTTTGCAGTTTCTCTGTCTCACATGTAATTTGCTTGATAACCATTTCACTGGAACCAATTTCAATCCCTAAACAAGGACTACAGTACCTGAGATTTTGTGTGGTATCTTGTACCAGCACATACTTTTTTTATGAAACATCGATGGAAAATAATTCATTTATATTGAACTAAAATTCAATACAGCAAAGATTTCTGAAAATCAATGAGAATAGCAGCAAATGCCAGGCCATAATCCTTTCTGATGGGTTACCATCTGAATTTTGTGTCCCTCCCTCTTCACTCTTTCATATTCTCTTTAAGAAGTAGAAGTGCCTTAAATACATGAAGCTGGCTGCCTAATAAACTGAAATTATGTTCTCATATAAAAGATGAATAGGAAATCTATTTCTTTATCAAAGTCAGGGCTTTTGGAAAATTGGGAACTTGCTTTTCTCTGAGAATTAAGAAAGCTGTAGAATTGCTTCTTTTAAATATTTCAGCTACTTTTTTATACCTTGCCTTCCTGAATAGTGACAACATCTGGCAGACCTCCAAGTACTCGAGCACGATCTGCAAAAAATAAATAAACAAAAATAAAAATGTAACATTTCTTGCAAATTAATCTGCATCTATGATTTTATTTTTCCTGTAATAAGTGTTCTATCTGGCAGATAGAACAATACTGTCTTATTTTTCTGCAAGCTGCCAGTGCTTCCTACAATCAGATAGTGGCTCTTAGTATTTCTGCCCTATTCTGGCTAAACATAGTAACTGTGATAAAATTGCTGTTATGAGTCACATGTTGTTTATCTCATAAAATGGTCAGGTCTGTAATAGACACTCAAGGTTAACAACAAGTGCAAATCACATTCCAAATTGTTAATCGGGGGAAAAAAATTGGGGTTGTTGAAGTTGATTAAACAATATTGCACTAAGACCATTAGATTACTTTAAGCTTGTTTGCATTATCTTTCCACTCCCTGCCTCTTTATGAGTCAACTTATATATTTGTTCCGGTAAATGTTTGAGTAGACTGATTAAAATAATAAATTTCACAAAAAAAGATCTCTATGAAGCAACTGTTATGAAAAACCCTACCACTGGAAATAAATAGGAAGCATTCCATCCTATTGACAAAACAGGCACCAAATAAAAGAGAATTTACTTACTTTTTTCTGCAATGGCAGCTGTTCTGTAATGGAGAAAGGCAGAAAGAAAACTCAGTTTTATAGTAAGGCACAGTGCTAGAAAAGCTATACTATGTGCAAAAGCTATACTATGAGCTGAAGAAAATCATTCTGTATAATAACTCACTTTATTAATTATTTTTTCTACGATATTTCAGCATCAGCCTTCAAAATAATGATGAAACTATTTTTAGTTACCAAAGCACTAGATTTTCATCGTTTGAATATATAATGCTAATAACTAGATAAAGATAGATTTTTTTTGTCATACGCTGGATTGCTGGAGGGAAAGTCATCTTCCATTTGGTCTGGATGTAGATTTCCTTTCAACTAACTATTCAGTAGCAAATAGTAGCTGAACTACTATTTGGAAAAAGGAGAAGAGATAAATTCCCATTATGTTTTGAACTAATCTATTGTACTTCAATTAAAGCAGGTAGTGTTTAAATTTCAAAAATACTGAAAGTGACCTACCATTAGAACAAAGTTTCACAAATTGATAGTTAAGCTAGAGAGTAAGGAGGTTTAGGGTTACCAGGTCTGGATTGCAGTCATTTGGATTATTCCTGGATGAAAACAGAGTTGTGAAAAACTCTATACATTGTCAAAGGTTTGCAGTCCAAATATGGTAGGCCTAATTAAAGCAGAAGAATTTATTTTACTTAAACTATATACTTACTTTAATCTTTGGAATTCAGCAAGGGCGTCATCAAATGCTTAATAAAAGAAGAAAAAGGTTATATTGATAGTATCCTTTATAAAGTCAATTTATGCTATTACTTTATTTAGCTTTTTGTGTAATAAGTTGGAACATTGGGAAAGTCATGCTATACCAGCAATACAAATTATATTATGTTCCTATATTAATTGTTTTATGAATTATATATGGAAAACTATATCATATACTGTACCCTATTCTAAAGAGTTTTAGGACAGTGGTACCCTCTAATGTTGATAGGATTTTTTTAAGGTAATAATAGATGTTTGGCACTAGGGACTGCTAAAAATCAAGCAGTGTGCAAGTACATGAATAAATTATCAGAATGTGTTTTTATTTTAACAAGAAGAAATAAATGCTACACTAGATACTGTTTAAATGCAAGGTGACATTAACTTTATGGATTACAAACTGAATTCCAATGCACACAAGTCACTAAGACTTATTTCTGAATGAATACCATATGTAGAAGTTTGATCTGCAAGATATGTTCATATGTTTCACACAGAGATGATCAAATCATGAAAATAAATCAATATGTGAGGCATAATCTCTTCTCTGTTTCATTCACATACTGTATTCAGTACAATGAATATGCATAATTACGTAAAGGAATGTGTGAGATAAAGCCTTGTGAGAAACATCTAAGGAAGTGTCCTTAATCTATTTGTTAAATACAAACTAATGACATTATTATTCTATTATTATTAATAATACTATTATTAGTAGTATTCTAAGATAAGACTGCCATCAATAACTGTTTCAGTTATGTTAAATAGGATGAATCTAAAACAGTAAATCTGCACATATTTTAATTAGTTGATTTAATATGTTTGTATACTGATGTTTAACATAACATTAAAAATAGTAAACTAAGACATCAAGTTTAAATGTAAGATGCAAACTGTCAACCACAAATTCAGCAATTCTTCATAAACCTGGAATTGTCATTTGAGGTCATCTTACAGTTCAAAATTTAAATTATAACGACCCCGGACAGCTTCTCAAATCTTTCTAAGTAACTGAAAGTTATTATAAAATCATAGAACTGGAAGAGCAAGAGAAGCTATCACGAAGACTCTTAGGTTTCTCAGTTTTTGCACTAATTTGTGAATGGCACTAGCAGCTACATAAAATCATTTCAGTAACAAAATGTTCAGGTGAACTTTTTTTCTTGAATTATGTTGATTTAGTAGTAAAAGCCTCTGAGAGGAAATCCTCTGAAGTAGGGACACTTTTTGGTGTTTTGAACATAGTATACATCTGGAATACCAGAATAGCTTCCTGTTGCAGATGATTTTGTTCAGAATGTCTTCAGACCATTCCCACAATGACCAGATCACTGTGGTTTGCAATAAAAAGGAAGACGCTGGAATCTCATTGAACACTGTATTCCTGGAATGGTATACACTGTATATCCCTAATTAAAACTTAGTTATTTCATATCACTAATTAAAATTTAATTATTTACCTTGTCCAGAAAGATCCACCATTTTTGTGTGTGTAGTTTTACCATCAAACAGCTCCAATATATATTTGCCCTTATCATTTGTTGTTGGTTCATTAATTTGCAACCAGATTTGGTTTCCTGTAACACCGGTCTTAACTCTGTCTGTGTACTTAATTTTGACTTCACTAAAAATAAAAATGCAATATAGACTTTATATATAAATAATACAAATAATAACTGATATGCATTTATATAATTGAAACAAATGTACCAATAAAGAAGAAAATTTGTAGCTCAGGGTTGAAATGAGGGGTCTGCATGAAAACAGTCAAGCTCATAGACCATCAAGGACCCCTAAAACTAATGTATATAATTGATTACAAGTTTTATTACATAGATAATATAGATAATAATTTTGCATGCATTGGGAATCTGAATAGATGATTTACAATTACAGTATGTGACAATTGGAGATTTCTATTCTAGATATACTTTCTTTCACTTCATCTTGTTCCAAGAGTTTTTTCAAGTATACTTGAACTTCAGCTTCTACTATACTGCAGTACCATGAACATTAAAATAAAAATGATAATTAAAAGTGTATTTTTAGATCATTGTAGTGATATTGATACATCTTAAAGAAATTGTAGATCATGTAAAGAATTTTTAAAAATGTTTTTCCATGAAAGTTTCTCTTAAAGAGAAAGTTTCTCTTCCCTCATTGATATTACACAGAGAATTTGCAACTTTTTTTCCAGAACAGTTATTGTGGAGGCAAAATAGTCATTAGAACTGCAATGCATAGAGTAAGAGTTAGTCCTCCATGCTTCCAGTTCCAAATTTGAAGAATGAAGGATATTGTTAAAGCTTAAAAATATGTTAAATGTATATGCATATATGAAAGAGATTTGCTCAACTTCCCCAAGAATTGAGGTATTTCAGGAGTGTAGCCCTTATCAACAATTGGTTATCTTTGGGAGAAGAAGGTCCACAGCACTTTTATACTTTTCCCAAACTTTCTTAAGTTTTCTGTCTCCCATTTTTAGAACCTGAATATGAATCAGTCTAAATATGTCCTACATTTCAACATGTATAGAATTATTCTTGTTGAATGAGGTTAAGCAACATTGGCAAGATTTCTTCACTTACTTGTGTGACCAACTCACTCTCAGATCTTCCAAGTAGTAGTTAACAAAGGAGTATAGTCTGATGCCCTCTGCTGTGCTCTGAATTTTCAGAGCAGTTGCAGATAAAGCTGAAAAACAACACATGTTTTTAAAGATTTACAGCCATTCATACAATGTACAAATGAGTCAGTCATTAGGAGGAATTAATACTCACCAATCTTTCTGCATACTTCAGTTATCAAGTCTGTAAAAGCTGTGGAAACAAATCCAGAGAAATACTCAGTGCTCTCAGATCATATATTCCTGGTTGTGACTGAATATTGCCCTGACGTCCATTGACTGAGATGGAGAAGATAGGAAATTTAAATTTGTTTTTGAAACATGTGTTTGATTGAATCAGACTTGCTTTAATGGCATTTAAATCACTCTATTTTTTTATTTGACATCAAATCTTTTTTAAACATTTTATTTTTTTCTCCCTTCCCATTTCTGTATTTTCAATAATCAAGGATGATTTTAAAAGCAGGATATAAAATAAATCAAAATCAGAATTATAATTGCTGCTGCTGCTATAAATAACTGGATGGATTTATAGTGAGGAAGGCCATAATGTACATATAGAGAGCAAGGCCTCTGTCTGCTAATGGCTTTAAAGGTCAAGGTGAACACCTTGAATTGTGCCCAGAAGATTGGTAGCCAATGCAGAATGTGCAGTTTAGGTGTTACATGATCTTTATATCCTGAAGCTTCCAGCAGTTTAGCTATTTCATTTTACACCAATTGGAATTTCAGGACAGTTTTCAACTGAGGGCCATATCCCAGAAATCTGGGAGCTGAAGTCCACACATCTTAAAGTTGCCAAGCTTGAAAACACTATTATATAGTGAATGTTAGGTTAAATTGAAATCTCATTCAATTTTGGAAATAGTTGCTTTGGAAAATAGTACTGTGACATGATTATGAAGTTTTAGGCAGGGGTGAAATGTAAAATGTGTTACTACTGGTTCTGTGGACGTGGCTTGGTTTTCAAAGCATTTTTTCTAATACTTTGAAAAGCCTCTGCCAGCAACTCAGCTGGGATCATCAGAGACTTTTCAAAGCATTTTTTTAACCACCTCTTCGGCCAAGAGGTTGCAGAAAAAAATGCTTTGAAAAGCCTCTGACGATCCCAGCTGAGCCGCGCAATCATCAGAGCCTTTTTTTTCTTTTACTTTTAAAAGCATTTTTTCGTCGGAAGAGGTTGTAGAAAAAATGCTTTTAAAAGTAAAAAAAAAAGCCTCTGATGATCGTGCGGCTCAGCTGGGCATGGTGGGGGGGGCACAGGGATTTTTGCTACCGGTTCTCCAAACCACCCGCCACCATCGCTACCGGATCAGGCGATCCGATCCAAACCGGAAGCATTTCACCCCTGGTTTTAGGGCTATGACTGAAGATCCTCTGTAATGTTCTAAACTGGGTTGATATTGCTAGTACTATCCATTGCAATCATAGATTTAAATCTGAATATCCTCATCAAAACACAGGTTATCTAGACTGTTTCTTGACACCACTGTGGGCATCAGCATTATTTTCCTACTGTTGTAACAGAATTCAAAACACAAAGTATTTTGCTTAGACAATAACATTTTTTAATATTAAGTGGTCATTAATCCATACACAAAGCAATTCTAGTGCTCACAGTCTGTTCAGTGGCTGATGAGTTTAGATATGAAAGACAAACTCTCTTTTAATAGGTACCTGCTAATCTCACATTTAACTCTAGCTATCATGAGGCACCAGGACTTTAGAACATGTAGAAAATGTACCTTTGCAGGATTAGCCTAAATATTATTTTTCAGAGCACTCTTACCTGTATCCACAAGTTTCAATGTACTTTTGTCCTTTCCTCTTTCATCTTTCAGTATCACTTCGTATATACCAGCATCCTTCTTAGAAAACTGTGAAGAAAATAACATTCATCAAAATATTAAAAACATTCTGTATTTCTTGCAAGTAATTTCTACAACGTGAATCTTGAGATTGAGGGTAAAAACAAAAGGGAAAGAGCTAACAAGTTTAAAAGGAACACTGAAGCTTAAATTAAAAAAAGTTATGTTCTCTGTAAAAGGGACATTATATATACTGTAAGGACCTGAAATGGAAAACAGAAATTTATCTTCTAGCTTTTATTTGTATCATATTTTATTATAAATTGTTGAAAAGCTATAGAAGTTAATGACATATCACATCTATTAAAAAACCACATAAACACATAAACCACATAAAACTTCTCAAAAGAGCTTTCCATATTTTTCTGGAGGGAAATGAGAATGTGTTGAAACACACAACTATTCATATGATCGTAACAAACATATCTTGTGATACTTTCTTTCCACCATCTTATTTGTTCTCTGTTTCAGACATTGGATTGTCTTAACCAAGCTTGTATTAGCCACTTGCATCTGAAAAACATGGCCTTTATGCAAAGAGGAGAAGGCTAAAGTAAAGAAAGAACTAGAGATCATCGATTATCTAAAACTTCTGCAAGTTTAGAAATGTTGTCACCTGTAAAGCAGCTATCCAGAGAGTTCACTCACCTCTGTTATCAGCAGAGTACATACACCATCCTGAAAATCATGCTTTTCATCAACCATTATCTCTCTGTCATCTTTGTACCAAATAACATGTGTTTCTTTTTTAATGTTAGCAACCTAGAAAGAAAGTATTACTTGTATTGATAACAAACTCCAACGATCTGTGTAGGAAAGAATCTCTTAGTAAACTATGCATTGGGTAAAGAAGAAACATTCAAGTTTCCTTCATTTGTTTTCCCCAAGAAAGCATCTTCTATTTTTTTGTAAAGGGAAAGATCATGGCTCAAATAATAATGTTTTTATAATGAAGTAAAGAGATACAGTGCTCAAACTTTGAAGCCATTTCAGATCTGGAACAACACAATGTATAAATAATGTTTGTGAAGACTGAATCTGTGATTATTACTTACCATTAGATCTTAAAATAAGCAATTCAAGACAGTTTAAATGTATTTTATCATTAAGAATACTTTCCCCTCAAAACAGTAACAAAGCCAAAATCTTTGCTGTTCTTTACCTTGCATTTCAATAATACATTACATTCAGGGGTAACTTGCCATCCAAGATATTCAACAAAATGTGGACCTGTTTGAAATAATGTGTAAAATAAATACCTTCAAAAATATAAATCCAGGCAACTGAATTAAGTTTAAAATATTTTTCTCCATTTTGTATTATGTAATATGTTACCTTGCTTCCTGAACCATTCTTGCCTTTGAAAATCTGCTTCTTTCTGTAATTTCTGGAACACTAGCAATTAAAAGAATAAATACACCCACATCAAAACAATTGAACAATTTAATTGTACAAAGTCAAAACAAATACTTTCACAAATGTATAGATAAGTACAGAGAACTATATAGCTTATGAAAGACTACTGAATTTATATCAAATGAAAAGATAATGTTCCATTAAGTTACACTGTATAGCTAATTAGGCTATAGAAATAGAGATAGTCATCTTTTAGCAAGGCTTCATTTAATAAGAGGGATCAAAAAGGTAACTTTAAGATCAATTCTCACATTTATGACTTCAAAGGTATGTAAAGCAAAGGAAAATTGAAGTATCATAAGCACAATTGCAGTTTCATTTAGTGACTTAATAACTGAGTGGCTGGCCCTCATTTGTGGTTGCTAAATGAAGAATATCTGTATACCTTGAATCTTTTTTTAAAAAACTTATATTCAAAATATTGTTTTTAATTCAGCAAACAATCCAGATTCTGATGGAAATGATTTAAAAACTTTTAATGTGCAACTGAAATGCTTCCTCCTCCTGAAAACACTAGACAATTATCTTTTGTCTCTTCTTAAATTTCCTGTTCATAACTTGTTTTGTAACATAGGAAGCTGCTGTTTGAACAGATCCAACTGAAAATGAGGAACTAAACATAAATATCTTTTGATCCTAACCTATAAATATATTTTTCAGCATTTATAGAATTACTTTCTATAAGTATTTATTAGTAAATGATCATCATTACATAGATTAGGATCATTATTAACATATATGTGTTGTTTTTTGAATTCAGCTAAAAATTTAGATGGACTTCATAGATTTATGAAAAGAAGTTGAACTCTTCCAAAATAGACTGAATCCAGCTATAGAGTCCTTGTAATGGGACATTGAAATGATGATACTGATGGCGGAAATTTGTGATAACTATTACGATGAATGAATTTCAGCAGGCCTATCAAACACAGTTCTTTTTGGGAAGAATATTAAATAATATAAAATGGGCCTGTTCTAAGATTTAAAGTTCCCATAATTTTTTATAACTTTCAGGAACAAAAGAAGAAAAAGATTTCTGAGATTTGAGAAGTTATACGATTGGTTGAGAAATATTTGCTGGTGGATTCTTTCTGTTTCTGCAATACATCAATTGCATAAGCCTTTTCCTAAAAGCACTATTTCTCAGAAAACAAAAAAACCAAGTTCTTTTTATTGATCAATTTCTGGAAGTTGAATTGGCTAAAAATGAGTTAATATCCCTGTAAATTGAATGTAACTATATATAAAAAAACAAATATAAAGATGTTGCTGTTTCTTGATTTTAATTGCAAGTTAGTGGGAGAGTTGTATTTTTGAACGAAGGTTCAGATCTTGAATAAAATAAAGAATAAAAGACTTTGGATGAAGGTGGCTCTAAATCACTTTGAGATAAAGCAGACTGTTTTCTGAATCACTCAGAATACAAACTAAATCTTGTAGACTATACACATTCCTTCAATAATTATTTTTCTTTATGGAGATTCTCAGTCATTCAGGTCATGGTTGTCCCAAAAGTGCTTTTTCAAGAGGCAACTGGACTTTCTGGTGTTTTGGGGGTTTTTTTTTAAAGACATTTCGTTTCTCATCCAAGAAGCTTCTTCAGCTCTGAAGAAGCTTCTTATATCAGAAGCGAAATGTCTTCAAAGAAAAAAACACCAGAAAGTCCAGTTGCCTCTTGAAAAAGCAGCTTTGGGACAATTATTTTTCTTATTTATTCGTCTCATTAAACACAGAATGAATTAACTAAATAAGGATCTGAAAAGCTAGGACATCAACATTATTTCAAGTTTTTCAAGTATTTCAGTATTTTCCACTAATAAACTTTAGAGTATAGTCTTTTTTAAAAAAATAAATAAATTAGAAGAACTTACCATCACCAATTAACACCAAACTGGATTGATTGGTTGCTTTTCCATCCTGAAGTTGAAAGGTATACGTACCTTCATCCACAACATCAAGTTTATCCATAAACATTTCAATCATACCAGAATTATGATCAATCTTCATCTTGTATTTCTTTAATAACAAATATTACAAAGAGAACTTTCATTTTCCAATCTGGAAATGTAATCTTTTCTAAGACTTCAAACAGTTTGATAGCAATTTCCAAGATGTTAAAATGTAATGTAATTGCTCCATTTCATAACCACACTCACTTGGCTTTGGGCACATGTGTAAATTTCTCCTGAATGAAACTCAGCAAAAACAAGTTGGCAAATAAACAAAAGCATACATAGCACTAAGTGACCAACTATCATGCCAACCTGAAAGTAACTCTCCCTACAAATAAAAGTTTGAGTAAATAAGCATAAAGGACATTGAAAACAAAGGAAAATTATCTATTTAAAATGCAGAAGGAGGAGCCAGAGGAGATTCTGAATTTGATCCGGTGGGAAGGAAGCATTTGTGTTATTCTTTCAGATGTTCATGGTTATATGAACCACAGTGCGTGATCCATTTTACCCTCATTTTCAAAGCCCACCTCTCCTAACCATTTCTCTTAACTACTCTTGCAGTGCTACCCATCACCACAAAAATTAAAAACAAAACCAGTTGAATAATAAAAATACAATAGTATAAATAGCTTTTCTGCCTGGAAAAGCAATTTACTATTAAACAATGGGATATAAATTTAGAAATAAAAAGTTTAGTGGTGTATGAAGAATAAGTAATAAATGTTTGCCAGTAATATCTGGTAGAAGAGATAGGAAGTGGTTATAATAAAGAACTTTGAAAAGAAAGACAAGAGAAAAAAATGCATCTTGAACCTGTGTTAAATGCCCACCATGGCCATGCCCACCATGGCCACACCCAGCCCCGGCCATCCCAGCCCTCCGAGATCAAACACAACCCTGATGCGGCCCTCAATGAAATCAAGTTTGACACCCCTGAGTTAGAGTAAGGCTATCTTCCTCTAAACCTCCTGGATCAACAAAGAATTTGTCCTCTGTGATTGCAGGGGATGAAAAAGAAATGAGCATAGCAGTTTCCAATTGTTTTGGAAACAACTCCACTTTGTACTTGGCTCTGGGTTTGGAGGACAGAATAGGAAATCAGCTGTCTCTGGTTCAAACACAATATCAGAGTAAATGGATTAATGTATCAAACAAATTAGATTTATAAATGTATCAACAGAGGATCCATGATATTGTGAGTGGTGGAAAAAACAAACCTCACAATGTCACAGTAAAATCCAAACTGATATATTTTCATATATTTGTGGTTTTGATTTTATTTATGATATTTAAGGCCATAACAGTTTAATTATATCCTATTCTTTTAATATTGTACCCAGCCTATTATGCATCACAAGTATAAAAATATAGGGTAGAATAAAATATACACTACAATAAAATATACAATATTCAACAATATAGGTAGTCCTCATGACCACAACGAAGTCCAAAATTTCTGCTGTTAAGTGAAATATTTGCTAAGTGAGTTTTGCCCCATTTTACGGCCTTTCGTGCCACAGTTGTTAAGTGAATCTGACTTTCACATTGACTTTGCTTGTGAGAAGGTTGCAAAAAGAGATCATATGACCTTGGAACACAGCAATGGTCATAAATATGTTTCGAGTTTCCAAGGGTCTGAATTTTGATCACATGATCATGGGGATGTTGCAAAAATGGTAACTGTGAAAAATGGTCATAAATCACATTTTTCAGTGCCATTGTAACTTTGAAAGGTTACTAAATGAAGTGTTGTAAGTTAAGGACTACCTGTATGTTTGAATTTTTAATTTTAAAATTCAGTAATAGCAAGCAATCATTTTCTGATAGGAGCAATCATTAGCTTACCTCTCCATTGAAAATTTCCTTATCATTAAATACAAAGTTGACTTTGGCATTACTAGACAATTTCTCAGCTTGCAGCCAGAATCGCACCTGTCCCTTCTCCAAAATTTCAACTGCCAATTCAGTCTTAAGAGGAACAACTGCAATAAAGAAAAATAATATCAAAAAGAATTTTTGTTGTGTTCATAAACATGCTGTGTTTCCCAATATATGCATGGACAATTTTCTATTGAATGGCTATCTGAAAATGGATGCTTTTTTTCTGTATATCTTATTTGATGCAATGATTTAATTGCATTAAAAAGTACATTCTGTTTGAGAGAGAGAATTTCTTCATCTGCTATGATTTACCTGCAGATAGTTCTTGAAATAAATGATGCTTGATTCTAACATACAATATAATGTAATTCAAATAAGCAAGTAAACAAGTATACTATTTGGAATCCATGTACTTGTTTTATAAGTAAAAGATGGCAATAACACATCTTGCAGAACTAACAGATATTTCTTCCCTAAATTTTGTATATTCTAATTTATTAGATATGTGAGATTTGCTTTTGCTATTAGTGTCAGAATCATTTTTGCAATCCTGTAAAATTACAGATTAATAAATTAACAAGATTGTATGGTAATAAATCTCTTAGAAATATGTGTATGCCTTTGTATGTTTTCCCTATACATCATGCAAACATCATGCAAACAGTATACTGTATATACTATACAGTATATACAAATATGAGATATATGTGAAGTTATCTATATATTGTTTGTAAGATTCATATATTGCTTGTAAGATTCCCAGTTAGACCTGCAAACCCATAATTTATACATAGAAGGACAGGACACTGCCCTTCAATCATGATTTTGTTGCTTCTACTCTTATTTGTTGCAAGCAGAGCAAAATCAAACAGCTCTTTCAGATACATTTTTCCTCTTTCTGTTCACAATGATAATAATGTTGCTGAATTTGCTATTGCAGAACTTTCCTGTGCAAATTATCTCCTTGGTAAAATATGCAGAGGCTAACAGAGATGATGAAACATGTGCGGGAATGTCACAACAAAAGTTCTGCTTAAATCACAACAGGATTGTGCACATTTTACCATTTCTCTCCTATTGTTCACCTCTCTCTGAAGGCCCATGTTATAAATGTCAATATCAACAACTATTGTTGATCTATACAAGTGATAATGTCTTCAGCATTAGATACTGCATTCACAGCTGCTATTTCCTTCTCTTACACTCTACTGATCATTGTTCCTCTGTATCTACTCCTTTTAAGCAGGGCTGAAATGACATTCCATGTTCTTCACAAACTAGGAGTTATGCAGGTACTAAAGGACTATCACGCTTGTAATACGTTATTTTGAGGAGGGACCTTTTTTCTAAAGCAATACTGATAGGCAAAAATAATCCTGAGAAAGTACATGGAAGCATCGTTACTACTTTTCTCTGGTAGAAAATGTAATATGAGGTTTGCATTGGGGGACTGAGGATGGAATTGGTGCAGGAGCAATGATCTGTGGCTCTTCCCAATTCACCATTTGAATAACTCTGTTCCTCTGTTCTTGCTGAAGAAAGTCTTATAGTTGTTGATAACCTATTCTCAGAAATAAATCCTCCTTGCTCACTTTTTCAAACATCCCAGATAATAACTTGAAATAGATCTATACTAGTCTCCCTTTATTTCTTTGCCAGTAAAATATAAATTCAGCAGAAAAATAGTTTGTTGCAAAAGCGACTGCCTGCGAAGGCTCCTGGATTGGGGATGAAAGGTGAAAGCGGAAGCACTATGCTCCGTCCCATATTTGAGTAGACTAGGTTCTCCTGATAGACCGGACCTACCAGAAGAAACATTTCATCCCAGATAAGTTTAAGTTAATTTTGAAATACATTTAGTCTAACACATAATGAAATCTATTTACTTTATAGTCAACTACATTATGGCACAGCAATGTAAGTTGTATAAACTTTAATCTGTAATATTATTTCACATCCCCAGCAGGATATAAGAAGAGGGGTGTTTTGCAGAAGTAGAACAGCATAAACAGTCCCCAAATTTAGATTCTGTCTGGCCATCATATCTCCTTGGAAACTGCAGCACAGATCAAGGAATCTGCTGTAATAGCTCTGTTGCAAAAGAATCCAAGGTACTGAGGAAGTAGGACAGATCATTACTTAATTTTAGTTTTCTGTTCCTTGTGATCCTTTAGAGCAGGAGCACAAACTACAATGGCAAATGGTAACCCAACATGTTCTTTCCTTTGCATAAGACCCATGGGAAAAATGGGAGATCCTGAAAAAATCATTGCAAGAAAACAAGGTACTTTTCATCTGTTCTGAAATCTACTTGTGAAAGAAGAAATATGATTCAATCCTATCATCTCATGTGGCTTCTAAATCCAATCAACTGTAAAGCCACATGTGCTAGTACTTACATCAGCCCATGCTATAAAAAAGACTCTTTGTTATTTTACTTGTCTTTTACTGTCAGAACTGTGGCAATTTTAAGCTCTTATATATAATTAGCTCTGAATATTTTAGGCTAAAATAGAACAGAAAGAAAGCCTAAAATCCAGAATTAGAATGGAAAAGACTTAAAACTACTGAAAGTTTGGCAACCTGTTCTACCATGAAGCATAAAATAAGCAAGATGCAAATTAAAAATCTATTAAACATTGTTTTAAAATCATAAGACAAGGAAGGTTGACTCTTAATGCTCTTTGGAATATCTAAATATATTTGCTAAAATCATCTGAAGGCATTCTGAGTAATCAAAGTACCAGTCTCCAGGGTACAGAAAAGGCTTTGCTATCTGTGGTATCAGGCATTCACAACATAAGAATCTGTCAGCAACAGGACCTCCGCTTTTTCTCTCAGGAGTGGTTTTCATTTCATTATTTTATAAACTGCCATCTACAAATGCCAGTTTCTAAGATAGTCACAGCAAGCGGCACCATCTAGCTGACCTTGATTGATCTTGGAAAACTAAGCAGGGTTAGACTTGTTGAATACTTGGAAGTACCCAGGAGACCTTCCAGGTATACTGGGACTGTATACTAGATTAGGAAGTTGCAAAGACTTCCTCAAAAAAGACAATGGCAAATTATCTGTATACAGTATCAGTGTGCCATGGGCAACCAAACTCAGAGAGCACCAAGAACTTCACTTTCTTACTGTAACCAGTGCAAGGGAGACTGACATTATTTTGCTAAAATATTTCAGAAATACAAATGCTGTAGAGAGTTTATCGTTATTTTTCTTTACTTACCAGGAAACTTGTGGTCATGACTGAGTGCAAGCAGACGCTTCATTTCTGCAAAGCAATATAGTATAGGGGTAAGAAAAGCCATATATTTTGGTGTGTGTGTGTGTGTATATATATATATATATATATATATATATATATATATATATAGAGAGAGAGAGAGAGAGAGAGAGAGAGAGAGAGAGAGAGAGAGAGAGAGAGGTGATAGATAGATAGATAGATAGATAGATAGATAGATAGATAGATAGACAGACAGACAGACAGACAGACGGACAGACACAGACAGACACAGACACCCACACCCACATATTGAGTAATAAAGTAAAACAAAATTGAGACTTCCAGTCATTTTCAAGGGTAATAAAATATTGGATGGATGGATGATGATAGATAGAGAGAATGAGGGAGAGAGAGTTTGATCTAGTGGTTATGACACTAGGCAACAAATCAGGAGACCCACCTTAAGTATGAAAGTTGACTAGGTCATTGGGCCAGTCACTTTCTCACAGCCCAACCTACCTCAGAGGCTTGTTGTATGGGAAACAAGAGAATGAAGGGGTATTAAGTATGCTGTCTACCTTGAATTATTTATAAAAATAACAAAGGCAAAATATAAATATATAAATACTCCTACATTTTATTTTTATGATTGTTCATAGTCTCATGTTTATTTTGAAATGTATCTTGATTTGTATTTATTATTAGAGACAAAGATCAAGACTGACATGTAGAAAAAGCATTTTGGTTCTCACCTTCCTCATCTATTGTATAGCTTGATGAGACACCGTCTGTTTCAGTTACAGCACAGGAATATATACCTAAATCTTCTTCATTGAGATCTTTAAATATTGCTTTCGACCTTTAAGACAAAAAAAATTGTTGAAAAAAGAGATTGGGATTTCAAAAAATATAAAAGAAACTCCACTTACATTTACTATAGTTTACCTTTCCTAACTCAGTGCTCTGTTGTTATGTTGGGTTTCAAATCACAAATTCTCCACCAGCATGGCCCATCTTGACAATTAGAAGAGTTAAAACCCAAAATACTTGGAAAGCACCAGGCTGGGGAATATTGCTGTGTTTAATAGGCATGTGTTGAAGGACTGCTAACTCAGCCATTACAGTCTATTTTTCAAATGGACAGAGCAAATAATTGAAAGCTAGCCTTATGTAAGTAATGTTAAAAACACACACTGATAACCAGAGATAGCAAGCATAAGAAGATTCTATATGGCAGATCTGTGGATGTCTTTTCTCACTGATCCATCTAGTATAAGCCACAAAGAGAAAAACAAATACCATAGTATGGACAGAATTCATTAGATTTTCATCTGAGAGGAATCCTTCAAATGAAATACAGATTTAGAACAATCATTCTACCAGTCTACTGAATCATATCTTATATTTTAAATCAGAATGTGCAAAGCTAGCTGATTTATCTTTTTTTCTCAGCACACATCTCAATTCTCCTGAAGGTTGGGGGCTTATAATGGAGGGGAAAGGAGGTGAGAGGAAACTTTATTGGTATGACAGTTAAAATCCCCTTGCATGAATTAAATTTACAAATAAAATGACACATAACATACAAGTATAAAATAAACCTTTATAGCAATTCTTACTTTCCACCTTTGGTGTCAATGGCTAATCGAGAATCATCATCAATTGGTTCATAATTCTTGGACCAAATAAATTCAGAATCTGTTGTTCCCTGATCACAGTCAAAATTCAGTGAAATTACTCCATTGTCATCAACTTCAGCCACAATTTCTTTTGTACCTGAAATGGGAAAGAAAGCAGGCAGGCAGGAAAGGCAGGCAGGCAGGCAGGCAGGAAAGGAAGGAAGGAAGGAAGGAAGGAAGGAAGGAAGGAAGGAAGGAAGGAAGGCAGAAAGAAAGAAAGAAAGAAAGAAAGAAAGAAAGAAAGAAAGAAAGAAATTGAATGATTAAGTTCCCATCTATAGACTATCCATGCATAACTTAATACTTTAAATTATCCAGTGATATAACAGAAAACAACCAATGTTACTTAGAAGATTGCAGCATCCTTCAATAAAACAGAAAGGAAATAAAAGGACAAGTAAAGGCACAAAAATCAATTTCCAATTAATAAAATGGTTTTGCAGCATTGCAAAAGCTAAAAAAAACCAATTTACATGTGATATGGAATTGATTACAAAAAGGCACTTGATTCATTACAACATAGTTGGATCATCAAATGTTTGGAAACAACTGTTGTCAATAAAAATAATAAAGTGTTTATAAAAAAATAATCAAGACAGAATTGGTGGTTGGTATGAAAAATATGGACTTGTTAACATTAGGAGTGGCATCTTTCATGGCAATTTATTATCACCCTTATTATTTGCCATTGCTGTGATCCCACTTTCAGTGATTTTGAAGAAAACAAATCTTACTATAAAACAGCAAAATATGCTAATAAAATCTCCACATATCCTTTATATGAATGTTCCAAAGCTTTATGGAAAATCAAAAATTGAAATCTAATCATGGACAACTACCATAAGAATTTTTAGCACATATATAGTAATGGAATTTGGCCTAGAGAAATATGCTACTATAGTAGTAAATCAAAGTAAAATCATGAATAGTAATGGAATTGAAATGGCAAATGGTCAAACCATTTTGAACCACCAGAATGAAGCCTGTAAGTATTTTGTATTTATGAGTATATACCAGTATATTTGATAGCCAGTTTGCCTAGTGGTTAAGGCACCATGCTAGAAGCCAGGAGGGTGTGAGTTCTTAGGCATGAAAGCTGGCTGGGTAACCTTTGGCCAGTCATTCTGCCTCAGCCCAACTCACTTCACAAGCCTGTTGTTGTGGGGAAAACAGGAGGAGGAAAGAGCATTGTCTGTGTTCACTACCCTGAGTTGTTAACAACAACAATAATGCAGGATATAAATAAATAAATAAAAATAAAATAAAAATGGGCATTTCAATAACTGACAGTTCAATAACATCAAACATTGAAAAGTTAAAAAATGCAATTAGTAAAGAATACACCCAGTGAATGACAAAACTGCTAAGGACAAAAATGAATGGTGGAAGCATCATTGAAGCCATCAATATATGGGCCCTATCTGTGATATAATAACTGCTGGAATTATTAATTGGACACAAGCAGAACTGGACAGTTTGGACCGAAGAAGAAGAAGAAGAAAACCTATGTCTACATCAGGGGTGAAATCCAGCAGGTTCTGACAAGTTCTGGAGAGTAGTGGAAATCTGGTAGTGAAATTTTGAGCAGTTTGGAGAACCAGTAGCAGACATTTTGAGTAGTTTGGAGAACCAGCAAATACCGCTTCTGGCTGGCCCCAGAGTGGGGTGGGAATGGAGATTTTGCAATATCCTTCCCCCAGGAGTGGGGAGGGAATGGAGATTTTGCAGTATCCTTCCCCTGCCACGCCCACCAAATCACGCCCACTGAACCACACCACGCCCACCAAGCCACAGTCACAGAACTCAGAAATCAGGTAAGACGGCAAGAGGGCCCCCATCTTGCTCCACGCGCCCCAAAATAATAAAACCTCCCCGAAAATAAGGCCAAGCATTTATTTCGGGGTTCAAAAAATATAAGACAGGGTCTTATTTTCGGGGAAACACGGTATATAAAAAGTAGTAAATAACAAACTGATTAAAATATTATGGGATTTCCGAATACAAACTGATAAAGTTTTGGCTCGTAAGCCACCAGAGTTAAACTGATTGAAAAGAAGAAATTGTAGATAACTGATGTAGCAATACTAGAAGACAAAGAATTGGAGATCACAAAGTGTGAAGATCTGAAAATCAAAAGGGACGGATTATGGCATAAACCAGGGAGGAACCTAGTGGTTTTCAGCACACTGGATGTTATACCAAAAAATGTTGGATGGCACTTAGAAAATCTGCACATTGACAAAATTTCCAATTAAAAAAGGTCATGCTTCAAGGAGCAGTTTCCGAAAGAGAGATTCCTGGGTTATGTTTTCATAATATTGGCAATGTTATGAAAAGCTGGTAAGTAATCTATGTTTCTTCCCTATCATCTTTGCTTTTGTTTTGCTTGAAAGGATATACAAAAAGAAAACTATTTATATGTCTTTCTATAGGTGGCCTTTATATTACTCTACAATTTCTCTGAAGCTTTCTTGCTTATATATCAGATATTCCAGGAAGTGACAAATATGAGGCCTTCATCTAAAAGAGGAAAGGAAATAGTAGTTGCAGTCTACTTATATGAAACATGTTAGTTTTAATAATTAGTTAAATTAAATTAGTACCATTGTATGTTGTCAATCACTCTAATATATATTTAAACTCTTATTTTTATCAAGCAAAATCAACAAACCTGGTCGGGTTTCTGCTGTTACAGGGTCAGTAGGATCTGATGGTTTCCCAACTCCAGCTTTATTTGCCGCTCGTACACGGAACACATAACTGGTGCCTTCTTTGAGGCCGCTTATCTAGAAGACATTAACGTAGAGAAATCATCTATGAAAATGTTTATTACGCATTATTTGGAAATGATACAGAATTAATTAAAGTCACTTGAGTCAATAAGCAAAAATAGTAATAGGGTTTACTTAGGGTATCAGACAATTTCTACAAACCTAATCAAAATTCATGCTTTTCCTACTTATAGGTTTATTCTCCACTGGGCTGGAATAGGAATATACAATTAAACCAGGCATCACTGGGAAAAACTGTTCATGAAATATAGAACTAAATACCACAAGCACTAAATATATACAGGGTTTATTTTAAAATCAAACATTAATATAACCAGTAACAAAATATATACAATGCTGATCCAAGAAAAGATCACAGTGGCAACCACTGTAAAGTTGTCATGAATATATTTTATATTATATATAAAATATATATGAATATATTTTATATTATATTATTAATTACTACTGTAGTTATTCTTTTTTTCTTGATATAGTAAACAAAAATGAAGAGAAAAACAAGATGAGTAGAAAAATCATGGTCCTAAGTATTTATTTGTTCAACGATCATTGCCATGGTACCTAATTTGCCCATTTCTTGAATAATAATTCTGATTTTGTTGTAGTAGATCACATTTTTTTCAAGTCCAAGTGTAATTTTTAAGGAAAGGCCAAATAAATTTAAAACCCAAAGGAATACAAAATAAAATATTAGCATAAGTATGTACAGAAGTATAGATTTTTTAATCTACATCAGTATACCTTTAAGAATTTGTTTGTAATAGGTTTTGCATTCACACTCTTCCAACAATCATCTGATTCTTTTGTTGGTTTCACATCAACATAAAAACCAATTACAGGAGTTCGGCCAACATAAATTGGTGGTTTCCATAATAAAACTATGGAGTCTTTCCTAACTTCATTACATGACAAATCATGGGGTGGTCCTGAAAGTTAGGAAAAACAACAATACAGAGAAAACAACAGTAATTATCAGTGTACAGTTAAAACAGTTATCATCTAGAAAAAATGTAACTAAGTTGATTTTAGCTGTGTGCCTAGAAGATTTCTGGAAAAAGGGGTCATTGAAAATAGACACATGAAGCCTATCAGAAAGGGAAGGAAAAAGAAGTATTAATTTTATTAGCAAGCTTTGAGGATTTGGAGTTAATGCAAAAGTGATTAGAGCCAGGGGTTACCCACCCAACTTCAAGAGTCAAATTTCTCTAATCAATTCACACAGTGGCTAGCAAATAATTTACTAATATAAGCAGCAGTCCTTCCCTCCCTCCCTCCTTTCCTTCCTGTGTAGCTCCACTCCTGATTCTAACCTGGAACAGCAATGGTCCATTCTTCACATTTAAAGGATTGGGTAGCAGGAGAAGGTACGCCAACCCCAGCTATGTTAGCTGCAGCCACTTGAAACTGGTATATCATGTTCTCCTTCAAATCATTTATCTGCCACATAATTGGAACAATACAACATGTTAATACATTGTCCTATAATGGAATGAACAAAATATTCCAAGTTTTTATTGTTTTAAAAATAAATATTGCTGAAACATTAATACTTTGAATGACTGACAGAAAAATAATAATGCTTAAGATTCTATGTTCATTTTTCAAATTAATGTTTGTATATGTGCATGTACTGTATGTTTGTATGAAATTATATAGCACCGATGCAGATATCAAATATTATATTACTCTTGGAACTTACTGGAAATCTCAATGTTGTTTAACTTTATTACTCAATGTGTCTGTCTGTCTGTCTGTCTGTCTGTCTGTCTGTCTGTCTGTCTGTCTCTGCCTGCCTGCCTGCCTGCCTGCCTGCCTATCTATCTATCTATCTATCTATCTATCTATCTATCTATCTATCTCTCTCTCTCTCTCTCTCTATCTATCTATCTATCTATCTATCTATCTATCTATCTATCATGAGCCACGGTGGTGCAGTGGTTAGAGTGCAGTACTGCAGGCTACTTCTGTTGACTGCTGGCTGCCTGCAATTTGGCAGTTCAAATCTCACCAGGCTCAAAGTTGACTCAGCCTTCCATCCTTCTGAGGTGGGTAAAATGAGACCCAGATTGTTGGGGGGGCAATATGCTGACTCGGTAAACCACTTACAGAGGGCTGTAAAGCACTGTAAAGCAGTATATAACTCCAAGTGCTATTTCTACCTACCTACCTACTTACCTACCTACCTACCTTAGTCCAAACCAGCACTGCATTTTGAAAATTTCACATCTTATAACAGAATAATTGTAAGAACAACGTCATGGCAAGAAGTGGAAAAATTAGTAGATTACATTAGCACTGTATTTGAAAATCATGATTAATAAGCAAAGACCTTATTAACCAAGATGATAAGCCAATAGTGATCAAAATGGTCCTTTAAATCTGGAGGAAAAAATCAAGACTAAGAATAGATATCTTTGATAATAAAAAACCTTTCAAGGGACCATTGGTTAATGAATTCATATATTATGGATATAATTAAAACAGTACTCACAAGATAAAAACAATCCAGTTATAAGTTTGGATTCTAACATAAATCAACCTGATCTTAATAAAAGAAAAATTTTAAGTTGGGGCTGGTGGCACTGTGGAATACCCCAAATTAGGTAGCAGTCACAAGTCTAGAAACATAAAACTCTCTTACCCTATATGCCCTTTCACTAATGGCTTTAATGTTTGCTTCCTTCCATTCTCCAGGTACTCCACCAATTACTTCCCGGTAATTCACATAATAGCCGGTGATTTCAGCTCCACCAATAACTTTTGGCTGTTTCCATCCAAGAACCATTGACTGACGAACACTTTCAAGCACCGTGATGTCATATGGTGGAGATGGAGGTGCTGTTTTATGATGAATAATTCAAATAAATAATAAATAAAATAAAATGGGGAAAAAAATTATTAGGATAGAAATATTCAGTTATTCAATCAAACTTTTGTATAGCGTTATTTTATATAATATATATATATATATATATATATGTAGGTCTTTGGTTATTCGAGTCTTCTCCCACGTAAAATTGGAAGTGTCTTGGCGACATTTCGACGAAGTCTCATTCGTCATCTTCAGGCTGGTGTTCTCGGCTTCGTGCTTCCAGGAGCAATGTGAGATCGCAGCTGTCTCTTCCTTTTAACTGCTAGTAGGGGTGTGAGCTGATTGGGTGGGAACTTGGCTGTGTTCTGATTGGGTGGAGGTGTGCTCTGATTGGATGGGGGGTTGGTTGTGCTCTGATTGGCTGGGGGTGTGTTCTGTTTGGGTGGGGGCTTGGTTGTGCTCAGCTTAGTCTGAATTGCAGGGGGATTTGAGCTGGTGAGCTGCGTTGTTGTTGTTTGGCTTTGTGTTTGTGGCCATGCGAGCTCTTCGTGGTGGGTGTCAATCTGCTTCATGTATGAATTGGAGGGGTTTAAAGTGGCTAATGATGCAGCTGCAGTCTTGCTTCTGGTCCTTGGTCGTGGCTCATTATCAGTGTGGGTTTGAGTCTGCTTTCTGCATGGATGTGTGGTGGTGACATCCTGTGTGGCTCTTGTGAGTGTGGGTCTGGTGTCATTCGTCGTGTTAGGGACCCGTTTGTCAATAAGGGCAGGTTTCCAAATGGCTGGTAGGCGGGAGGTATCGTCTCGTTTGTTCATGCTGTGTGGGCGTTTTTCTATCTCGATGGAACACACCCCCAGCCAATCAGAGCACAACCAACCCCCCATCCAATCAGAGCACAGCCAAGCCTCTAACCATTCAGAACACACCTCCACCCAATCAGAACACAGAAGATGACGAATGAGACTTCGTCGAAACGTCGCCAAGACACTTCCAATTTTACGTGGGAGAAGACCCGAATAACCAAAGACCTACATACAAACACCCGCGAAAACCTGAGGAAATATATATATATATATATATATATATATATATATATATATATATATAAAGGTTATAGTTTATCCTGGAGTTTCCTTTCTTCAAACAAAAATCATGTAGCTAATTGAAAAACACTTCTGGATAAGAAATATAGGTTTCTCTAAACTCCATATTCTGTAAGTAAAAATATTAAAATGAGTTATTTAAAAAGTAATATATTATGGAGTGAATGTTGCAGTACAAAATGACTTTAGCTCTAGTTCACAACAATGACATTTTAAAAAAGAGACATAGCTGTAGTATGTAGGTATATGTGTGTATGTGTATATAATGTGTATGCATGTGTGTGTATACAAATACTCTTTTGCTGAATTCAAGCTTATTGCTTCACAGATGTTTTGTCTTCTTTTCCTCTTTTTCCCATTCTTAACTTTTAGTATTCATAATGCTCTAATATCGCATCTGAATTACCACCTACCTTGCACACAGTAAGCGCCCATCACAAGTCACAGCAATCCAACTCACATACAAATGAAAATATTTGGAGCTATATTTTTGAGGACAGCAAGGAGAGAAAAAATAAATCTCTATTCACCTCCATTAACATCTAATGTTCCATCTCTTTCCTGCAATGCCTGTCTGATCTTGAAAATGCATGAAAATGCCACATAGACTATCAAAATTCGGATGTAGTTTACTCAGAATCCTGTTTTTCAGTTGCTGAATCTTTTTGCAAAAATGTGTACTTATTTTTTAACTAGAAAAAAGAATTACCCGAAGACTCACATGATTTCACAGTAAGATCTATGAAAGAGACTTGCTTAGGATAACATCAGGGAAAAAGAGGATTTTTTTAAAAAAATAAAAAATACAGTGCCACCTAGAGCAAAGATTTCTCAGCACATGCCAGATTAACACAGAGATAATTTCTTCTTTAGTCAACCCTCTCTGCTTCTCTGTGACATTAACAAAACAAGGCAAAGTCCATTAGTTTCTACTAACTTTCTAAATACTTTTTAATATACATCATTTATATTTAGGTTTTAAGTATGGTTTCTAGCTATAGTACTGGAAGCTGCACAAAACCTGGCAAAATAAGAACAGGAATGTTTTTAAATAAATACAAATCTAATCAAGAACACTGGTTTTGAGATTATCTTTTCATTAAAAAAAGGTAACATCAAATAAATAGTCTGAGTCATCTCATGTAAAGCATATGAACATTTTCAATTATTTTGGAATTAGAAACTGAACCAGCTAGAGAAAAAAAATACTAAATGTTCATAAATCACTTCCATAGAATTACTTAAGTGAATATAATTTGTTTCTCCTCACTCGTACACTTACTCATTGGCTAAATAGTTACGTTCTTGGGCAACTTTCCCTTGTTTTTTATTTATATATTGTTGTGCATTATTTTGTGGCTTGTATTCTCTTTTATAAATAGTAAACTGATAAATAATTTAGATTAGATGTACTTGTGGTATGTTCCATGTATACAATTATACCAAGATAGTTCCAGTCACCATGGCCATTGGTAAAATATTATGATCGTTAGACCTCTAAATAGCAGCAACCTTCAAACATGTGGTGTGCAAAATATTTTGTCAATCTCTTTAATAATGTATTCCCGATTATTGTGCTAGATGGTGACTATCTTTAGTATATCCAAATTTAAACATTTTGGATTTATTGTTTTCTGAATATGAAAGATAGTTATCATTGGAGTTTTCTTCTCCTTAGATATTCTTTTACAAATGTTTTGGGCAATGTCCTGATGATTTGAAATATGCAAATATGCAATGTATTCAATATTTCTTCAAAGAATGTTTACCTTGCTTTTCAGCGATGAAGTTATCAGTGCCCTGTATGTTTCTAACTCGGAACATGACTGATATTATATTAATTAATAATTGTATGTACAATTTTATTTTATTTTCTGTTGTGAAGAATTGGAAGAAATTTAAAAAAATCTTGGAAATTTGATACTACTACAAAATAAGGCTTAATGGGCACCAAATGTTACCACCAGAGGTGGTATTTAGCAGGTTCTGACCAGTTCTGGAGAACTGGTAGCGGAAAGTTTGAGTAGTTCAGAGAACCGGTAAATACCACCTTTGACTGGCCCCACCCCCATCTATTCTCTGCCTCCCGAGTCCCAGCTGATTGGGAGGAAATGGGAATTTTGCAGTAACCTTCCCCTGGAGTGCAAAGGAAATGGAGATTTTACAATATCCTTCCATGGAGTGGGGTGGGAATAGAGATTTTACAGTATCCTTCCCCTGCCACGCCCACCAAGCCATGCCCACAGAACTGGTAGTAAAAAAATTTGAATCCCATCACTGGTTATCACAATATTTTAGATGCAATATATATTGCTATCTCTTAATAATAATAACATAGTAAACAGTAATTCAACCAAATTAGCAAATAAATGCAACATGCAAGCTTGATGTTAGACGCAACATATAAATGTGCCATAGACTTAGTGACTTCTATATTGTAAATGTAATGAGCTTTGATGGAAGCTGAGCATTTATTAGATGGAGATGATCAAAATGTCGCATTGGCAAAGATGTCTACTTGCAACTTGGATGATCACAGACTATAACTGTTTGAAATGAAGGAGCTAACAAGGTGAAATCACTGCACATGACCAAAGCTCACCTATATCGTTTTTCTTTTGAATTTTCTCCAATGTAGAACGATCTCCAGGAACAGACTTACGTGGGTGCTTGGTAGTTGCCTTTTGTGATGAAGGAGTAGGAACTGGGTCACTCCCTTTACTGACTGATGGACTCCTCTGCTTACCAGAGCTACTGGGCATTGTTTGCCTATTGGGTTTAGCATGGCAATTTAACAAAGCATCTGTGTCAAAGATAGGCTGGGAGGACTCATGCATGCCTTCCCAGTTGACAGTGCGGCCTGTTAGTCCATCAGCTTTATCACTTAGTCCAGGACATACACCATGAAGCAATCCTCCCCCTATAATTGCCAGAAAATAATAAAGACATTTGAAATTAGAATTCATTCCCAATTCTCCGTTATTGAACAAAATGAAGAAACGGAGACAAAGCAAGACAACGAAGAAACATCAAAGCATTAGCTACAGACAACATGTGATATGGTGGGATTATATGAATTTAAATCTAAAACATGTAGTCATGCAGTTAATATTGCTATGAATGGTCCACCCAAAGACCTTCCATTATCTTCAAAAAAAGTTCTATTGTCTTTGGAATGAGGGAATACCATAGTTATATGATCTATTTAAGCAACCTCAGAATGATGAATCATTGAATTGATGTTTAAAATGGAGTCAAACTATATGATTATTGGTATTTTAATTATTTTTAATTAATTAATTAAATAAGTAAATTAATTATTTTAATTTGTTAAGCAACATGCAAGATTTTTTTAAAAAATCAGATCATGACTATATGAGGAGTTAATAAGGAAGTAAATTAGGCAAATGAATTAATCAACTTAATTTCCCAAGCTATAGCATGTTAGAAATTAGACAAGTACTTCATTATGAGATCAGTTTGCCAGATGATTGCCAAGTAATAAGAGGATGAACGTACTGTTTATACAGAGTTACAAGGAACACACCCAAAGATGTCTGAGATGGTGAAGATGAACAGTCTACAAGTGCTTATTGCTTGGATGACTATGAAACGATGGAAGTGAAATATTAAACATTACCAATGCATATTTGGTGTGGAATATTGAAGTTAATCTAGATATAATTATAACGTTGATTTGCGTTTTTCCTATAGGAACAGTGCATTGCTTACCAATAGCTGCCTTGACTTCAATGGCTTCTGAGTCCTTTGAATATCCACTTAATCCAGCTGCATTAACAGCTCTGACACGGAAAATGTAGCGATCCCCAGTAGTAAGTCCATGACAAGTGAATCTTAAGTAAATCAATGTATAAATGAAATGAAATTAAACTAATTAAAACACTGTAAAACTATACAGTATTTCACTCTTTACACAAACGATTTCTTATATGAAATAAAGCACATGTTTCTTAAGTAATGAAGTACAGTAGGATTACAAAGAATATAAAAATGGCAAGGTCCATTGCAAAATTACTTAATAATTATTTTCTTATCTTCCTTGTCTCTTTCTTCATCGAGGGGACAGGGGATAGTGGGACTGCAATGAAGGATTTTGATTCTGCATGAAGGCTTAAATTTATGGAGGGGCAATGAACAAATATTTGTTCATGCCTCTCATATAATAGGCTATACATATATAGAAATGCCTGAATAGTAATCCTTTAAAAGTTCACAACGGCTGTATCTTATCACAAAATGCCAAACTGGTCAATAAGTTGAATCATTTTACTTGTTTACGTGAACTTAAGCACAATGCTCTTAAAGTAATTTACTCTGAAATGGGCCTCTACTTATGATATAGATCATGATGGTGAATCTATAGCACGCGTGCCAGAGGTGGCATGCAGAGCCCTCTCTGCTGGCACGCGTGCCGTCGCCCCAGGTCAGATCTCCATGGCGTTTCTTTCGTGACCTTTTGTTTCCCTGCAAACGACAAAACAGAAGCTCACGAAAGAAAAAGATCTTACCTCTTGACACTGCCCGTGTTAGGATGCCCTGCCTCTTGCCAGCCAACTGATCTTTGAGTCTCTGCTGTGCATGTGTGCACATGTATGCACATGCACATGTCTGCACCTTCCAGTTTGGGCATGCGCACACACGCAGTTTGGGCACTCAGTGTCTAAAAGGTTCGCCATCACTGATATAGTACTTTACAGACAATATATATGTTCTTTTGGTTGTGATAACATATGTTGTTTTATCATTCATGGTTTCTTACGGTTGACGTAATGGTACAAATCATTGATGTGATATTGAGAAAAAGTGCTCTCTTGCAGGTCTTGGAATTGGCATGTTTGATGCTTCATATGAATTGCAGAATATTAGGGTTTATACAAGATTTAATAGAAGTTCTTGAATATATAATCAGAATTTATATGTGGTTGTTTAGCTTATTTAACAGGCTATATAACATATAGCCTGCTATATTTGTGCTGAGATATACAAGACTAATAGAATGCAGGGAATAAAAAATTAGGATATCCAATACATCGGTGCCAAGAGAAAGAGTTTGGCAAACCAAAAGTCACATAATTTTACAAAATTACAACCTAATCAAATATTTCATTCATGCCACTTTTCAGGAGGAATCCAGTTACTGAACATTCATGCAATATTTTTCCTTTTTTGCCCCTTTTCAAATATTATTTCGCAAATGATACTTAATTGTACAATTTATTACCTTGTGCCTTTCACAGGGTTATTGTTGCATGGCACCCAATCACCAGACCCTACTTTACTTGCTTCTATGTAGTATCCCACCAATTCCTTTGCATCTTCAGATTCTGTCCAAGCGACAACTACTGATGTATCTGTATTTCGGGTGGGTATAATGTTGCTTGGTGGGCTAGGAATATCTAGAGGTAAAAATAAACTATTATAGCATAGTATTCCTACTTTAACTGCAGCATTCATTCAGTCAGTCAGTCAGTCAGTCAGTTAGTCATTCATTCAGTCAGTCATTCAAATTTAGAACTCCAATGGCATACTATTTAAAGCAAACAACATACAAAATATAATGTATGATATAAAATATACATAAATAACATTATATGGACAGCCGGTATTATTTAAAAGAATACCCTTTTAACAGATGGACCATATCCACCCTACCCCAAGGCCCAGAGGAACAACCAGTTTTTCAAGGTCTTCTACAACAGCATTAGGGAAGGAGCCATAGGAGCCATATGATCTTATTCCATGAGGGAAGACATCATGACAGAGAAAGCATGCTTCCAGATCTTGAAAGATTACAATGTTTAATCAAGGGGATCCAGAGTACCACTCTTATAAGATAGGCAGAAACCCTGAGAACTGAACAGTCTCTCAAATAGCACTGGAGTAGTAATAGGTAAGCAACAATCAATATTATTGTATACTTACCAAGTTTGTCACCAACCACAGTGGCTTCAGTGGCCTCAGTGGGCTCACCAATTCCAGCTGAATTACAACAACGAACACGGAATTGGTAGGATTTCCCTTCGGCTAAGTCAAAAAGTGCGAAGCGAGGAGACTTTACTGGGATCTCAGTATTCACTCTTTGCCAATTTTCTGTTCCTGCAACACACTAGAATAAAAATTTCAGAATTGGGAAAGACCAGTGTCTTCAACCAAAAATCATAGACTTTTCTCTAATGTGAGCAAACATGCGCCCCCCTTTAAATAATGCTTAATGAAGTTTCATTATTAGAATAGAATAGAATAACAGAGTTGGAAGGGGCCTTGGAGGTCTTCTAGTTCAACCCCCTACCTAGGCAGGAAACCCTACACCACTTCAGACAAATGGTTATCCAACATCTTCTTAAAAATTTCCAGTGTTGGAGCATTCACAACTTCTGCAGGCAAGTTGTTCCACTTATTAATTGTTCTAACTGTCAGGAAATTCTCTTTAGTTCTAAATTGCCTCTCTCCTTGATTAGTTTCCACCCATTGCTTCTTGTTCTACCCTCAGGTGCTCTGAAGAATAGTTTGACCCCCTCTTCTGCAGCATGACCAATAATAGCCTAATTCTACTATGCATTTTTAGTTGTACTGTACATACCCAGCATAGAGTTTTATGGGGATGTGAAGCATCCATCTTTTGATCACTTATAAATTAGTTGGCAGAAAACAATGTGTTTCTCCCAAACATTCTGAACAGCTTTAATCTTTCCTTTCAAGTAACTCCATCTGATTTCCAGCATTTCTGTTACAATCTAAAGTAAAATCTGAATGTGCAGGGCTTTAGCATTTTCCACAGATCTAATAGGATGAGATCATTGTTTTAAAAGTATTCAACAATGCTCATTTCACACACAAGATCTTGGGTACCGCTCAGAATGTAGACAATCTATGTTTATTTCCTGTTTAGTTTGATTAATTGACCAAATGTTCTAGGATGCTGTAATCTGAAGGACCTAAAAAAAGTTCAACTTTTATTATGCTATGATCCATTGCTATGACACTTTAATTTTTAAAATTCTTCCTTGATTTCATTAAATCAGATTTCTCTGAGCATTTTAGATAGAGGCAAAATGATACCCACAGTATTAAATTATTTTGAGACTTTGTATTGTGACTGTGACTCTGCTCTCTTTGAAATTTCTTTTATATTTCAAATTATGCCCTTTGATGAATAACCACCCCCCCCACCAACCCGCAAAATGCCCTTCTTGTTCTTGTACTAGAGTTGATCACATTGGATCACCTTATCCTGGTTTTCTCCCTTTCATCAAGCTTCTGTTTTGCCTGCTATATCAATATTCTTGTGGACCTAAGAGGTTCTTTCACAATGGTGATTGGAGGATTGGGAAAGAACTGCTGTCAGAATGTAAAATCAAGACAAATTACTGATAATCAGAGCAAGAAAGGATATTGAAATCTTAGGAATAGTTTTAAAGGTACTGAGGACCACAATTAAAAGCAATTATAAAAATATATATTTGTAAATTTTCTTTCTTTCAACATTCTCAATATTCAATCCAATCAGTACTTCAACTATTAGAGAACTAGTTAGTTCCCCAAGTATCACTTCTTCTTGTCCATCCATCCATCCATCCATCCATCCATCCATCCATCCATTCAATTTTCATTAAATGAAACCAAAGAAAAGACAACTTTTCTCTCCCTCCTTATTTCTTTGTCAGTGTTACTTATTCAATTATTTCATATATATTCATAGCTTTTTTCTACAGTTATTGTAAATACTACATTAAACACGAGAGAAAGACAGACATAGCAAGGATAGCTCCAAAGTCTTAAAACAATTTTAAGTTTTTAAAGTATTAATACTGTTGAGACACTCTGTAGTGTGTGTCTTTGATGTTAAATAGTTTGAAATGAAAAGGTATCAAACTAATAGCTTGACAAAAAAATCAATGAAAAAATAGTGCACGGTTATCTTGTTTTTACCTTTTCAACAAAGTACATGACACCTTCATGGCCTCGTTCATGTGGAGGTTTCCAGCTAAGTACTATGTAGTTCTTAGTTGCCTCTGTAACACGGAGGTCTAATGGAGGTCCAGGAACAATACCTTCTGCTTGAAGAAGAAAAAGAAAAAAAGAAGAATCAGCAGAAGAAGTTTATTCACTTTTTCCTCCACTAAGAGCCCCTCTGTATGCTGCATCTGCATTGATCTAGCACTGATGCTATATTCTTGAGCATCTAAGAACTGGCTCAACTATGATGCAGCTCAAATTGCAACACTCCCACTTTACTATCTGTTGCAGTAATTCGAGGATCGGACTCAATAAAGAATTCAGAATTATAGTATTCAAACAAAGTATTATTTATTTACAGAAGGCATTCTATATTCACAGAGTGATTGTAGATAGAAGCAAGTAGGAGAAGTGTGCATCCCCTTTTATATCAGTGAGGCGGGGTTAGGGAGTAGGAGTGGTTACAGAGGAATATATTAGGAAAGGAAGAATAAATTAACCCTTGGTACTCTATGAGCATATATTTCTTTCATTTAAGAATAAGGCATTTATCCATGACACTATCATGGTACTGGAATTTCTTAGATCTTGAAGTAAACCATTTCCCGCTTTTAGGAATTTTGCCTCACACTTGCACTCTGCACTAGAGCTCAGAGATCTTTAGCAGATTTCATACACAACCAAACTTGATCTTAATCCTAGTATTCTAAACAGTTTTGTAATCCTTGTAAAACCCTACTGATTTCTGTGTTCATGTAAGCAACATAAAACCTCATCCTATTGTCTAGCATCTGTAATTATTCTTTCTCACCTTATAGGTAAAGATATGTTCTATGCTACAATTTACAACCATAACCAACCTAGGGGGAAAGTTCTTGGCTGCAAATCTATAACATCATATATAGTATTATAGATTTCAATGAGAAATTGAAAATTGAGAAATTAAATCCATGTTTTGATACTGAAATGACTGTTTCCTTCAGACCAGCAGCTCAAATCGTAGTTATTATTGCCAAATAAATGAACATAGCATGAACTGAAGACACAGGGTTACAACTGAAAACTAATAATTATTTTTCTATTTTCTACACCGGACAATTTTTTTTCTCTAGAAGCTTCTATTGATGTCTGTCAGACTTGCAATATTTACACTCTTCTATTGGTGAGATGGAGAGAACACAGATTGGCTCATGATGATTTATGCCTGTTTTCTGCAGTTATGCCAACTTCAAAATGCTTTGAGTGGCTTACATTACCACTGAACAATAGAAAGCAAATGAGCCTGCAGAACAATTGAATGCCTTTATTTAGGCAATCAACCTGAGACTAGAAAAGTTCAGTTTCAGAAATGAATTTTCTCAAAGAAAATAAAAGTAAATAAGCATTTTCTATCCAACACAGCAAATCTACTTACATGGCTGGGAAAAATATTTTTTAAAACCTAAAATTAATAACGGTATGTGCAAAACTTGCTATTCCAGAAATAGAACATTTCTGAGAACTTTGGAACATTGCTTTTATCTTTTAAACCAAGCCAATTTGATCATTCCAGGAGTGGTCTGATGACTTTCTGAATGATAATCCTTTGAACCAGAAATGATTTGTCCAGGTAGTCCAGCTCTCAGAACAAGTCCACAATATCACAAACCATCTTTGGAACAGTCAGATTGACCAACAAGAGAAATAGAATATTTTGATGAATGATTTAAACATTTTAGACTGTTCTGAGTAAGGTTTTGCACATATTTTCTCATGATTATTTTAAACAGCATAGTCATATTTTCTGATTAAACTACAATCCATATATAAAGTTTCATGTGAGAAGCCAAGACAAAATGATGTTTAGGCTTCAATACAGATATAATCTCCAAATAAAATATTAATTTCTATACAAAAAAAATGTGTTACCTGAAGGTTCCTCTTCAGTGACTATAATCTGTCCGGTCCAAGGGGCAGAAGGATGACCTAAACATATTGACAGTGATTAGTTGAATTAAGCATTACCCCTTACTTGCCCAGTTATTTAACTTCCCTTGTTGTAACCAAATAACCTTAACATTAATATTTTAGTCTGGAAAACAGAAACCATTAAGGTAATAAAGTCAGATCTCTACTTACTTCCCTGACTCAGTTCATAACTGCTATACATACATATCTTAGTTGCATATAGTAGTTGGAGTAGAGACATGACTTATCTCTTTCCATTAGTTACATCATGCTTTCCAAAACTGGGCTTTTCCAAATGTATTGCACTACAGCTCCCATTAACTTCACTTATTTGGGCCAACTTCCTTCCCATAGAAAGAATTCAGATGCCTCAGGTTTTAATACAATGTTTCTGTGCAAATTTATTTTATTTTATTCATTTATCTTATTCAATTTCTATAGCCACCCATCTCAATCCAAATTTTAAAACCATAAAAACAGTAACAAATTATACATATAGGCAAAAAAAAAATTATCATAATAGTTACATAAAAATGAGCACTCACAGACTTTTCTAACCTTGTGGTGTCCACATGTCCTGCACTAGAACTAACACAACCACCTCTGGTCATGAGGTGCTAGGGATCTACAGACCAATGTACCTGGTAAGCATCAAGTTAGAAAACATTCTCAAAGTTCTCATTCACACAGCAGCTTTGGACTGGTTCTGAATAGACCTGCTTCCTGTTTCCTCACGAAAGAGCCATCTTAATGACAGCATGCTGAGGCAGATTAAAGATGGTCCAAGGTGATCCAGCAGAAAGAAGTGTCATGCATCAGTAAATAGAACCATAACTGCTTTATGAACATTTCATATCATAAGGCAGGGAGTCTTTGGAAGGCTGACTGGAATCCAAATGGCTTGTTGTGGGATCAAGTCCTCCCATCCAACTGGGACTCTGTACCTTTGCTTTCACTGCTGGAGGGTACAAATCTTTGACTGGTGACTATTTTCTTGTTATGTTTGTTTCTGTTTCATCAGGGGAGCATCAACCTCACAGAACACCTCTACTTTGGTGAGCTCCTTTCCAGGTTGGATGAAAAGGGTAAGAAAAGAGGGACAAAGGACTAAAGGGAAGATAATTCTTAAGCGAAAACTATATCACAGCATTTCTTTATGGATAAGATTATGGTTCTGGTTCCTGTACTGAATATTTCAGATAATGATATATAAACAGCGGTTGAAAGAAATGTTATAGCAATAGCCATAGCACTTAGACTTATATACCGCTTCACAGTGCTTTACAGCCTTCTCTAAGCGGTTTAATAGAGTCAGCATACTGTCCCCAACAATCTGGGTCCTCATTTTACCGACCTTGGGAGGATGGAAGGCTGAGTCAACCTTGAGCCAATGAGAGTCGAACTGCCAACTTGCTGCATTCTAACCACTGCGCCACCACGACTCTTGGTTAGAAAGGGGTTTTGTTCAGCAAATCTTATTTTGAATAGTGAAGTTTTTGTTTACTATTGTTTCCTCTAGTGGAATGCTCTTAGTCTTCATTCATAACTTCTAAAAATTAAAATTGTAAACATCTTGTTGACATACATTAGAAAGTCTCTTACTTTTAAGTCTGGCTCTATCAGCAGGATCTAATGCTGCCACAGGTTCTGAGATGCGGGATGGAATGCTGATACCAACATTATTCACAGCACGAACACGGAATATATATGAGCGCCCTTCAATTAATCCTGTGACAGGGAAGCGAGCAAACTTCACTGGTGTTTCATTGCATTGGGACCAGTGAGTGGTACCAACTTCACATCTGGAGGTGGGGAAAAAAGCAAGAAAGGCAAAATGACATGGAAATAATAAATACATCTCAATTCTTTCCAATATTTGCTTATGTTTGCTTTAATGCACCTGTCTGCTTCCTCTTCCTCAAAAACTGCCTAAAGGCGTAGGAATTCAGTAACTATTTTTATAGCCACTGAGTGTAGACTTATTGTCCCTTCATAAAGTAAAATGAAATAAATACATTTTGAACATCTTTGTAAATTGAATACATTGGAAAAGATACAGTCCTTATAAATCCTTCTGGGCATTCTACAGGCCTATAAACATCTATGCCATCTAGGATGTTGGATTGTAAAGGTCTGAATGAGCAAAGTCTTTCTTATGTTAATATACTAAGACTTATTGACCATAATGATATTAGTTACAGGATTCTACTGAATTCTCATGCACTTTTAATCAGAGTTATTTAGATGAGCTTAGTCTGCTCATTTTACTTGGGCTTCTTTTCATGCTCAGTCTAAATATGAAGGACTTGACCTGATCCTTGTATATCACCACAGCTTCTTCTCAGCATGTTTAATTTTATGTACATAAAAACAATGCTTTGTTTCAGACATTATGTTCAATGTGTAAAAGTTTATAGCTTAAAGTAGGGTTTCTCAAATTGCAATCTAGGACCCCTGAGGATGGTCACAACTGTTTTTAAAATTTGATGAGACAAAGCAAAAGCATTGTCAAAACTAACTCCAGATTTTGTTTCTATTTTGTCTTTGCAAACCTACAAAGGGCAGCTATGACATTACAAAGTTTGAAAATTCCCATGATACATAGATTAAAATTTAATTACTGTATTGAAACTATATGATGAATTTATTTTTTCTTGCTTTAATCTCAATTAAGTTATTAGTTTTGTTCATAGGTAAGAGGTGTCATGTAAATTCATTTATCATTTTATGTGGCCACAATGCAATAAAGTTTGAAGGTTAGAGTTACTGGGGTATCAACTGATGTAGTATTAGGTGAAATAGTGAAATTCCACAATATAATCAGTGAAACAGAGAGAAAAAGATATTAAAATACTTAAATGTATACATGTAGCATTATGATTACATGTATTACCAGTGTAGTAAATCATATTCTGGAATATGTGTTAATTTGAGAAAATAACAAATCCAATATTGTAAGAATCAGATAACTGAAATCTTAATCTTCTTAATCCACATTTTCCTTACAGTCATAATGTCAAAGAGATTACTTATCCCGGTCTATCATAAATACTAACTTATCTATGAAATATCCTAAAATAGAATGTCCACCATCAACAGCTGGTTGTTTCCAAGAGATGATAACATAATCTTTGTTAGCATCCAAACACTTCACATCTAAGGGAGAACCAGGAACTCCTGCTATATCAGCATCAGCATCTAAATGGAAGGAGATATGCATTTAAGAATATGACTATTAGCAAAAAAAAGTTCTTTTACCTTATTAGTACAGTTTTAATTTTTCACTAATTTATCTATAACTTATGTCATAATAAAAACACAATCTCATTAAGAATAATAAGAAGCTATTTTTCATTACACGTTCCCTCCCTCAGTGCATCCAACCAATCACACAATATCCATGCAAATACAATAGATTGCTGACTGGTAACACCTATTATTAAAATTTAGAATATCAAAATTGCAAGCATAATTATTTGACTTTCATACAAACTTTATTATAAGATTAGAAAGAAGAAACCTTTGCCATTTAGATCAAAATGTTTGTTATACAATGTAGGTTTTGGTCTTAAGCTGATTGTTTAATAGCGAAGTCATACACAACGCACAAAAACATGCTAATAAAATGAAGAAAAACAGATAAGTAGATTATATTTTATAAAAGTTAAAGTACCCAAAAAAATTAAAAAGAAAGAAAAAGAAGAAAAAGATATATTTACTGGTAGTTTTTAAGTTCCCTCCTTTATGTATGTCTGCTAATTTGCTGTACTATAGAACTTTAAGCCTCCTTAGAAGCCAGACTGTGATTGTATTTGCAGGCGGTACAATACATGATGTATTGTATGTATGGGAATCATTCTTGCTTAAATTTGGTAAGTCTTTCATCACACACACACACACACACACACACACACACATGCACAAATACATACACACATACTGTTAGTTTTTCATTGCTGCATGGAATAGAATTCCATTTCTCCATGTCTGTTGCCAATCAGATATTGTTGGAATTTTAACTCTTCTACTGGCTCACGTTATTTGTGAAATTACAAATAACTATCTCTTGGGAATGTTCTATATTTGTGATGATATATATATATTTTGATCATGTTCAACAAGAGGAGTGTTGTTTCCCAGGACCTGATGACCTGGCGCCATTCTGGGCTTGATCAGAGAGTCAAGAATTTGAAGAGTATCAGAGTTGGCATTACTCTCTTCAGCTGCTTTCAACAGCTGACACTGTGATATTGAGGCACTGCATGGACTAGTGAAATGTGATCATCTAACACTTGTGCAACAGAAATTCCAGAACTTGTTAAAAGTATGAATTCCCTAGTGAAATGCATCATCTGTACAAAAATCTAAAAACAACCTGATTGAAAAGAACAACATGAATATCTATAGTTAACGAAGTACAAAACTATGTATGTATAAAAATTTAGAACTAGATAAAGTGATGCTTATAGAATTACAAGTCTGTGATTGGCTTTCATAAGAATGCATTCCATAAAAAATCTGATTCTGAGCATAGTGTGGTTATTAGTTTAGAAACCATAGGTCTCAAGCATGTATTTGTGTGATAACACAAAAATGGTGACAGGGCTTATTTGTTTGAAAGAATCAATGATGGGAAAACACTACAGCCTACGAAGATCAGGTTGCAACTACACACATAGCTATTCTTTTACCAGGTTCAAACAAATAGGGCCTTTCTAAATCATGAAGTCATTTTTTGATTTGAATTTGTGTATGTGTAAGATTGAAAGGAAAAGAGATTTCCCTTTTTGGTCTCCTTACATCAGATGTGAATATTTGTTATTATATTTTTTGATATTTCTAATTTTTGCATTTTGGGATAGTGTCAGGATGCTCCCAAGGTACTTATTTGTTTTGAGTAGGGGCAGAATTTGGGAAAATAAATCAGTTACATTTCTTCCTTTCAGCATATGCAATAGACTTTCACTCTCATGCACAATCTCTGCTTTAGTTCAGAGATCAAACAGGTATGGTAAAAGTCTGAAACATCTGCTCCATCCTAACCTATTTTTGATTCTTGGTTTATTTAATTGATTAAATTTGTATGCCGCCCATCTCCCTTACAAGGTGATCCTGGGTGGCTTTCCTACCCAATAGAAAATTGGAATACAACTTAAAAAATGTGACCATTTACTAATAAAGACTGAATTTGAAAATGAGCTGGATCAAGATGAATGTTGGCAAAAAAAATAATAAATAAATCCCCAAGTCAGCCCAATTGACAGACAGTTGTGCAGTGGTTAGGAATGTGCCACCTCCTCGGTTCTTCGCCTCCTCTCTGATTCCTCCTTGTGAGGCAGACTGGAACTATTATTAAAGGGCTGTAAATAATTCTAAATGCATTCTTTGCATGCTTTCTCTATTCTGTTTTAGTCTTAATAATACTACTCATTCTCTTTCTTCTTTAACCTTGTGTGTGTGTGTGTGTGTGTGTGTGTGTGTGTGTAATTAGATATTTTAAAGTAATGGAGGGACTTGTTAATAATGTCTATTTAGCAGTGGTGAAATCTAAAATTTGTTACTACCGGTTCTGTGGGTGTGGCTTGGTGGGGAGGTAATGTGACTGGGTGGGCGTGGCCAACTTTTTTTTTTTTTTACTTTTAAAACCATTTTTTTCTATCACCTCTTCGGCAAAGAGGTTGTAAAAAAATGGTTTTAAAAGCCTCTGACAATCCCAGCTGAGTTGCCTGATCGGCAGAGGCTTTTTTTCTTTTAAAAGCCTCTGACGATCCCAGCTGAGTTGCCTGATTGGCAAAGGCTTTTTTTTTCTTTTAAAAACATTTTTTTCTGCCAAAGAGATTGTAGAAAAAATACTGTTAAAAATAATTTTTAAAAAGCCTCTGATGATCGCGCGGCTCAGCTGGACATGGGGGGGCAGAGATTTTTGCTTCTGGTTCTCCGAACCACCCGCCTCCATTGCTACCGGATCGGGTGATCTGGTCCGAACCGGGAGCATTTCACCCCTGCTGTTTAGGTATTATAGATTAAGTATATAAATTTCAGGGATGCGGTGGCTCAGTAGGTAAGATGCTGAGTTTGTCGATCAAAAGGTTGGCAGTCCAGTAGTTCGAATCCTTAGTGCTACATAACGAGGTGAGCTCCTGATACTTGTCCCAGTTTCTGCCAACCTAGCAGTTCAAAAGCACGTAAAAAACGCAAGTAGAAAAATAGGGACCACCTTTGGTGGGAAGGTAACAGCCTTCCATGCACCTTTGGCATTTAGTCATGCCAGCCACATTACCACAGAGATGTCTTCGGACATCGCTAGCTCTTCGGCTTTGAAACAGAGATGAGTACCGCCCCCTAGAGTCGGGAACCACTAGCACATATGTCCGAGGAGAACTTTTACCTTTACCTTTATAAATTCCTTCATTTTTAATTCTCTATTGAGGATTCTAATTATTTTATTTATATTTATTTATTAGTTAGAAATGTATTCTGTCTTTCCTCTAGAAGGAAAATGTGGACTGCAAGCATTTGATACTATTCAATTTTGTCTCTGTCAATGAGATAGGGAGGATTCAATGAGTCACATAAATTAGGCTTCTGTAACTGAGGAGGAACATGAATATGGGACTTTACAATCATAAATCTAACACCTTAAATTCTATATCACATTGGCTGAATTTTAGCTGCAATAAAGCCTAAAAGAATGATGTACAGGATTAAACTGGATATGACACACGGCAAAGATAAACAATTTGGTTCCCTTCAGAAATTTGGGATTGAGGATTATATTTACAAGGGACGCAAGAATCAGGTTGTCCACCTTTGGCATAATATATCTTTAAGAAGATCTTCTGGCAACATTTTAATTGGTGCAAGTATTTATTGTAAGGAAGGAAATTCCTATATTAAATGATACTTTAATGATTATTAAAAGTATAATTATAATTAATGGTAATCAGAGCTATAAATAATAATCATATAAAATGTGTCTATATTAGAGAAGAGTATAACACTGAAATCTTACTGTCATTGGTGCCACCTTCATCACTGTCTTTACTTTATAATTACTATGATATGTCTTACCTCGAACAAAAACATAAGCACTGTACTCCTCATAATAGTCTCCCATTATCACACGAATGGTATAAAGGCCTTCATCTTCTTTATTAGCATGAGTCAAGGTCAATGAGGCTCTTTCTCCACTCCAATGCATCTGAACCCATTTTGATGGAGAAATCAAAACTCCTAAAAATTAAATATATATTAAATAAATAAATAAATATATACCCTGAACATATACCACTCACAAATGGATACAACTCACAAATGGAATTGTTCATGTTTAAATAAACTTCCCTTACCAAGGAAATATCTTAGAGTCCTTTCACAATGATACATTTGACTGAGTTTAATTCATCGAAGTGACCTTTTTCAAAACTTTTTTCTTTCCAACCTTACATACTGTATATGGAAAAGTTCAATCAACAATGTGTTTGCTTAGGAGAATGAAAATAATCTACCATTTCCTCACATGTGATATTAAAAATGCACATCATCGTCATATATGAGTGTCAACTGGTTTAATAATTGTGCGTTGGCCTTAGGAAATTAGTCTCACTCCCAAGTATTCATACTGATTTCAGGACCATCCCAAAATGTTTTCATCCTCAAGGCAAAAAAAAGCTATTTCCAGTTTCACTCAACTTATTAAAATGGATTAGCTGTTAATCTTATTTCAAGTCAGAAAAGTATCTTCAAGTGCACCCATGAACACAGTGAAGCTCAAAGAGTCAGGAGACATTTTAAGGTGTATATAACACTAACCATTCTGTATTTTAAGTATTTGCCAATTGAGACGCTACTCTCCCACTCTGTCTAACAATATGGCCAGTCCTCAGTTATAACAAGAAGACAGAAGAGGCTTTCACTAACTAGTTAACAAGATATTATACAGTGCAAATAATTTATTACAGTCTTTAATGAAGAAAAATATGTCTTAATCTGAATAATCAACAGTTTTACAGTTTATTGTGCAATGATAGCTTATAAGCAAATAATAGTTAAATATCTTGGCTTATTGTAGTATGTAATTCAGCCACAGTCTGAGAATAAAAGTAATATTAGTATAGGTAGCTTTCAGTTTATGTCCATTTGTTCAGTGACCATTCAAAATTACAGAGGTGCTGAAAAATAAATAAATGGACAACCGGTCCTTGAAATTCTGGCCATCACAATACCCCTGTAGTCATGTGATTACAATCTGGGTGCTCGGATGCATGGCTCGTGATTTTGATGTTGCAGGAAGTTATAGTCACACGATTGCCATTTGTAACCTTCTCTGCCAGTTTCCCACAAAAAAAGTCAGTGAGGAAGCCAGCAGGGAATGTCAATAGTTTTTGCTCCAGTTTTTTCTCCTACCTGCAGCACACCTACCCTGCTGTATGCTGCCTGCACCAGCCCTCTCACAGCCTCATCTGACTCACATGTGGCCTGTCCCAGCCATCCCAGGCCTTCCCTCCATGGTACCCTCAAGCTCCTTATGCGGGACTCCTGCCTCATCTCACTTAACAACCCACAGGTTCTGGAGCTATGAGGGTAAAAGGAGCTGCCAGGATTGGTATTGCTAAGGGGTGTGGTCACAACTGCATCGCTTAGCGACAGCAATCCCAATCCCAACTGGCATCATAACCCAAGTACTACCTCTTGCACAGCTTGCTTTCTATTGCATGATCCACTTTTCCTCCTACAACTTCAATTGTATAGAAATATCCTAGGCAGACATCATCTAACTGAAACAAAGAAGAAGTTTATCTTTTAGTGCATGCTTACCATTCCTGTACCACTGGATTTCTGGGTGAAAACGCTTAATATCAGGATGGATGACAACTGTGCAGCCCAGACTCATTGTCTGACCTTCTCTTCCAAAAGAAACATCAAAAGCATCCACAAAATGTATTTCAAACCTGGAAGCATAGCCATAAGGACTAACACCAAGGCCAACTGTAAGAAGAAAAACTATGCTTATTCCTTTGTTAAAGCTGGGTTATTTAAAGTTGATTTCTAAGCCGTCTTATCTTCTTCTGATAAGATAACTTTTCAGATCCCCAACAGTGGAAACAATTTTAAAAAGATGCATACCAATCTGGGAATTATATAATAGAAGTCAAAGTTGGTCAGTTTTCTCTACTATAAGATCAAAGTTCCCAGTTAAAAAGATATGCCTCAAATTCACCTTTCTTTCCATTGTATTATTTAAGTGATGCTTAAGTGATATTTCATTGTTCTATAAATTAAGTTGATTTCTTTTTAGCTTTTGATCATGATTTAACATAAAAGTGGATATTGTTTTCTGTAGGCTGGATATTACAAATCTGAGTTATATAACTATGGTAAAAATGGGTTTGGCACTCAGTTCATTCAAGCTCAGTTCATTCAAACTGCATGTTATTAGTTTAAGAATAGTTATGACAAATTCGAACAATGGCCCTCTGGTTAGAACATTAACCAGTGAGAGATTATACTGTTGCTTCTGTTGTTGTCTTTATTCTGAAATCACCTTTTTGAAAGCAATACTAGCAAAATAGGTTCTATGACTTCAAAAGGCTGCATTTGTTACTTTCTGCCTTGGACATTTTTCTTTCTATTATGAATTTTTTCTTTCTATTATGCTAAATGGGGAACTCTAATTTCCACATTAACAAATATACTCTAGAACAGTGGTGAAATCAATTTTTTTTACTACCGGTTCTGTGGGCGTGGCTTGGTGGGTGTGGTGTGGCTTGGTGGGCATGGCAGGGGAAGGATACTGCAAAATCCCCATTCCCCCCCCACTCCTGGGGCCAGCCAGAGGTGGCATTTGCCGGTTCTCCGAACTGCTCAAAATTTCTGCTACCAGTTCTCCAGAACCTGTCAGAATCTGCTGGATTTCACCCCTGCTCTAGAATCCTAATGATAGTAGATTATTCTTCCTTGTGTCAATCTATATTTTGTTCACCAAATAACAAAATTTTTCTTATAAAGGGCATTTAAAGTCATGGACTAATGAAAACAAGATAAAGCAGTGAATTCAGCAGGACTGCCAGATCTGGGCAGCAAAGAATATTGTATGGATATTAGAGGGTTTTGTACATCTTTACTAACATCTAGTGGTCAACTGGAATTTGCAGCCTCCAACTTTTAGAAGTCTAATCCTTTAAATGGGGAGGGGGATATCTCAAACTTGGTGATGCTGTGATCCCCTAAAATAATGATCTAATTATAGACCATGGATGATAGAAAAAAACTAAACACTAGAATTGCATAGTATCAAGATGATGTGGTTTTTCACCAGATACTTTCTTATATGTTAATATATATGATACTTATCTAAATGAGATAAAGTGCTTAGAATCTTAAAATAAAATTCTATCACATATATTATCAAAGGCAATAGGCAGAACTAAGCAATATTCTCTGCCTTCAACTGCATCTGATGTTGCAGTATAAGATAAATCATTATAAAATATTAATACTTCCAAAATGAGTATATTTCTTTAAATAATCTTCTCAAAACACTATACGGAACATTAAAAATTATACTAATACATTTCTGAATGACTCATTATGAAGTTTATCAACAACTTACAGCTTAGGGGCAGTGTGACAGTTCCAGCATGGAAAAAACTTTCATCAAACTCTCCTTTCACATATCCTATAGTTAAAAAAAAAAAGCAAAACAACATTTCTATTGTCATTGATCTGTAGGCCGCAAGACAAAATTTTAGCAAGCGGTACAAAAAAAATTGCTAAGGGTTGAATATTTGAACAAACCTACTTTTTACTACTACAGAAGCATAAGCTGAAAGTTCTCCTTTGACATTCATGGCAGAAGCACGATACTGAGCTGTGTCATCAAAATCACATCTGTGAGGAATGAAGGATTTAGGAATAATGTTAATGTCATAAAAAAATGGTGCTCTTACATTTTGCAATAATTTTTAAAATTGATCCTCTGGTCCCTTCCACACATGATGGCTGTGCTGATTTTAGAAAGTTATCATTTTGGCATGTTCCCCATGTACATGAGTTTGCCAATGGGCTTTGCAGCTTCAGAAATTAATTGATCAACTCCTGTTACTGTCTTCAATACTGTGAAGACAGAAGATAGTCTTTCTTCATAAAAGCTGAATGGGCAGTTTCCCATTAGTGGAAATTACTGTCTTGTTCTTCCTTTTGGTTTCTTGTCTCCTGAAATGAAGCTGCCATGGTTGCATGGCACTTATTCTGCATTAGTTTATGAACCTAGAGGGCTTATTTTAGTATGACCCTACAAAGTCACCCTTTTTTGTGCGTGTGTTTACTTGTTTTCCTTGCCATGAAAAGCAAATAGGAAACAAGAAAAACAAATGAATAAAGCACCAGCCAGCTATCATTTAGGCATCCCAACTGGTCACCCAGGACTACCAGCTGTCCAAAGGAAAGGAAAGTGAGAGTCAACATGGAATGGTAAGAGCAAAGCCAGTCACTGTATGGAAGGGGCCTTTCTTCTATCTTACTTAGGCAAATTTTATTCAGATTTATTTATCATGTACCCTGCCCTCCAAAATTGCTCATTCAACTAGATGAAATGTTAGCATAAGAGAAAAAGGTTACATTGCATGGTAGGATTCAGAGTGGGTGAGTATGAGTAAGTTTCATGATGATTTTAAAAGCAGATGTGATATAGCAGAGGCATTTTTAAAAAAATAAATTAAAGGAGCTTGTTGTTCTTTTACCCCATTGTCCAATATCTCCAGTTTTCACATTTACCCCATTTTCCAATATCATTTCACCTTCATTGCACTATTTTCTAAGATTTATCTAATATGTTAATGCCAGTAGCTAATTTGACTATTCACTTTTACTTAATGTTTATTTATTGACGGAATCTCTATAGCCACCCTTCTTAAACAAGTGACTTTGAGAGGCAAACAATCATAAAATGTTACACTATATATGAACATTTTCCTACATCTCAAGAGCATTTTGATTCTTAAAGCATGAAAACAAGTAGCTTTTATTCTACCAAATTCACCCATATTTTACCAGTGTGATGTTTTACCACTAGACAATAATTTAATTTCTCTGTTGAATTTAATTCTTGCACAGTATTTTCAAAACTCTGTTTAGTAAAGGACAGATGTCAGATAGAATCGTTTGAATGAATGAGGAGCAGGATGGGGATAGGAATATGCAATGTGGTTAGACAGGGAAAAAGGGAAATATTACACATTATTGAAGGGTTCAACAAAAAGGAAAAAATGAAAGAAGCAACTGTTAAAGGGTTTGGGAGTTTGGTTGATTTTTGTTTTGTTCTTTCAACCTTACCTCAGGTTTTCAATATTTCCTCTTGGGAACAAATCTCTCCACAAAACCAGTTTCTTGTGGACTCCTTTTTCTTCATGGAACAATTTGACTCAATTTATACAATACAATTTATTGTCTTTTGCCAATGAAGAAATAGGATAATGTGCTACATAGCACCAGGAACTTATATCCTATGCAGTTAAACTGTAATCTTAATTCTTAATAACATTTTGATTGTATTAAGACCCTAAATCTGATTAGCTCTATTTAGGATATCAGCCTAAGCATGGTCATAGGACTAAGTTAGAGTTCATGGAAGATGAATGTTAATTCACTTCAGCTGATATTTTGTACAGATGATGTGTAGGAAGTGAATCTTTATGACAGGCTGTGTGGTTTTCTCACACTTTATGGGCAAGCAATGAGCCAAGGTATCAATCATCAAAGTGGCTTGAATTCTAGTCAGGATAACATCAGCCGAACCATTTGCTGAATAAAGTGATAACCCAGCAGCAAATTCTAAGCATCATCAAAAGACAGCAAACCGTTAGTCATTTAATTTGTTTCTAATATATATTTTATTGCTAGATATTAGGTGAAGGAATTGTGATATGTTTTGTTTCATGTGCCAAAATAACTTGTCTGAATGCTGATATTATACAAGATATTATTCAGCATCACATGCAGAAAAATATCTTAAAACAGATGGACACACACAAGTGGAAGTTGCTTCCATCCACACAATGAATGATGGGTGTGGTCATAATTGTTTATTACTTTCCATCTTCCATGACTTTTAGCCCTTCTACTACGTAGCACATCATTCTGTGTGGGTCTCCTGGATTTCTGTAATTGAGAGAAGCTGCAGTACTTTAGGTTCAAGTTAATACTTGTAGAAATAATACAGAAGAAGTTAAATTTCATTTTGTACACATCAGTGTATTACAGATTATTCCACTAGGGCCATTTTTAAAAAAAGAATAGGCAGTTTGCATTGCACAGTTTTTCTAAAAAGTAAAATCTTCATCTTTCCACCAAAAGAAAAAAGTTATGGGCAATGAATTCCAGTTGTACATAGAATTAAATTAACGGAGGAGTGTTTGAATGAAAAAAATATGAATCAGGTAAAGCTCAGGCTCTAATAAAGAACTATTTATTTTAAGAATGTAAACAGAGGCATGTTTTGTCTGAAAGTCATCTTTAGCCTTACTGTTAGTATTTATTAAGTGCTTAAAACTATATTCTAGTTAATAGAATAGAATAGAATTAGAATAGAATAGAATAAGAAAATTATTTATTTATTATTATTAAAATTATTAGAAAATTATTATTTTCTAATGGCTTTCAGAGTAGGATTAGAATCCATCATGAAGATAACAGCAAAAAGAAATGTAATTTAACAGACTCATTTGCTAATAATGTTGTTATAGAAATTGCTAACAGATAATGGTGATGTGTTTTCAAAATATTATTTTATTGCTTGAATACATTCTAGCATTATGTGTGGATATTTAGTTGAAATTTTAGATATAGAAGGGAAACTATGTATCATATGCTAACACAATTATCTGGAAAACAGTTAATCTGTAAATAATAGCTTCAGTTAAAACAATATCTCAGCAAGGAAACATTACTTCTTAATGATTTTTGATCACATTTCTTATACTGTAATAACATTGTACAGGAGCTAATGGAACATATCAATCAAAACCTGATGTTCATTCATAAAGTTGTACCCTGTTAAAAATCTACATTGTGATATATCCGGACATTACTTGGGGCACCAAAAATACTTTGCTAATGAGTTTTGAGTTTAACTGCAGTTATAAAATACCTTATATAGGGTAATCATGAGGGCCATGATTACTTCTGACAAGATTTCAGTATAGACATCAACATTTCTAGAAGAACAAGGCTGGTGTACTCTAACATTACATTTAAGAACACCTTGACAAGGTGAAAAGACTGTTGAGCACCAGGACAGCAAGTTTACTGTTGTACTCTTCTGAAAACACAAGCTTTAGAAACATAACTCAGAACCTGGTGTAGGCTAAATGAAGCAACTGGCAGGGAGCATTAACCAGTGATCCCACACCAGCCCACCTTCATATCACCAAAGTCAGGCCTGTTACTGAACAGGACAAATTCAACTAGATTCATCATCCTATGTTACCTCCATTGATCAGACAATGTTACATTGATAAAATAATCAGATCCTGGATTACTTGTTTCTCTTATTGACTACCTGGCATTTAATGACAAATCTTTCAAGCTTTGGGATAGTGACTTAAATTACACAGATTCTGCTTGCTGGATGGGCAATCAACCAATACATATCTAGAATCTAGTTAGATTTCCATTACAACAACACTATCATTTTCTCTCTAGCTTCTTCCACTGATAGCTATTTTTCAATTCTGACACTCACATCCTTCAAGAAATGCTTTCCCATTTCCATTTTTTTCTATTGACAGACAATAGCTTGTTCAGGCATTCAATCTTCCCTTGAAATTACCATAACAGAGAATGAAGACATGTTAGTTGATTCCGATGCTAAATCCTATCATCTTCCATTCTCTGGGAGATAATATCTGCATTGACAAGCAGGGCCAGATCTAGGCTAAAGCCTGAGTAAGCACCAGCCTAGGGGCATCAGATCAAAGCCTAATATGTTAACTGTTTGCTGAAAACCAGGAAATAGCTGATTATGCTTAATATACAAGGTGTAGAATAAAAGGAAGGGGAGTAAGGAAAAGAAGGCATTATATTAACCTGGTCTGCTTTGCCCTTAATTCATACTGCCCAAAATTATGAAAAGGGTTACTTCCACAGTAAAATGCCCTATAAGTATACATTTATTTCCTAAAATGAACTGTCATGTATCCCCTTTTAGGAAATAGATTTAGATTCATAGGCTATATAACTTATCTTTCTACACTATGCTGTCTACTCCATCAGTAATGCACACATTTTCATTTATTATATTACCTAAATGCAGAAATTTTAGTTTAAATCTTTTCTATATTAAAATAATTGATATTCCATATATTCTTATTTATGGAGCACCAGGAAAGATAAATATAGAGAAAAAGACAACAAAATCTCTGAAAATCTCATCCCCCAAAACATAAAATGCTTTCACTACTTATTTTTACAATAATATAAGTTTATATCAGCATTTGAGAACTGGACACATGCAAAAATGTAAAATCTGTATTAATAACAAGAGGTATTTCCTACTCTAAAAGGTATTTAAGAATATAGAATAATAAAAATGCTATATTATATAATTTATTACTCCTGCTACCAAAACACATACTAGGTAGTAAAATGTTCTAAGGAACATAACTAGTACAACAAAATCTGTTTGGATACATTTTGTATTTTCCACAAACTATTAGACTTAAAAGTTAATTTTATAAACTTTCTGCTTTGTTGGCATAATTAGTCATTAAAAAAGATTAAATGATTTGTAATTTAATTAGTAATTTTTATTCTATATAAGGTTAAATCAGCAAATGATTGAGTTATTATACATTCTTTCCTGCAATAATTTAATCTAATTTCTAAATAAAGTTACATTAAACTGGTTTTAAGGTTGTCTGCCGTAGTTTGCTATAACCCATTTTTTCCAGCAAGCCGGGCTGGCTTAAGAAGAAATTTTAAATGTTTTAATTGGTTTGTGATTTTTAATTTTGGGGCCAAATTTATATATATTTTAATTGTTTTTTAATATTTGTATTTCATGTTCTTAATTCTGGCTGTACACCACCCTGAGTCCTCAGGGAGAAGGGCGGTATATAAATTGGAAATAAAATAAATAAAATAAATATGTCCAGTTGTCAAGTTTCTCATTACTACACCATTCTCCTTATGCTAACATGTTTTTGTTTTTAAAAAAACCAATTACATGCAATATAATAAAATAATCACAAAATCTTTTTTAGGGGATTCAAAGCACAGGTAGCTTTCATAAATTGTTATTGTCCCAGTAGGCCAAGATAGCTTTCAATCATCCAGTTCTTCCTCCCATATTTTCCAGGGTTACACATCCCATAAACATATACACGTTTTGTTCTTCTAGCAACAGCATCCCAAAATATGAAGCTTGAGCAGGGCCAGCAGATTTCCTTGTGTGCCCTGCAGTCATGGGAAATTAAAATTTGTGAAAGCTCAACAGGACCTCTTGCTCGTTAACCATGAGTTTTTGTACTTGGTTCAATAAGAAATTGCAGAATTCTACTTAAATCAAGTTGGAGCCATTTATGACAGATGGTCTTAGGTGGAAAAGATATAAAAATATTTTGGTGGTGTTCAAGACCCAGATTATATTGAGAGATTTAAAGGTTCCTTGTAAGGATAAGATTTGAAAAAAGAGACCTTTATTTTAATTATGAATTTAAACCATTATAAATTACCTAGAATTTCTTATATGCCTAGAATTCAGTAAGTTATATAAGTATATATCAATATAAACACTAACATATTAATTCATTAATGTTAATTATGCTAGATAAATAATCTTAATACAGCACTGGTAGAAATTGATCAAGAAGGGCATACAAAACATCAAATCAGCCTTAGGATGTCTTATATTTTTACAAGCAATTTCAGAATATGTATAACTTTTCATAAGATGTTTTGGTGCCCAATAAAATAAAAACCACTAGTTCCTATTTCAACAGATTCTTCCAGTATGATATTACTAGCATCATCTTCAAAAGACATACTCATATATTATAGGGATTTATCATATACTATAATTCTAAAGAAAAAGGAAAAAGATTACAAAAACTATATACTATATACTATATCCCTTACTTGTTAATTTCCAAAGAGTGCATCCCATACCGACTTTCGATTGCATATTTACCAGGATGAGTATGGATATTGATGGGAACATTGTTTTTATACCTATGAAATAAAAATGGATTTATGATAAACACATCAAACATGAAGAAGAAATGAAAAAATATAAATTTAATAAAAAATAGATTTAGCAAAAACTGAAAAATGAGACTAAATTGAATTACTTGTTCACATATAAAACGATTGATAATATCTAACTGGAATATTGCAGGGTAGAAAAAAATGACTCATAAAGTGCAACACTTTTACGCATCTGATTTCATATTACATATCATTTGTATATATTTATGGAAAGGAATATGTAGTAATAATAAAATAGGCATGGCAAACTTCAGTAAAACTGCTGAGTTTTTCTTTAGCTTTGAAAAGCATTTGAGGGAAAAAAATATCCAGAAGATGGCAGCAAATATTTCCATCAGCATGGAATATGAAGCATTTGTCGGTAGTACTACTGAACTTTAAAGTCAGTATTCAAGTAACAAGTATTCAATTATGTACCTTACTGCATTCTCTTTTGTAAAACTCTTTCAAAAAATCTGATCTTGGTTTGTGTTTCTGTATTATTTGTACAGGGACCATTTGAAGTTACTTATGACTGGTTCTTGAAGTTATGACCACTGCTGTGCAGTGGTCATGTGATCAAAATTTGAGAGCTTGGCAATTCATCCACGCGTATGACACAAGGGGTGCTTCAGCTCCTCCACCTGCCTATCTCCATTCCCATCTATGCCCTTTTGGTCCCTTGCACTCCATGGCCCCTGCTGCCCTAGCTGATCTTTGCTTTCTTATTGCTCCTGCTGCTGACCAAGCATGCCCAGTCTGGCCCTTGGTAAGGCAGCTGTGGGCAGCATGACACATTCTTGCCAAGGTTGTGCCCAGCAGTTTCATTGTGAGACCAGGGAAAGATGGCTTCAGCTAGCCAGAATCTGCCTAATGAACAGCCAGGGCATGCACACCTCATCAGCACTAGGAGCAAGAAGTCAGCTGAGGTGGTGAAGCCCAGGATGGCAGGGGTCTCAAGATATAGGGTAGAGAGGACTACTGTGGTTGCTACTCGGCTGGGGCCAATGAGGCTGGCACCAAGAAGCCTCTAAGTCTCAGCATGGCAAGCAGCCCCAAGACCACATCTGGGGCAGTGGTGGGTTGCTACCAGTTCGTCCCGGATCGGGTGAACCGGTAGGGGCGGCCGTGGGAGACTCCGCCTACCTGCCCAGACACTTCTGTGCATGCGTAGAAGTATTGCACATGCACACGCACCCATGAACAAACTGGAGCGATGGATTTTGAAACCCACTACTGTTCTGGGGCCAATGGAAGGTTCAAGGTGGCCAAAAGAGATGAGAGGGAATAGGGAGTTGGACAGAGTTGGAGGGGAGGCAATCCCTTACACCTTGGAAGAATTGAGGCTCAGATCTGGGAAGAATCAAGGCTGGAATGGACTTTTAATTTTGAAAAAAAAATCCCTCTTTATCTATTCTTCTTCTTTATTCATTACATCACTACATTTTCTCTAGATATAATAATAATAATTACATTTTTTCCATGGAGTTTAGCATTACAATGGACCAATATATTTTAGATCAATAATTAATTTTTATGACCCAAATTCTTAAATTTTAACTTACAATTTACTTGTACAGTATTATTATGTGATTATACTCTAACCCATAATTTTAGTTTATGACAAAAAATGTAATTTGCAGTACTATTCTATGATCAGCATTGTTCCTTTTGATAAACAGCTGTGACATCTAGCTGGATCAGACTCCAAATTATTATATTTAGCTCGTCTAATGAAAGGCATAACAAAAAAAATATTTCTTCTATGTCTCTTCACATTCAAAGGTGTTGCCTTTCAACAGCTTGTGTCATGGAAAATGTAGATCAGTACACACTTGTTATATTAAATTTAAATGGAACCAAATTTTACCTCAGTTAACAACTGAACTAAAGCAGTGGGCTCTTAAGGATTATTTATCTTAGCATATTAACAATTAGTACACATGCACAGGAAAAAAAAATAGAATAGAATAGAATAGAATTATTTATTGGCCAAGTGTGATTGAAATCAAGAATGAGCCTATGCTTAACGGATTTTTAAAAAAACTGCTACATTTTCCTCCAATTTCCAGCAACAAAACTTAATTTCCTCATTTTTCAACTGCATATTATTTTGCAATATAATAATACTTTGTTAATCTTGTATATCTATATTATTGCTTATATTATGTGATAAAAAGGAAGTTGAAGATGACCTTGAACTAAATTACTTGGACTAAAGATATAAAGTTATTTTGAATACTCTGAATAGTCCAATATTCTGAATATTCTAAATAGTAAAATACTAAACTGAATGAACCTGTGATTTTTTTTACATTAACAGAAATTTACCCAGTGCATACAAATATCAGAACAGATGTTCTTAATCTGTTCTTAATTACATTCTTAATTACAATTACCTTAATAATTTAAACAAATATATGTGACTGACAGAGAACAGAGTAACTGGCTGGACTAGATTCAGGAACTGTGAGGTCAGATAATATCCACAACAAATAGAGACTTGAAAATGACTCCTCTCTGTCCCTCCCCTGTTTCTTTCTATCTCTACATATGCATTTGTGTGTGTGTATTAATATGTGTACATTTGAAATGTTTGAAATGCAAAAATAATCTTTTTAATAAACTGATTTGTATAATATTCAGCTACCTATAGCTTTTCAGGATGCTTTTATGAAAGCATGATTATACAATAACTACTTTAGCCCTAATTAAAAACTACCCTGATACTGCACTGTGGTATAAATATAGTGTAGCTATATGTCTTGTTTTTTCATCTCTAAATATGTGAATATATCTCCTTCTCCAAAGAGGGCGGGGGTGGGGGTTGGAGCAGTGGTGGGATTCAAGTAATTTAACCACCGGTTCTCTGTCCTAATGATTTTTTCCAACAACCAGTTTGCCAAACTGCTCAGAAAGTTAACAACCGGTTCTCCCAAAGTGGTGCGACTGGCTGAATCCCACCACTGGATTGGAGAGGTCAACAAGCAGGGGAATGTCGCTGAATAGATTGCATAGATCATAAACAAAATGACCTGGAATTGTTCATTTATATAGACAAGATCTGGCAACTTTCACATATATAAGAAACTTTGAGAATGTTTTACTTCAGGCTGTTCTTAAAGACAGAGTACTAATTTTCAGAAGAATCAATATTTTTATTCAAAACTACCCAAGCTCTACTGTGTGGCTTTATCATGAAATGGGAGGGTGTTCCTGGGTGACATAGGCAAAGAATGTAAGGAGTGTAGGCCAAGATTATACATTCCAGCAGGGTCACCCAAAGTATGAAGGTCATCCCAGCTGCCCAATTAAAGCAAGCGGGCACCTATATTGGAAATCAGTTATATAGAAACATGAAGAGGCAGATGATCACTTTAGAGACAATGGCAAAGACATCAATTTGTACTGCATGCAAGAAGGCAAGGGTAAACTTTGCTGTATTTTTATTAAGAAAACCACTGGATGGACAATATAGAATGATGGACAATAAAGTGCCAAATGATGACACCCCCCACCCCAAAGTCAGATAGCATTCAACATGCTACTGAGGAAGAGCTGAGGATCTTTCAGAGTACTAATGATGAAGATGAATATACTAGGATAATGTTGCAGAATCCAGTCTGGGTCGGTCACTGGGACCAGAGGTTTAGTCTTCTGAGCTTTCGGACTTGTGCTGGAGCCCATCCTTTCTAGTTCTTGCCACACACAACCAGACACCATATAAATACCAGACACAGAATAGTCCAAAGCAAATACTCCACTAGTGAAAAGTTTGCTGGGCTCCAGCATGAGTCCGAAAGCTCGGAAGATGAAACTTTTGGTCCCAGTGACCAAGTCAGATTGGATTCTGCAGTATTAATGGTCTTTATGGTGCTACTGGGTTAAAGCCTTTGGGGTGTCTGTCTACTTGCTGATATTGCCATACAGAAAAAGAAAAGTTATGGTGGCTATGTGGGCACCATTGGGAGACTTGAAAGATCTATGCGGGCACTGCATAAAGAAAGATCTATGCGGGCTATGTGGGCATCATTGGGAGACTTGAAAGAAAGGTTAGGGATAAATCAGAAATGACTTACATAATCAAACAATCAAAATCAATCCGTTAAAAAACAATGCAAGAGTTATGTCAGGTTTCTATATATGTACCAGAGCACATAATTTTAATAAAGAAAAGAATTATACTTTTATAGGATGCACAAGATGAAAACCCCAAAAATGCACCCAGAACCTCAAAATTAAATTAGTTTTCTAAGAAGCAACTATTATAGTTAATTCTTTTATGATTGTAGAAGTATCAAATCACCAATGTCATGAAATCACATTATAGTAATTCGAGATCTTTGGCATTTTTTTAGAAATTGAGAATAGTATACATATTTCCCTACTCTTTCCCCATTTCTGTCCAATTTATCTCTTTAAATAAGGCTGGTTTACCACATTCCCACAATATTAGTCAAGCAGAATATGGTTCAGAAATCAGTGGTTACAAGTTCATATCGTTTCTTGTTTTGAAAATCAACAACAGCAGGATAATCTCTGGTAACTGGGAATATATAAGGAAGGTAATCTTTTCCTGTCTCTTTTTCTAATGTAAATTATTCTATTTCATTAAAGCTATTTCAAGAGTGGGGAACGGAAATGGGGTGAATGATTAAAAAAATAAGTCCCTTCACAGAGCACTCTGGGTCTTCCCTGATCTTCAAATCATCCCCATACCAGGAAAAATAGGCCCTCTACTGCCCTTCAAACATTTTGGGGATGTAGCTCCCATTATTTCTAATCATTGCTCAGGTCTAAGGTAAAGGTAAAGGTTCCCCTCACACATATATGTTAGTTGTTCCCGACTCTAGGGGGCGGTGCTCATCTCCATTTCAAAGCCAAAGAACCAGCGCTGTCCGAAGACATCTTTGTGGTCATGTGGTCAGTATGACTAAATGCCAAAGGCGCACGGAACGCTGTTACCTTCCCACCAAAGGTGGACCCTATTTTTCTACTTGCATTTTTTATCTGCTTTTGTACTGCTAGGTTGGCAGAAACTGGGACAAGTGGGAGCTCACCCCGTTACACAGCACTAGGGATTCGAACTGCTGAACTGCTGACCTTTCTATTGACAAGCTCCGCGTCTTAGCCACTGAGCCACCATGTTCCTTTAGGTCTAAGGTATATGGATGTAAATGTAAATTATCTGAAAGACCAAATCTTCTGTCATATTTAGCAGAAATTTGGATCAGTATTGTCCAAGTTGTAATAATTGACACTTTTTGTCAATGTTCTGCAAGGTACCAATTCTAGAAGCAACTTGCAATTATGAACTTACATATTAAATTAAAGCCAACTACACAATATCTGACTTAAATTTTGGATTTCTTTCTTCCTGAATCATTTTACATCATGAACAATTCTGGAAACCCAGGACCCTTCTTTTCTGGCACTTTAGAAGTTACTGCATCTGACATGTACTGCATCCAACATGTTTCTTCTTCATCTTTAGCTTATTTTAAGGAATACAATTTTATTTATGACATGAAATAAAAGTCACACACTTTTAGCATCTGATGATTCATTCCAGAAGAGGGAAGTCATTTGCTAATTTGGAACTGCAACACATTTATTCTTTTTATGGGTTAGCAGTTCAAATATACTGCTGAACTCCCGAATGATATGGGTTTTCCTTATTTTTCCTAGTAAAGCTAATAAAAGAACGTGATTGAATGTAACATAATTCACTATGCAGTATAAGCATTTATTCAGCTGAGAACACTAAGGATTCACAACTTTTTATCACATCTCCATGGTGTACAAGTGCTGTTTGTTTCAAGCATGTGAATGACATCTACTTAACAAATGATAAGCAAGAGTTATCAGGTTTCATTTTATATCCCAAAGCAAACACCTGTCTGATGCTCATTCTTTCCACTGATAGCTAAGTACTTAAAATGCAATTCTCTGCATGTTTCAGTCAATAGCAAATCACACTGAATTCCTAGATATATAGGACCAAATTAAATATATAGGACCACTTAAATATTCAGTGTTACCACAATTTAAAGGAAAGTACTGCATCACATTCCATAAATACATCTAAATGGATATATTTATTGCTAACTTAATTTAAAGTAAATTCAATTCTTGGATGTAGCTTCTGTAACAATATTGGAGTGAGGCAGTTTTAAATCACTCACATTCTAAAATTATATTCCAGGCATGCTATCAAGTCAAAAACAACTCAGAAGAGTAATGGGCCCAATATATTTATTTGGGTTAGATATCATTATGCCAAAGTAATCATGTTATCACATTTCTGACCTTGAAAGATTTTTTTCCTATTTCTTAATCAAGTTGCATTCATTTTAAAAATATATCACCTTTTTGTACACATTCCTTTTTAAATATATAAATGTAATGCCTTTTACTGTCAGATTTGCAAACTTTTCTTCATATAAATGTATTTGGAACACACCTTTTTCTGAAATAAATGCTTTTTAATTGGCAAATTGTGCCACAAAATCAAGTAGTGCCAAAATCAAATTGTTAATGTATTCAGTATGCATATTGATTCAAGAAGTGCAGTCAGATAAATTTATATCAAACATGAATTTCCTCATTCAAACCACTAATACTTGGAAATTTTTTTCTCACTTGAAAGCTCTGGCTCTTTTCAATGAGATTGCCAATACCGGTATGTACACACAAAATAAATAGATATAGATTCCTCCCTTGAAATGAGTAGATATGTATCCTATTATTCGTTTTAGATTTAAATTGTAAGTCACCATTAAATGGCTTTTAACCAATGAAACATACAATATAGAAACATGAATTGATAAATTATGCAAATATTATTCCAAGTGTGGTTTGAAACATTCTCACTTAGAATTAATTGTTGTGTTGAGGCAAAAGTTACTTGTTGTGTTACACTTGTGCTACACTTAATGATAGCCATTATTCTCAAGCCCTCTGCAGGAATAAGATATAATGTAGCAGGTATAATATAGCAGGAGTAAGGTAGCCCAAAATGAATTAAAGTACTGAATTAAAGTAAAAATATGAAACATATTTTAATTTATATAATAATGTGTGAATTACTTTAAGTATGCAAAAATTCACTAGACAACGTTAAGCGTTGAATTTGATTACTTCTCAATACAGTATTTATAGCAAACGTTCTTTTTATGTTAACCTGTTCTAAATGCATTACTTTATCAACTTATAATGCTGATAAACAGACAAGCATACCATGTAACACGAGGTTCTGGCCAGCCTCTCACAGTGCAGTGCAACCTGGCATTCTGTTTTTCCCAGACAGTGTGTGAACGAGGTTTGATAACAAATTCAGGAGCATGTAGCAGGCTATCTTCATTTAACTTTCTGTGGAATTCCTGTGTCTCTGTTAACTGTAAGGACAAACATTTCACCCTTAAAAATCATCCTGTAGACATGCTAGCCTTAGCTTTGATGTAGACTACTATATAAAATATTTTTTTCGAACATCTCATAAATATAATAAAATATTATCAATAATTTTCAAAGTGCCATTTAAGTAATTTTTTCTTAAAGAAGATGACCACAGGATAAATGAAAACATTATTGCTTTCTCCAGATTCTAGATAGACCTAGAATCAACTGCTCATCACTTCCTCAGTGCAGAAGCAGATGGTACCCTCTCCCCATCCTCTTCCTCCCACTTCCCCATCCCACTCCCAGTCTCAGGAAATTGCAAATGTTTCCCATATCCATGTTTTCCAGCTTCAATTCAAATGGATGTTTTCTATTGTTTTAAAACCTTCAGAATTGATGGTCTTTGGTATTTTCTTTCTAATCTAGATGAAGACTTGTCTCCCAATGGCTGTGCTGCCTGGCAACCTCCAGTGGCTAATCATTATACTGTGCAGCCATTGGGTTGCTATGTTCTCTCCTGATTGGTATCTCCCTTAAAAAAGGCTTACCATTTAAAATGCAATGTTTACAGTTTACAATGAACCATTCTTAACTCTGGAAGCTCATGATCCATTTTCTATCCTTTCCTTCTTCCCTAGTCTAGGGAAAGCAAAGCTTCCTTTTCTATTTTTCAAAGAATATTAAAGCTGCTTCTGTAGTTGCTGCTTTGCTTTTTGAAGCTAAGCTGTCAATTCCTCCTTATTACAAAGCTTCTGTGCATCTGCAGGAAGATGTAGGAATGAAAAAGAAACCTGTTTCCTGTTGCTTTCATCTTGTGTGACAAAGTTAGGATGGGGGTGGGAGAGAAAAGTCTGGATTAGGGCAAAAGGAGATAATGTGAGAAGAGAAGGCATCCATGTACGCAAACAACTGGGAAACGGCACAGAAAAGGCACATGGAATTGCAACTAGTGAAAAGGAAACAATTTCTGAAAGGAAGAAGTGGCACCAAATCAGCCAATGAGGCCCTTTCTCTGCAGGGGTTGGAAGAGAAAGAAGCAGAGAAATGACCATTCAGCCATGATCTGGACTGAAGTCATAGCTCCACTGCTCACTCTCTGCATTTGGGTTAGGTATTTTTGAATTTGGCTTAAGAAAAAGATGAGAACAACACGCAAAACATGCTGTTAAAGGAAGCAATGAGGCCAAGTAAAAGAAGAATGTGACTTTTTCCATGTGAAATTATGGAAACATTAGTATCTAATTTGGAATTTTGTTTCTCCCAACATAGCATTTCCTTACATGAAGTGAAATATAGAAGGGTCAGAAATTGGCCACAGCACGTGCCAGTTGGGACAATAGATCTGCTGGTTGCAAAATCCTTTTGGTATGCTCACTCTTATTCCCAGCCAAAAAAACAGTCTACAACAGTTCTGGAGCTGGCATTGATATATTTATTGGCTTCAACAGGAGGGAATTCCTTTTATTTAAACAAAGAGAGTACTGGGGATGGGAAACTGATCCTTCTACATTCTTGCCCTTCAGCAGGCGCCAAGAAAGATGCTGGAGTTTTTCTCAGAGGGAACAGATAGGATTCATACTCTGCCCAATCCTTATAGACCTATAAATCTATCATTTTTATCCGTAGAGATAAGGAACAATACTTGAAAAATCTATTTTATAACATTTCATATTTAGATATTGAATCCTACCAAATGTTTAAGTCTTAATGGTTCAGAAATTATGTTTTTTTACCCCCCACTTGAAATCAAACAGAAACATAATAATTAATAATGGCTTACCTTTGTAACCATGTCCTATATTTTGATATTTTAACAGCAGTAAATAACAACAAAGCCTCACATCATTAATGAATGAGTAATTTAATACCGTTTTCTTTAAAGCCAATTTTTCAGCTGTCTCCCGTATTGCTACTTTTCTTGATTTTTTCTCATGGTGTTCTTCTTCTATAGAAGAGGAAATTTTCTTTTTGGTTGCAGTGATTCCTTCCCCAGTAGCAAAAAGATTCCTTCTGGCAATATAAGCAGCGCTTTCCTTAATTCTTTCTTCTTCTCTATCTGTAATTCCACTAATATAGTTTTCTCTGCAATAATTAAAAAAAAACCCATTGCATATTAGAAAACAAGCCATTTTATGTTAATCTTAACATAATAAGTTAAATATAGTCCACTGAATATATCAAAACTGAATATATCAGTTTTTCCTAATTTGTGCTGTAGATATAAGATTTAGGAATGAAAGTTGTGGATGACACAAATTTTAGCCCAATTTTCTGCATAATACGCTGTGGGGTGGAGAAGCAGTTTTTCATGATTTTCTTGAAAAATATTAGTTATCATCTTATTGTCTCTTTAGCTTAAGAAAATAAAGGTAAATATGAAAAGATATCAATACTTTTACAAGATGCCAATGTTATGGAAATCTACTGTATATCAAACTAGCTTGATTCTTTTTAAAAACATTACATCTGGTATGCACATATTTCAGTATCAAAATAGTATACTTCCACAATATAAATCGTAATGAAGACTACATTTTGAATGCAGCAAACAGTTGTTTAGAAAGCTAGCATCTGGCATTGGAAAAGGCAACAATAATGGGCTATTTATTTAGCTTTTCAGTGCTGCAGTTATTGACTATAAAGCAGTTATTGACTATAAAGCAAAATTACATAGTCATCTGTATATCCAATGTTGTATTCTTTTCATACTTTATCAATATATTTAACATAAATGCCAGTTCATTGAAGTGCATGTGAGTATTATGGTCAAATCCACATAATTTATCGCTATATAGTTAACACATATACTCATTCTGAATATAAATCTGAATATAAAAGGTATGAAATGGCTATCCATATCATTCTAAACATTAATTCAAACATTGAGCAATTAGAAGAGGTACAGAAAGCATTCTTGAGATGAAGTGCCAAATGTTTAGGCTGATCCTGAATGCAATTCTTAAAGATTTTAAACTTTAGCCAGAGTGTAGAATGGCAGATTTACATATAAAATCAGATGACTAATCAGATTACTTTGGAATATTAGCATAGTAATAGTTATATATTAGATGATGACATTCAGTAATTCTTGGCTTAGTTTGGGATTATGTACAGTTAAATCCAAAATATCTCTGAAGCTCATTAGTTTGGAAAAGGTTTCCTTCAGAACACCAACAAATCAAAATACATATCAAATATTATTAATTTTGAAATGTTAATAATCTAGCCATAAGAGTGGGAAAATAATTGCAGTGAAAATAAGTAGAAATCAGAATTCATAAATTTGACTAATTTATGCTAAGGATTATTTTTAAATCATGTCCAAAATGCAAAACTTTCTAAAACATGTTTTGTGGCACTGAATGCAAGCCAAGGGTGTACAAGTCAGCAGTCCAAAGTGGAGGTCTTGCATCAGAGCATTCTATTAGAATATTCCTAAATTAGTTTTGGAATCCAATTATTTTACATCCAAATCTATCTTTATCAGTTGGTCAGCAATCAATACAAACTATTAGCTCCCTAAAAGGAATTTGATTTTTTTTTAATTACATGGCTTGTCTCTAACAATTATCTCATAGATGGAAAGATGCAGACTGATCTAATTAATAATTTGGATATGGTTTACAAGTATAACATGAATCTGAGTTGTATATTTCAGATAACTAATAGGTGGCAGTGGTATCACTAGTCCAATACTTTCTGGCCCAAAGAATGATTAGACTTATTCTGAATAAAATTAACCTTTTATCCCTTTACAAAAGACTGGCAGAGACTAAATTGACAAGACAACAAAGTTATATATTACCATATTTTTTTTATTTTTATTTTTTGCTTTAATTTATCTCCTTCTCCAGAGACTCAGGGCGGCTTACAATGCGTTAAGCAATAGCCTTCATACTTTTGTATATTTATACAAAGTTATCTGATTGCCCCCACAATCTGGGTCCTCATTTCACCTACCTTTGAAAGGATAGAAGGCTGAGTCAATCTTGAGCCTGGTGAGATTTGAACTTGCAGTAATTGCAAGCAGCAGATGTTAATAACAGTGCTTTAGTCCACTGTACTACAGGCTCTTCCTATTTGTTTTATATGCTAAGTTTTAAAGTAAATTCTCTAAATTTAAAAATACTTTAGAAACAGCAACAAATATATCCAGACTGAAATCACATTGTCAGATAATTGTTGAAAAAATTATGCTGACAGTATACAGAAAACAAACATTGAAAGTTTTAAAAACTATTTCCCTATTTCCAACAATATGTACTGAACAAATTTAAATAATTTTGAAAAACCTGTTAGTTGTTCTGGTAGCTCTAAACATTAAATAATTGTTTTTTGTTCCAACAGTCTTGGATACTATTGTAATAGATTCTTATTCAATTATATACAATAAAAAATTAGAACAAATGAGACAGGAATACAGTATTTGTGTGTGGCATGTATGAAAAAGTGAAAGACAGCTTTTCTTGAATTATAATGAATATACTGATTTAACATAACTGAATAAACAGAAGACTACTCTTTTCTGACCTATATTAGAATTCTTGGCTATCTGCATCATTTTAAGAATAACCTTTTTCTTGAAAATGTCATTATAAAACAATGAAAATCTGATCATATTGCTTATTAAAGAATTCAAGATTTCAGTATCAATTTCTGTTGAAAACATAGCCTCTTCTGTAAATTTCAGACCCATCAATATTCTGTGTAAAAAGTCTTAAATTCAAATTCAAATACATTAGAACTCAAATATATCTTCTAATACAAGGATGTCAAACTCAAGGCCTGCGGGCCGGATTCGGCTGTGGGGTATTTAACAGTAACAGAGTTGGAAGGGACCTTGGAGCTCATTGAGTCCAACCCCATGCTCAATGGTCCATGGGGCTGGCCTAGAAACAGCAAAGGACCGGCCCATGGTGCTTCTGCCACTTAAAATGGAGCTCGGCCCCTTTTGCACCCCGTTTTTGGGCACAACTGCCTCCTGAGCTCCATTTTCGCTGGCAGAGGGCTGCAGGAGGCCATTGCAGCGAAAAACAGGGTACAGGGGGGCCACATGCAGCCCCCCAAGGTCTGTTTTCATTGGCAGAGGGCTGCGGGAAGCCTATCAAAACAAACTAAAAAGAAAAAAAAGGAGAAATGTTTCCCCTTTTGCATTTGAGCATGCAAGAAGGGACAGGAAAGGAGAGAGGGAAAGAAAAAGAAAAAGAAAAAGAAAAAGAAAAAGAAAAGAAAAAGAAAAAGAAAAAGAAAGAAAGATGGGAAGAGACCAAGGAAAGAAAAATAAGGAAAGAAGGAAAGGAAGAAGAAAGGATAATGAAGAGGGAAGGAAAAAGGAGAAAAAGAGAAAAAGGAAGGAAGGAAGGAAGGAAGGAAGGAAGGAAGGAAGGAAGGAAGGGTATATGCTGGGCCTGGTGGCTCAGCAGACTAAAAGCATTGTGATTAACACCAGCTGTCTGCAATTACTGTAAGTTCGAATCTCACCAGGCTCAAGGTTGACTCAGCCTTCCATCCTTTCTAAGGTAGATAAAATGAGGACCCAGATTGTGGGGGCAATAAGCTGACTTTGTATAAATATACAAAAGTATGAAGGCTATTGCTTAATGCATGGTAAGCCGCCCTGAGTCTCCGGAGAAGGGCGGCATATAAATCAAATTTTTAAAAAATAATAATAATGAGAGTGAGGAGGGTCTCAGGGAAGTTCTGCCTTACCACTTGGCCACCACATGAGTTCTGCCCACCACCCCCACGCCTCCTGGCCATGCCCCCTGGCCCCCCAAGGTCAAACACAACCCTGATGCAGCCCTCAATGAAGTTGAATTTGACACCCCTATTCTAATATGTTTATAATGACAGAGGACTCAATTTTTCTATTAAAAATGTCACAGAAAATGCAAAACAGTGAGATACTTAAAAGACAGCATTAAGTATTTAGTTCAGTTTATCTTTCTGTTTTCTCTCTGTTATTGATTCTCTTGCTTTTCAATTATTCATTCATAATTGAAATACCACATATGAGTAAGCAGATTTTTTAAGGATAAGGACTCAAAACTTTAGAGGAAACATAGATAGAACTGCACTATTGATGGCTAATGTCAGGCAGAATATATTTTTAATCAACCTCACCATTTGTGCACTTTTATGTGCAATAGAAAGACTCATTAGGAATGTATTTATATGATTAAAATTAGCATTGAAGCCATTATAAAACTATATAAAAAAATTACTCTTTATCTCAATCATTTTTTTGTCCCATTCACAAAACAGCAGTAAAGACACATACCTTCCACTGAATACAGGGACAACATACTCAATAATGGTGTTTTCTTTTTCATCTGACAATAAACTTTGTTTGGCTCTCTTTGCTTTAGGACTCAACTTAAGAGTATGATCTTCTGCCAGACCTCTGAAAGAAATGTCATGTTATTAGATTTTTAAAGACATCTTTCTTAATATTATCTACTGTAATGCAAGTTGAACATAATGGAAGTAGGATGTCAGGAGGTATTGATAGTCTTTAATTCAGCAATATATATTTTAGTCCTATGTCCAGGTTGTTTTTTCCAGGTAGCTATAAAATATGAAAATAATCTTGAGCTCAGAAATATCTCATGGAATTCAGTGTTCTTCTTTATTTTATTTTATTTTTATATTTCTTTTATAGTATATGAGCGTCAAAATTCCTGATAACTAGATTACAGTTTTGCTTTGTTTTTGCTCTCGTTTACAAGTCTGGACTTTTGTAGCTCAGATTTTATCAGGGGTGAAATGCAGCAGGTTCTGACAGGTTCTGGAGAACCAGTAGTGGAAATTTTGAGTAGTTCGGAGAACCGGCAAATACCACCTCTGGCTGGCCCCAGAGGGGGGGGGATGGGAATTTTGCAGTATCCTTCCCCTGGAGTGGGGTGGGAATGGAGATTTTGCAATAGCCTTCCCAAGCCATGTCCACAGAAACGGTAGGGAAAAATTTTAGATTTCACTCCTGGATTTTATGCAACTACTATATTAACACTGTATGGAGTGTTCTGTCCATCCTACTTACTGAATTCACTGTTATTCATTTTTTACCCACATTTCTATATGCCACCTATTTTTTGTGCCTTTCTCTGACACATAATTTATTGATGTATTCAAAAGCACTAAGACATTTCTTGTAGCAATCAAATGTGAATTCTTGCCTCAAGCTGATACTAATAAATGAGAAGCAAACTACATAAATGCCTAATTTGGGAGGCATATAGTAAAACAGAAAAGGGAGTGTGCAAGCAATTTATTCTATTTCTTTTTTTCCATGGAGTTGGGCAGGGAAGTGTTGTTTCTAGTGCAGGACTTGTGTGAAGACTTGGAGGAAGGTAATGGTTAAATGATATTCCTTGCAACCTAGTCTCAACATTTTAGGATCAGTAGAAGTGAAGACTATCATAGATTATACTGTTCTTAAAATAAAACCAGTGATATTGTAGATAGGATCAGCTTCAGGGTATATGGGCCCCAGGACATCTTCTGCCAATACATTTTTTTTTAATTTTTATAATGATTCAGAAGGAGGGGTAGCATTGTACCTCCTAATTTTGATGCCCTGCACCAGTGTTTTCTCAGCATAAAACCAGGTCTGAGCATAGATGTGTCTTGAATTATTTCTTAAGAGACACTCAAAATAAACTTACAAGAAAAAAATATGTAAAAATATATAAAACACAAATAATTTGCATGAGTAAATTCTAGGTGCCATTTCTGTACCAAAGCACAGTTTGGTACACAGTTTGGCATCATTGGGGAGAAATGATGGCCAAGCATAGATCTTCTGCCCTCTTTTTAAAAGTTTATTAATGGTTTGATAGATACTTGGTATACACTGTAATAAGCAATGCTTATAATATATTCATATTAAAGTATCTAGGGACATGATTCCAATTCTTTATATTATATTGCAATACTTCCCTTTCATTCAAGCATCACAGATGGAATGCCCACTCTACAGATAATCTACATAGTTTAATTTGCAATACTGATGTGGAAATACTCAAAGCAGAGCTGTGGTGGGGCAGTTAGAATGCAGTACTGCAGGCTAACTCACTGCTCACTCCAGGAGTTCAATTCTGAGGTGCTAAAGATTGACTCAGTCTTCCATTCTTCTGAGATCGGTAAAATGAGGACCTAGATTGTTGGAGGCAATATGCAGACTCCGTAACTGCTTAGAGAGGGCTGTAAAGCACTAAGTGCTAGTGCCAGTGCTAAAAGAAGTATAGAGTCTTAAAAATACAAAGCTAATTTTTTAATGAATTAATTATTTTGCACTACAGAGGTAAAATCATAAATGCACAGTATACTGATAAATTGGATGTAACCAAGATATTTATAATGTTCTTTAATTTCCACTGTTTCTGAAGACAAAAAATTAAAGTATACCACTGACTCAAGCTTGCATTTGTTTGTAGTGAAAACCATCCATTGTTCATATTTATATTTTAGTTCCCAATCTGTCTCTACCCAAGCTTCTGTTGGGTAATTACAATCACTGTAATATTTTTTAAAAAAATTTGATTTATATGCCGCCCTTCTCCGGAGACTCAGGGCGGCTTACCATGCATTAAGCAATAGCCTTCATACTTTTGTATATTTTTACAAAGTCAGCTTATTGCTCCCACAAACTGGGCCCTCAATTTACCTACCTTAGAAAGGATGGAAGGCTGAGTCAACCTTGAGCCTGGCAAGATTTGAACTTACTAATTGCAGACAGCTGGAGTTAAATTACAATGCATTAGTCTGCTGAGCTATCCATTTTTATAGTTCTAATTATAAAGGAAATTATACTTTCCACAGGTAAATAGAGAAAATTACTGAAATATATTTACCAAGAAGTCCTAATTTTTCAAGGATGCCCTAGTTAAATGTAATGTTACATCTTCATCACTGTATGCAGTCTAACCAACATTTCTTCAGAGGAGAAGCATGAAAGTGAAACTATTTTAAAGCTGTTTAAAAAAATGTTTTTTCCAGACAAAGAAAAAATGGTACCACTCTTGTCAATCCCTGAAAATCAGGTATTTACTTGAAAGAACTATGTTTGGGCTGGAAAAATACATTTATGAAAGCTATACAAAGGTTATAAAACAGTTCTCCTTGAAATGAGAGAACAATGAAACATACTTCCACGGGGAAATATTATTTTAAAGAACCTTAGTTGCACATCCTTAGCTGATGAATAAGTGTTTGAAATCTGCTTTTGAAAATTGAGAAACAATCGGTTTTTCATCCGTAATAATCGAGATATAAGGTATTATTATTTTCATAAATTTCCTGATAAGTAGCCCTATCCATCTTCAGCAGTAAAACAGGAGACAAATAGGTCCTTAAGCCCTATTCAATTTATCACAATATAACAAATGTTTATGTTTTTCATTAGTTTATAACATAATTTTTCAAAAATTATGGATCCACTGTGATTTGGGGAAGGAGATTTTTACATGTATCTTATGTATTATATTTTAATTGAGATTCCTAACTTACAGTTAATCTTACTAAGAAATAGAAAGTCCCATTGATTTTAATAGTGAGCAAAGAATTGTCTTCCAGCTAACCATCATCTTTCTAGGATTGGGAAATCGCTGGGACTGTAAACATTCTAAGGAAAGGAATAGTATACTATATCTGGATAAGCCAAATATATATATATATTTTAAGAAGTGGGATGGAGAGGATCCTGTTACTCCTAAAAGTTAGCTCAGAAGTCTGGAAAGGCACTTAGAGCTATTATCATTGGACATTTAATTTAATTAATGTATTATTATTTGATTGCACTTTAACAAGGCAAATAAGGCTTTTGAAGTCTAAGCACACTTAGTCCTCTTTATGTAGCTTATCCTGAGGGTTATTTTCCTCTTTGTGCTGAGCCTCTTTCTATTAAATATATATTTGGCAAAATTTGTTATTTTAGGAGATATTTTGGAGGGGAAACAGCCTCCACGCCAGAGCAGAAATTTTGAGTAGTTCAGAGAACCGGTAGTAAAAATTCTGACTGGCCCCGCCCCATCTATTCTCTGCCTCCTGAGTCTCAGCTGATCAGGAGGAAATGGGGATTTTACAGTAACCTTCCCCTGGATTGGGGAGGGAATGGAGATTTTACAGTATCCTTCCCCTGGAGTGGGGTGGGAATGGAGATTTTACAATATCCTTCCCATGCCACGCCCACCAAGCCACACCCACCAAGCCATGCCATGCCCACCAAGCCACACCCACAAAACCAGTAGTAAAAATTTTTGAAACCCACCACTGCTTAACGCCAACCTGTCTTGCACTAAACTTCTTGGAGATCATCTTTTGGGACCCTTTTCCATGACAGCTACTTTTGGACAAGCCAGAAAGCAATGGCAGCACACTTGTAATACTAACAGATGACTTACTCCTACAAGATAAGCCTTCAAATGGGGCCACAGGCCTCTAAATGTTAAAAGCCATTGCTTTACTCATCAGCTACTCACCACATTATAAAATCTATCAAGTCAAGCAATTTAAAACATTCACCATGAGGCAGCTGAAGAACGTAAACTGCTTCTAAGCCTTCAGGACAAACTAATTAGGAATCAAATGTCTAAATTCCCCCCACACCTCTTTCTCTACATCTCAGCTGATGACTAAGACATAGTTCAAGATGTGCCAAAAGGAACTTTTTCAAGTTACATTCAGTCTGCTAAACTGGGCTTTCCCCTCTGGCCAAAGTACAGAAATATTGTAATATTTGGCCATATGATCAAGAAATTACTAACAACCAAAAACTAACACTTTTTAAATTAATTTTTATATTACAGAAGAAAAGAAACAGTTCTAAAAGATGGTAAAAAAGTTTAGAAATAAAAGACAGTAAGACCGAATTATAATTGTTGGACTTCAAGTAAGGAATTTATCTTCTTATCCTTCTCACTGGCAGCCCTGAAGATGCTCCAAAATGGCTTCAGGGTTGAAAGGGAATCCTGACACTCACTACATAATTTTGCTATTAAATAATCCAGTTGATGTTTGGACATCTACCATTAAAACTGTTTTCTGAAGCTGAAATAATACAGCCAGTAAAATAATGAATGTAATGATATGTTTAGCAGTACCAATAATCTATTATACAGGTTGATACTGGGCTCGCCCATAAGCCTAAATCCATCTAATAAATTAACCACTTCAGAAAAAAACATCATTTTCTTTTGAATCTGCTGAGAAATTGCACTGAATTTCCTTACTGTATTGGATTTCAAAATGAAATTATCAGAATAAAGTATGAACTTAAGTAATGGTAAAAAATAATTTGTCTTTCTTTATCTTCGAATAAGACTACTGTAGTCACTGACAGCTGATATAATTCAAACACTATAATTCAAACAGTAATTAAGTTAAATGGGTTCTTTTTATTTATGTTTATTTGGCAACACCAATAGATGAATTAACTTTAATTCTTTGACTATAGCATTATAGAATAAATATCATGTTAAATCTTACGAATTCAAAGCCAAAATATGCATAACATAACAAGTATATGCAACATTCCTGTAATACTTTTCTCCTCCAGAAAACCAGCAGTGGAATTAGGAGCTAGAACACAGCAGAAGCACTAAGTAGAAAATTTCCCCTCCAGCTATTTTATTTATAATCAAATAATTGATTAAATTACTTTTCCACCCAGAGGAAGGTGTATAACCTTTCTTTCCATAGACAGAAAAGCAGCTGTGCTGAATGCTCTGAATGAGGGGGAAATGGCTAAGAAGATTTTGAGTAATGTTTCTCCATTTCCTCAGTCAAACCCACAAACTACATAACTGGTTAAAGTGCTTCCGTGTTTCCCCGAAAATAAGAGAGTCTTATTTTCTTTTGAACCCCGAAATAAGGGCTTGGCCTTATTATTGGGGGATCTTATTATTTTGGCGGTGCAGGAGGCCTGGGCGGCCTGCGCACTCATAGTCGGGAGTCCGGCAGAGAGAGGCTTCCTTTGCGCACCGCTATCAAGCCCCTCCCCTCCCACGGGGTGTGTGTGTAGAACGCAAGTGCCGCAAAAGCGCCAAGCTGCGTGACTGCCTGTCTCCACCCCCCCGCTTGCGCACCTCCCAGGCCTCACCATGTCGATGTGGGCAAAGCCGGTGAGCACCAGGTCCTTGAGCTCATAGCCAATGCCGCCAGTGCCCACCACCAGCACCCCCGTGGAAGCCACGGCCTGGGCCAGCTCCACCTGCAGGGTCCAGCTCCAGCCATCACCATAGAGCAGGAAGCACAATCCCAGAGTCACCGCTGCCCTGGCTGGGGTTTGGAAGCTGCAGAGGCAGAGTTTGAGCGAGAGAAAGAAACACTTCTGCTTTCCTTGCATGCAGCCAAAAGCAGCAGAAGCAGCAGAAGTCTTTCTTTCTCTCTCCCAAACTCTGTCTCTGCGGCTTCCAAACCCCAGCCAGGGAAGTGGCTGCTCTGGGAGTGTGCTTCCTACTCTATCATGATGGTGGCATGAGGCTTCCCCTTCCCTCCTGCTCCTCTTTGCTCCAATTGCCCAAGTGCTGACTGACTGGAGCGTTCACTGACGAGCCCACAGGTCCCGTTTACTCTTTCCAGGCACCTGGCAGCGAGATGCCAGACAGTCGTGCTGAGGGCAGTGCCGACAGACACATATCAGCCGGCCCAGCCATGGCCAAAGCTCCTTGCCCATGGCTGAGCTTGGCTGCCGGTGGCCGCCCTGTGAAGGAAGCCCCAGGGTGGCGATGCTTGTGCTGGGCCTGCTGTGGTGGGCACTTGGTAGTGCAGGCTATGTAGATGTGGTGCCTGGGTGTGGGAGCGAGAGTGGGCGGGCTGCCACCATGGTGGAGGAGCAGGCTCTCGAGTTCTATGGTCGGTACCACGGGCGGCGAAAGGGGAGGGGGTGCAGGAGTTTGCAGGGATATGGCTGCCTTGGGAGGGTTGGGGGGGTGAGGGACCTGTGTGTGTGTGTGTGTGTGAGGGGGGGGGCTTATTTTGGGGAGAGGCCGAATATTTAGGCCCACCCCAAAAATCAGGCTTGGCCTTATTTTCGGGACATGTCCTATTTTCGGGGAAACACGGTATCAACAGATTGGTTTCTGATTCTGATAATATGACATCTGTTGTAGTGTACAACATAGCACATAAATCGGTTTACAAGCCAAATATACAAAAACATTTTGTAAAACGGTAATCTGAGAAAGCTGGTTGTCTCAAAAAAATATTTATGATCACAAAATTTGATACCCAGGAAATGAAAATGGATGGGAAGTTACCATACTACATAAAATTGTATTTTACTCTACCCGAGACTGTATGTGTCGTATCCAAGACGATATGCTTCAGCTTTCTTATTCAACAATTCAGATCCATGATGATATGCTTCAGCTTTCTTACTGACCAACTCAGATCCTAGACTGTAAGCTGAAGATCGTTTACTGTGAGCTGCAGATTTGTGGGCATGAGCTTCTATTAATTCTTGGCTGGCTTCTGTAGACTTTTGGTCAGAAAAAGCTGATTCCTGACGGTAGGCTGATGCACCTCTGTGACTGTAGGCAGTAGAGCCATGTGTATAAATGGCAGATTTGCGCTTTTCTTCTTTCTGATATTGACTTAGTGTGGATTCTAGTTCTTTGTGACGATAAGCTCGGTCGAAATGCTGATGGTGCCTCTGATAGAATGGTAAAGACATTTTGGATTTCTCCTAATCCAATTCACACTTTGGATAAACTGAAAAAAGGTAACTAGTTAGTCATTATACTCAACTCATACAATATGTTTTATGTTTTTGTAAAAATAGAAAAACCATCAAATGAATATTTCTCCATGAATTTATCAAAAAAAAAAAAAAATCTGCCACCAAGATATAACATAAAAAACACTAACAATATTATACAATATCAAATTTTAGGAACAAAATATTCACAGGGATATAAATCAAACTTAGAATGTCCACAAATAATGTTTTAAGAATTCCAGTTACAAGAAAAATACTTTTTACATCATATTTATGACTACTGGCATATTTTTAAAAAAATGCAGATTCTGAAATCTGAATGTGTTTCTGTGAAAAAAACTGAATGGATACTGGTTAAAAATAAAACCAAATATCCATTTAATGTAATGTAAAATCCTATTAAATCCTATTAAATTCTACTAAATCAAAGCATAACATAAAAAAGCAGCTCCCATAAAAATAAGTTTTTCAGTTAATAGCTCTTGCACAACAAAGAAGCAGAGGATGGGAATCTGTAATTGTTCTAAATCCTAATATAGGGAGAGTTTACATTTTAAAATATTCACCATTCTAAGTGTGATTTATTTATTATTTTTGTACCTGTTGGTTCTCTTTTATGAGTATTAATCCAGAATGGAAACTAATAGTCTCTTCTTATTCACTGACTTCTGGAGCTGAAGATTTACACAATTATAATTTTGTTCAAGAGCCATGTATAAAATGTCATCCCACACATTTTTAAACCTCTTGACCTTCATTTTCTCAGTCATTCCTGCTTGTGGGCCATTGCTACACATTGCCATCAGTTTTACGATACATAACAGGCTTGTGAGAAAGAATTTCAAAATATCTTTGTGCAATTTAATAGACATTAATTTTGCATATATGGCAAAAAACCAACAATAACCCCAAATACTGATAATCTAATTCTTTAAACAATAGAAACTATCCAAGGAACAGCTTCTCTGACTATAAATTTATCCAGTTGGAAGAAGGCCTTATGAAGATGCTCTGCTGTTCTTTCTGGGGTGGCAATATGGGTCCTTTTCTTACATTAATCCTGGTTTGTGAAACATACATTTTTGGGAGTTTCTTTACCCTACTCTCTTTAATTTTTTAGGGAAAATGTTGAGATAACTCTTTCACCAGTCTTTTACGTATTAGATGAATTTATTATCTACCGGTATGTTGTTAACTTTAGTTTAGTAAAATTATTTTTTTTTAAAAAAAAGAGTTGAGTTTTTTTCAATAAAGAAACAACTACTGGTTGACATAGTTACATTCACCAGAACATAGGTAGAAAATATCAGTGCTAACAAGATATTATAAAACATCTTATATTTGAATGGATGAAAGTAAAATGCATTTGAAAAGTATACTGAAATCTCTGTGCAAAAGAATATTAGCACTTCGATAATCTGAAAAAAAAACACACGAAATAAGTTCTCATCACACAAATCCAAGCGTAGAGGATACTTGTTGCTCAGCTAATCTTTTTATTTTAGCCATTGCATCAAATATGAAAAATATTTGAAAGATTTTAATAGATAAGTTAGTAAAATACTAAGATTTTCTATTATTTAGCTTTAAGATTCCTTTGGTCAGTTACCACAATTACCAGAAATTTCCCAGGCTACTGCTGAACTCATAATAATTGCGCAAAGGTAACAATTATCTATGCAAGAATGAGAAATGAAGGAAAAAGTGGCATTTTGTCCACAATTTAACATACAAAGCAAATACTTTTCAGCAATATTTATGTAAACTTACCAGAAGCCAGGTTCAGTATTACAGTATTTCAATTTTGTATGTGGATGAATGAGAGGAAGAGAGAAATCCAATTAAATATCAGTCTAGCAAAGTGGAAGACAGGACCTGTGTTGAGGATGGACTCCTAAGTCCAGAACAAAAATAATGCCAGCAGTCACTGGAATGTGAAAGCAACACTCGCAACCTTTTAAGGCTGCGAAGGCTGTTAAAAATAGCAATAGCAAAGAGAGAGCTAGGACGCTCACAATCTTTCTGCAAATATATGATGACAGCAGCTTTAAGCTACAACTTTTCTGTCTCCAAATCATAACTAAATCCTTTCTGACAGCTTAGAAATGATGTAAATATGGTTGTGCTACTTTTTAAAAATAAATGAATAAATCTGATTTAGAAATGTGGTGGCACTAATACCATCCCTTGAGAATAGAATTCGATTTAAGCTAAATCAATTGGTGACAAATATCTCCATCGCCTTTCCCATGCAATGTTGGGAAACTGTGTTTTCACAAAGTTGCGGGGTTCCTAGTTGTCTCAGAGAGCAAAACCAATTAACTCTGAAGTTAAATTGATTTGACATGTGCACAAGGGAAGCTACTGTGATCATTGTTTTTGCAGTGCTTCCTCAAGTTGACAGAGTGGGTTCCCTCCTCCCTTCCTTGCCGAAACCAAGATGTGCTTTGGTTTCCCCAATTCCTGCCAGCCAAACAGATGAGCAGCTCTAACAGTCATCTTGGGTTTTTGTTTTTTTTTTCCTTTTCCCATCACTTTTTCTTTCTCCATCCCTTACTGTAAGAGCCTTGGTAGTACAGGGGTTTAAGGCACCCTGTTATTAAGCTGGTTATTAAGACCAGCTGCCTGCAATTACTGCAGGGTTCGAATCTCGCCAAGGCTCAAGGTTGACTCAGCCTTCCATCCTTTCTAAGGTAGGTAAATTGAGGACCCAGTTGTGGGGGCAATAAGCTGACTTTGTATAAATATACAAAAGGATGAAGGCTATTGCTGAGCACATTGTAAGCCGCCCTGAGTCTTCAGAGAAGGGCAGCATATAAATCAAATTAAAAAAAAAAACAACTGTATACAGCTAAGCCTGCACAGAGAAGAGCAGGGATGGAAGTGGAGAATTGGCTGCCTCCTGGTTTTGGCATTCTACTATTAGTTGGTTGGAGGAAAAGTTGGTCAGCACAAGAAGGAGAACAAAAGGACCACTGCTTGGTATTATGCAGTAGGGCAGAAATGGTAACTTCAGTGATGGGGCAAAGGCAGTGGCTTACAGAACAGGGCTAAAACAAAGCCCTTCCTAGCATTTTAATTTTTTTTTTTTCAGTTTGAAAGCTGAGATTCACAGTATCTATTAAGATAAGGTTCCAAATTAAGAACATAGGGTCAATCTTATTTAGGAATAAAAACAAATTGTTGTTGTTAGTTGCGATGTCGTGTCCGACCCATCATGACCCCATGCACAATGTTCCTCCAAGCCTTCCTGTCCTCTACCATCCTCTGGAATTCATTTAAGCTCACACCTACTGCTTCAGTGACTCCATCCAGCCACCTCGTTCTCTGTCATCCCATTCTTCTTTTGCCCTCAATCTTTCCCAGCATTAGGTTCTTCTCCAATGAGTCCTTCCTTCAACAAATTAGGAGCCTTAAATCAAAGGTTGGCCAGTTTATTTGTAATTAAGCAAATTTCAGCTCTGACACATCTTCTGAAAGACAGATACATTGAAGTGGTATTGTAATTGTGATCATCATCATCATCATTACTGAGTTTAACTATCTGATTAAATATGTCAGGGCACTATGCTGCAGTGATAACTACAGGTGGTCCTCAACTTATGACCACAACTGAGTCCAAAACTTAGGTTGCTGAGAAATTTGTTAAGTGAGTTTTGCCCCTATTCTGTGACCTTTCTTGTCACATTTGTTAAGTGAACCATTACAGTTGTCAAGTTAGAAACATGGTTGTTAAGTGAATCTGGCTTTCCCATGAACTTTGCTCGTCAGAAGGTTGCAAAAGGGGATCACATGACACCGGGACACTGCGAGTGTCATAAATATGAGTCAGTTATCAAGCATGAATTTTGGTCACATGACCGTGGGGATGCTGCAACAGACATAAGTGTGAAAAAATGTTATAAGTTGCTTTTTTCAGTGCTGTTGCAACTTTGGGTGGTCACAAATAAATTGTTGTAAGTTGAGGACTGCCTTATTTCAGTGGCTAGTCTAGCTAGTGTGTCCTGCTTTTTTCTCGATGATTTTTTTCTCCATGATTTTGTGGTTGATCCAACACTGTCTCATTAAATCAAAGAACTGCCCTAATCCTAGATCATGTTTCATTCAACCCTTACATCTCCAAGTAGGCGTTCTTTCAGTTTCTGCTCACTTGGCAAAGCATAAACTTCTTCCTTTCCCACCTCCTGCCCCCATAACTGCAAAGCTTCCCTTCTTTTCTTTTTTTTAGGCCCCTTTATATTTTAACATTGCTACTTTATTTATGTGAAGCTGAACTATCAGTTTCCATGGATCTACAGAGGAATTTGAGAAAACAAAGAACAGTTTGTTCTGCTATTGCTTTGATTATTGTAGCATAAGATCAACAATGCTATATTGAGGGAAAAAGAGAAAAAGTTTGCCTTAATATTAATATGGGAAAGAGATGAGAAAGCAAAGAAAAGCACAGGGACCAATGAAGAAATAAACATTCCTAAAAAGGAACCACTGGGAGATCATTGCTTGCCTTTCCTGCATGGATAGAAAAGATGGAAAGGACAAGATTCTTTCCATACCGCATCCATCCATTTTCCATAGCACTCACTGCCCAAAACACCCAACCATACTCAGTAGCTCCCAGCTGCAGCACTCATACTACAGAGCAGCTCCCCACAGCTCCTGCTTACCTCTCCATAGCACCTGCGCACATGTACACGTGTGTCTTACTGGTCTGGTTGCCTGGGATTTCACCTCTACCCACATTGCAGTCACATGAGGTTCTCACTTAATGACCCACACCGTCCTGGGATTATGATGGCAACCAGGAGTGCTGAGTTTGCTATCACTAAGTGATGCAATCACGTGATATTACACTTTTATGACATCACTTAGTGACAATGAAAATTCCTGTTCCAAATGTCATTGTAATCCAAGGATTACTTGTAGTTAACCTCTCATGTCATCTTTATTTCCATACGGTATACTTTCCATCTCTTTGTGTTTCTATTTATATAGCTGACTTCAGTTTAATGAAGTTTCTCTTTGATAAATACTGTAATGTCTATTGTAATCTAGACAATAGATTACAATCTATTTAAAAATGGAGTCAAGCATCCTTGAAATTTAATTAAATAACTACATATTTAGTACTTCCTCTGTAATGGTAGAATACATACTAATAACCTCAGTATAAAATATTTGGGAAGGCCTTAAAAATTTGTACTAACTTGCAGTAGGAACATTTCTAAAATATAGCATTTTAAACTATTGAATACATATTTTTTATATTTAGTAAAGACAAACATTTTGATCCAGGAAGGAGACTGTTGAGATTCATTAACAAAAAAATGATACATCATTAGTTAAATATTTACATGTGTGGTTTTCAATCAACCTTCTCTCTGACTAAGAATTGTATTTGGGGAATATTACTGGTACTTGTTAATGCTGCCATTAACTACAAGAGTTTTACATGTTCCAGTATGTTTTTTATTTTCAGAGGGCAGAATCCTATCTACATTTAACTTGAAAATAATTTTATGTAAAGACATGAGGAATTTGCCTTCTAGGTTAATGTATGTAAAATAGTAGGGAACTGGTCTTATTTTTAAAATTAATTTTTAAAAATCCCCTAATTTTCTTTCAAATAATAAACAAAATAACTTCAAATATACTTTTTAAAATGGTATTTTCCTCCCCAAAATTACTTAAAATGATTGTCAACTGCTTCTTGTTGCCTGTCTTTTAAAATCATAGTACTGGGATGACAGACTATCCAATGGAATCATGAAGTCAATACGCTTGCCAACATGTAATTTATCTACACAGTAAAATTATGTTAATCATACACTTCAGAAAAATGCTCATATCAAATTAGGTAATGATTTCATAGTCAAAGAAAACAATTGAGATAGCCACACTATCTCTGGATTTAAAGTTACTGCTGATTTGATGGGTTAGTTTGGTGTGCTGGAATTTTGAGAGCAGACTATGAGTATTCTTACAAAATAACTACTATGGAAGAGGAGGGCTTTGTTGCATCAACATTGAATAATTGAATAAAGTCACATATTTAAGGCCTTATAAAAGACTAGTAGGGTCAAGGCCACCCTGATCTCCCCAGGATGATGCTTCAAAGGGCAAGACAAAAAGGGTTCTCTTCCTAGTCCATGACAGATGATACTCCCTTGTGGATGGACCTGAAATGTCTCTCCTGCCAGAACTAATGGGAGATCTAATTGGGTAGAGACGATTCCTCAAATGAATGTGGAGGAACTTGACTGAGGAATGGTGGAAATGCTTAGGAAAAGATTCCCCTTTATCATGTGAAATGAGAAGCAGATCTTTAAGGGAAAGGAATACAATATTATAACAATATATTTAAACTAGGAAAAGTAGCTGAGGGGAAAACCACTTAATGGTTATAAAGGTAAAAGTTTCCCCTTGCCCAGTCATGTTTGCCTCTAAGGGGTGATACTCATATGTTTCTTAGACAAGGAGTCAGCACTGTCTGAAGACACTTCCTTAGTCATGTGGCCAGCAAAAACGTGGTCTGGTTAAGATCTTTGTTTATAATAACTATTGTATCTAAAGTTAACTGTCATTGTGGAAATTCAATTAATATGGGTGCTTTGATTAGCAAGATAGACAAAACTTGGATCTGTCCCATGTTTACAGGCCTCATAGCTTTTATGAAAGATTCTTTTAAGACCATGTCTATTATTTTAACACTATTTTCTCATTGCTGTTTTCTTTCATGTGAATACCTCAGTTTAAAAAGTTTTTTTCTTTTTCTGATTTTTCATTAAATTGCATTTAAATTATAAAATATTCCTTTGTTTCAACACCCAAAGGAGAGACTTGTTTTCCTTAGCTAGTGAACTTCAAGGTTGAAAGGCTGAGAAATTATCACTATATAATTTATTCCATTTGCAGCATCTTTCCCCCTTTGTACTGGCAAGTCAGGCCATTGATTGTGGGGATCATATTGATGTCAGACACTTTGACTAGGGGGTAACAGAATTCTCCAAGAATATAGGCAGATTGATTGATTGATTTCCCACCTTTATCATTTTTTACAAACAAGACAGTGAACACATCTTCCTCCTATTTTGGTTTGAGATGTTTTTCATCCTACAAGCTCAGTCTTGCCAGTATAATAAGAAATGGAAAGAGGAAATTCAGAGTCTAGTGTAAGAATGAAATCCTAAGGGGAAAAATTGTGGAGATATAAATGAAATTATATAGATGAAGATAAGGGCATCAAAGGCATGAAGTCAGACATTAATGTTTTAATTATCAGATTTACTGGTACTTCTTGTTCAAAATTAGTTTTATTTTTTTTACTCATTATGAGATTTAAATCATTTTTATTTTCTTGCATCTTCATTCCCCTGCCATCTGCTGGAGGAATAGATAAAATATACAAATTTGCTTTTCATGGATATAGATTTTCAGCTCATTTGCAATGCAGTGTGAATTATTAGGTTAAATATGCAACCGGTTTATTTTGTTTAATGTATGCATATACATAAACTTTAGTCATAATCCAGATAAAGACTGCCACACATGACAAATGTTTTCCCTTTTTACCCTGACAGGGTGTTTTTTTTTTTTTTTTGCAATATTATTTTCTACACAGAATAGAATTTAAAAACAAACAAAACAATCAAAATTCATTATAGAAAAAAATTAAGTCCTTTTCTATGGATATTGGTCGTAGTCATACAGACACCAGGATAAACGGACTATATGGCTGAAAAAATAGTATGTAATGTAGTTGTATATTACATACATGCACAGTATAGTGCAAATTATAGTGCCATTTCCAGAAAATGCTATCATGATAGGCAAAGACAGATGAAACTGTAGGGCAGGACTGTCAAACTCACGGCCCATGGGCCGGATGCGTTACACACGGGCCACACCCATGCACAGATTAGTGAAGGGAGGAAAAGTCGCAATATGTCATGTGACGCAGCCGTGATGATGCGAGTTTGACACCCCTGCCGTAGGGCATTATCTGACAGGTGAATGCACATTTCTAATATAGAAAATACATGAATGATATATTAACCTCAATGTGAAAAGATAAAAAATAACCAGAAAATGAATGATTAGCAAAAACAATCATTATCAAAATCAGGACATTTTATAGCTAAAGAAGATTAATCAAGAGTTTGGCAAAGGATCTATAATGGAAATGAGGTGAGAGGAAGATGGAAAGATTATACTTTAACTCTAAAGGGACTATAAAATGACAGAAACATTTGGAAAGAAAACATATTGAAGAACTGACTCCATAGAAACTGAGGTATGACAGGCTGTTTAATAGGAAATATCCAAGAACAGATAAAATAGTAACTGAATTGCTGGGGGAGAAAGAAGCCATTAAAGTGTTAACAGCTCTATGTCCAAAAATATAGAAGACAGTCAGTGTACTGTAGTGGTTAAGGTTATGTGGTTGGCCTAGGAACCTATGGTAGAAACCTCTTTTAGACATGCATGAGTTCATGGGTGACTTTGAGCCAGTTACTCTCTCTCAGCCTTGCCAACCTTGCAGCGTTGTTGTTCTGGAGAAGGGAGAAGGAAAAGGGAGTATTAGATGCATTCACCACCTTGAGTTGACCCTAAATATAGCAGCTAAAAAAAAACACCTTGTGATGCAAAAAAACAGAACAGTTTGATGAGCATGCTTTTATTATATACCTGGAGGTCTTATACCTTAGTTTTAAAAGAACAACTCCTCATATATCAGGAGCCACAGTTAGTTAGAATAGAATGAATGAGCTAGAAGGGACCTTGGAGGTCTTCTAGTCCAGCCCCCTGCTCAAGCAGGAGAACCTATATCCATGATGGCCAACCTATGGCACGCATGCTGGAAGTGGCATGCAGAGCCATCTCTCCAGGCACGCCAGCTGTCGCCCATTGCTCTTTTGAGTTCTGGCGTGCACATGCAAGCCGGCTAACTGGTCTTTGCGTGCGCATGTGCTCCATAAACCGAAGATCAGGTGACACTCAGTGCCGAAAAGGTTCGCCAACACTGACCTATACTATTTCAGACAAGTGATTGACTAGTCTCTTCTTAAAAACCTCCAGTGATGGAGTGATGGAGTGATGGAGCACCCACAATTTCTGAAGGCAAGCTGTTCCACTGGTTAATTGTCTTCACTTTTAGGAAGTTTCTCCTTAATTCCAGGTTGCTTCTCTCTTTGATTAGTTTCCAACCATTGTTTCTTGTCTGGCCCTCCAGTGCTTCTTTGTGGCAGCCGCTCAAGTACTGGAATACTGCTATCATGAGGGGTGGTGCCACAGTGGTTAGAGGGCAGTACTGCAGGCTACTTCTGCTGACTGCCTTCATTTGGCAGTTCAGATCTCACCAGGCTCAAGGTTGACTCAGCCTTCCATCCTTCTGAGGCGGGTAAAATGAGAACCCAGATGGTTGGGGACAATAGGCTGACTCTGTAAACCGCTTAGAGAGGGCTGTAAAGCATTGCAAAGCAGCATATAAGTCTAAGTGCCAATGCTATCATGTCACCCCTAATTCTTCTTTTCTTTAGACTAGTCACTAACCAAATCCTGCTTATAGTCATTTTATGGGGCATCCCTTGGATCAAGCGTCCCTATTCAAAAAAAATAACTGAGAAGAGCCGAGGGAACCTCTTAGGACTGAAGGAAGATCTCTCAAGAGCGAGAAATCTCAAAGCCCCGCAAGAGGAGCTTCCCGCTCCGTTCAGATAAAGCTCCCCTCCCCCTCCCCCGGAATGCGACTTGAAATACGTCAGTTTGGCTCGCGCGAACCTCCTGACGTCACCAGCGCCCTACCCACTACGGCTGAACAGGAAAAGAGTTTCAATTCCCTTACAAGGTCATCAGGCGCATTCGCGCATGCGCCCCCGAGTTCTCCTTCCCATTTTAGCCACACCCCGTCCCTTGGAATGCGGCGAGCAGCTCGGACTGTACCAAATCAATAGTGAAAAAACCGGAGGGAAGTGTTGGACCAGCCAACTCCTTTCCTATTGGATTTTTGGCCTCCAGCACGTATCTAAACTTTAGAAGAAAACATAACCTGTAGTTGCTGTGTGCCTTATCAGTAGCAGGCTATGTTTTTTTTCCCACCGACTGTACCGTCTCATTCTATTCTGCTCCCCTTCCTCCTCCTCTAGCACGACAGTAGTTTCTCCCGCCGTCGCGCTCTCCGGAAGTGCCGGGGCTGTTGGTTTCCTTGCTTCGAACGGCCGTTTGTCCTTTGCCGCGATCCATCGGCGCTGAATTTCTTTCCGTTAGAATCGAGGTGAGAGAAACCGGGGGGACGGTTAGGCTGGTGGGCAGATTCGTTTGCGAGAGGGAGCTGGAATAAGTGGATGCGGAGAGCTGCAGGTGCCCTCTGTGGTTCTCTTCCCTCCCCCCCCTTCCCGCCCCTCCCGTTTCCCCGCTGCTGGTTGTGAAGTTCGGCTTCGGTTACTTTTGAACGGCTGGGCAGATCTCGGTAGCCGGGAGTTCGGAGGTCGCTTTCTCTCGCCGGCGAGTCCCGGGGCTGGAAAAGGGCGTTGAGACGAAGAGGAAAAGAGGGTTGGACGGTCACCGGCCACGGCCGATCTCCTGGCCCTGCGAACCTCGGCCGATCTCCGGTCTTGGCGGGCCTTGTCCGGCAGAGGCTGAGCCGTTAGTTTTACCTGGCCTTGGGCCGAAGGGGTGGGGGGTGGGGGAAGGCAGGTTGAAGCGGTTTCTGAACGCTTGGAAGAGCCTGCTTGGTCTTCGCTGGATGGATTGGGACGCAGCCCCCCCCATCCATCATCCGCAGCAAGACCGGAGCTTGTTGAGTGGGATGGGAGCGATGATAAAACTGGATCGGGTGAAACGAGAAGCCTGGAAACAAAGGAAAGGGGGGAAGGAACACTTCACCGTCTTAAAATGCCCACGAAGGCGGCTCTGCCTTTTGTAATTTGGTGGTGTAAGGCAGGGGTCTCCAACCTTGGCAACGTTAAGACTTGTGGACTTCAACTCCCAGAATTCCTCAGCCAGCTTGGCTGGCTGAGGAATTCTGGGAGTTGAAGTCCACAAGTCTTAACGTTGCCAAGGTTGGAGACCCCTGTGGTAAGGAAACGGTTGGTGCTGGTCAATCTGGCTGGAGGATAGAAGTTTATGGGATAATTTCCTGAACCAAACAACTTTTTGGAGCGTTTTGACTGACACACACACACACACACACACACACACACACACACACACTTGGTGCTGCTGCTCTTCTGCTTGGCCGTATTTCCCAACAAAACGGCATTGTGTAGTTAGTTGGTGGTTTCCTCAAACCTCTTGCTGTGAGATGGGGCAGATTTTTCTTTTCCTATCGAAAAGCCACATCTCTGCTTTGGGTAGACCCGTCAAATGCATCTGAAAGGCCCGATTCGGATGCGCGTTTTAGTTTCATTTACTCAAACTCTAGTTACAGAAATCCATAGTGTAGGGTGCCGTGTTTTCCCCTCAAAATAAGTCCACGTCTTAAATTGTTTTGAACCCTGAAATAAGCGCTTGGCTTTATTGCCATGCGCTCAAAAGCCCGTTTGGGCTTATTATCGGGATGTCTTATTTTGGGGGAAGCAGGGTCGTAGTAGGTGGATCCAACCAAAGGATTGCATTCCAGAAAACTTCAAAAAGCCATCAATGCAGGGGAGAACCTACAATACCAGAGGAGATCCACATTCAGTTGCACGTAATCTTTGGTGAATGATTGTCCTGCTTATTAACCATTCAAACTTACAATGGTGCCGAAACAGTAAGTTTATGATTTAAGATGGTCAGAACATCCATGTGATCACAGTTTGGGATGCTTAGCAACCCACTGTGTGAATTTATTTAATACTCATAGCATCCTGTTTGCAACCTGGGCAGCTGGCTTCTGACAAGCAGAGTGAGTGGGGAAACTGCAGGAAGTTGCAAGTTGTGGTCGTAGAACTTTGCTTAATAAGCCCAGCAAGACTAACATAAGTTGAGCGGCGTATTGTAATGTTTTACTCAATTACTGCATTCCTTGTATTGTGGTCGTTAAATGAGAACTATCTGTATTCATTGAGCGATAAAAGTTTTCTGGATGTTTTTGGTTGCATCTTTCACAGATATTGAAAGAAGAATGAAAGTAGAAAAAAGAAGTTTGCATACTGCCTTTATTTTGTTAATTGGAATTTAAAAAATAATTCCCCTAATAGTCCTCTTCCAGCCTCAGGGGTTGGGGTTGAAGATAACACTACAAGTCCCAGGTTCTCCTTCCAATTTGGCTACTATTTGTGCAGGCTGGAAATCGCGACATAAATTACTCTGTGTGCAGAGCTCACATGTGTACACTACACTACCACGTACCGTCCACAATTTAGCCCAAAATTTCTATTGCTAAATGAAACAGTTGTTGAGTTTATTTCTTGTCACAGTTAAATGAATCATTGCAGTTGTTAAGCTAGTAACATGGTTATAAAGCAAATCTGGCTTTCCCATTGACTTTGCTTATCAGAAGGTTGCAAAATGTGACCTTGGGACACTGCAACTGTCGTAAGTATGAGTCAGTTGCCAAGAGTCTGAATTTTGATCACATGAACATGGGGGTACTACAACAGTAATAAATGTGAAGAATGGTCAAATCACTTTTCAAGGTCGTCGTAACTTCAAATGGTCACTAGACAAACTGTTGTGAGTTGAGGACTACCTGCACAGCTATTTTATGGCAGACATTTCTCTGATCAACTCTTTTAAGGAATGAATAACCAATAACACTTGAGAATTTGATTTGTTCCAAAATTAAGACCTAAAATATGGTTTTTGTATTCAAATTGGGCATAGGACCCGGTTTGTGGGGGCAATAAGATGACTTTGTATAAAATATACAAAAGTATGAAGGCTATTGCTTAACGCATTGTAAGCCGCCCTGAGTCTCCGGAGAAGGGCGGCATATTAAAAAAAAATAAAAATAGGTACATCTTTCTTACTCATGGTGAACGTACATGCATAGTATTTTCATGAAAATAAGCTCAGAATAATTATAAAACAGATCTGTATTAGAATTCATAGAATTTAGCACAAGACGTTTATTGTTTCTGGGTGAAAATAATTGAAAAAAATAAGTCTGGAAAAACTTAGGCTCTAAAAATATGCTGATGGTGGTGAGGAATTTGAAATATTTTCCCAGCCCTTTTAGCTCATTCTGCTTAGCACATTCCAAAGGAAGCCAGGTTAAAGACGATTTGCCCTCTGCTGGTTTCCAGTTACAGTATTGATTGCTATGGCAAACCCAATTCTAAAAACAAAAATTTTAAAAATAGTTTCTAACAAAATAGGCTTTTTCTGTATTCCGAGCCCTAATCTCAAATTCTGTATAGTGAACACAATCTGGAAAGACAGTAGGCAGTTTCATGCCCCTCTCACTCAGGAAAATAAAGTTTGAAATGAAATACAGGCAGTCCTTGACTTAAAACAGTTCATTTAGTGAGCTTTCAAAGTTACAACAACACTGAAAAAAGTGACTTATGACTGTTTTTCACATTTATAACCATTGCAGCATCCCCATGATCACATGATCAAAATTCAGATGCTTGGCAACTGACTCATATTTATGATGGTTGCAGTGTCCCAGGGTCATGTGATCCCCTTTTGCGTCCTTGCAAGCAAAGTCAATAGGGAAGCCAGATTCACTTAACAACCATATTATTAACTTAATAACTGCAGTGATTCACTTAACAATTGTTGCAAGAAAAGTCGTAAAATGAAGCAAAATTCACTTAACAAATGTTTCACTTAGCAACAGAAATTTGGGGCTCAATTGTGGTCGTAAGTCGAGGATTACCTGTACAGATTGATTGGGTTTTGTTTTGTGCTATCGTGCAGCACATTTTAGGAGAATGCTCATCTATGAAATCTAATGGCAAATCACTTGATGTTCGTAGATTTACCTACACTCAGAAGTTCTTATGTTTTAAGTATGCAAAGTATAACAGGACTTTTGTGAAATAAAAGGTTGTGAATATTTGTCCGAAGTCATTAGTGCTTCTCTCTTGTATCGGTACTTTGAAAAAGGAAGCTTTTCTGATGATCGCTTAGAAATGCTTTTTATAAAGATCCAAACAGAACAAATTGTAATCCAAGTCCATTATAATTTGGAATAAAAGGCAATGAGGGTAAAAAGTATGTTATACTTTGACAGTCATGTGCAGTTCACATTTTATTAGATTTTGATAAGAGTAATATTAATCTATTTTTTCTGTTTAATTGAAAGGCCAATGTAACTGAAATGCATCATCTACATACTATATAGCAGTATTAGCAGATTCTGGGAGTCCCAGAATCCAAAGCTTTTGCTTTTTTTTTTAAGAACTCACTTAAGATAGGGTTAAAATGCTAGTTGTTTTCAAGGAGGAGAAATCAGAAAACCATGTGGTAGAAATAGTATCATTTGATTATAAGCCTCATTTTTATAAATCATATTTCAGTGCTTTTGACTCGAGGTTGCTGAAAAGATGCTATTCATTCATAAGAGAGAGGTATCAGTACTGTCATTGGGATCTTGGGGTTTTCAGAAACACAAAAATAATTTTAAAAGGAAAAATTGAGAAAGGATATCAGTAAAAGAGGCCAGTGAGGACTGAGCATGCTCATTTGCCAGTGAAAAAGGCCTTCCCTGAACTCCGTTTTTGCGGGCAGAGGCACCGCAGGCCAGTCCTTTGCTGTTTCCAGATCTAAATATCCCTTGAGTCACCCCTTGAGTTTGACACCCCTGATCTAGTGCATAAGGCATCACGCTAGAAAGCAGGAGTTTGAGTCCCACCTTAGGTATGAAAGCCAGCTGAGTGACTTTGGGCCAGTCACTCTTTTTCAGCCCACCTCACTAGACAGAGTTGTTGAAGTGGGGAAAATAGGAGGAGAATGGTGTGTTTATATATATTTGCTGCCTTGAATTATTTATAAAACAATAAAGACGGGATTCAAATAAATAAAAATAAAGATGATGTTTTACTACATTCTTAGTTCTAAAATATTTATTTTGTAGTTTTAGTTGCTTTAAGCAGTACAGACAAAATGTTCCTAAATTTCCTAAAAGAAAAATGTTCCTTAAGATTGTGTATATAAAAAAAAATAGGAATGTTTACTTTTGTCTTCTGCCAGCTTTCTAATTTTAATTAAATTATTTGGTCTCAATCATTATAAGATATTTAGAGATCAGGATCCTCTGAAAATGGTGCCCTGAGTGACTGTAAGTTTTTTTTCCCTGCTGACAAACAGATGATTTTGCTGGCAAAACTGGTTTTTTGGTAGTATGCTGCCCAGATTTTAATGGGAGCAACTAGGAACAACCCCAGATGACTCGGATGACTTACCTGTAATGCAATTACTTACCTGTAATGAGAAATCTTAGTGGTTGCAATTCATGGTCAGAATGGCCACAGAATTGAGTCTCCATCTTTTCCTATCACTTGTTCAGATTTTAAGCGCATCTTTGCTTTAACATCACCTTTTGAAATTGTTTTCTTTTGATTGCTGACTTACATTTTAAATCCTAAACATCTGGTTGAATGCTGAACCCAGGCCTTGCTGGATTATAAACGTGATTTTTAAAAGTATTTTTACTTTGTTTTTGGAGTAACAAATACTTTCGCTTTTGCCACATGGAAGTTTTACCAGTTTTTATGAGAACTTTGCTGTTTTATTGTACTTTATTTCTTAATATTTCTCTGGTCCCTTTAAGAGATAGGAACTTTTCCCTTTGTCTCTTTTATTCATTCTCTATGGCAGGAAAAATTATCTCAATCCTTCCTGCGGTTAGCCAGTGGTGGAACAGACTGTCCTTAAGAGGAAATCCCTATGTTCTTGGATACATTAAAAACGAAAATAACAAAAGCCTTCTTGAAAGTCTTCAAAATAAGAATGCTTTTTAGCCTATAAGGTCTCTTTGAAAATTTTTAGATAATAGGTTTTATAGCAACAATTATTTGTTGCTATTTAATGAAGCAACAATTATAAATGAATTTAAAGAGGATACTCAGATATAGCCAATCTGATGGATTGGAAATTAAATTTGTTGCTGACAGGGTTGGGGGAGAAGGAATTTTGTAGGAAACTTACACGTTGGTGAAGAAGTCTGAAAGGGTCATGAATCCAGTGATGGTGGATCAGTAATGAATTGGACTTTCTTAAGAAAATTCATGGACTTTTTAAAAAATGCATGCTGTGGAAATACAACAGAGATCTATGACTTGAGGAATGAAATGAAATTATATGGAAATACCCTAGTTATAAATTTAAGGAAAAGTTTTATTATCAAGAATCAATCAAGGATATTTGATCCTGGACGGATCAGAAACAATGACTGTAATGGATAAGGCTGAAATTGACGCTTTTGCAGACTTTTTGCAACTTAAATACAATAATAGATTGTTAACAGGATTTTGAAGTTAGTTTTTAGTGTTGGGCTTACCTATTAACCTTTTTTTTTTATAGTAGATAAATGATAGGTCAAATTGCTTGGGTAAATATAGTTCTAGAAGCTTATATATCGTAGACCTATTTCGCAAGGGGAGAAAACTATTAATGTTGAAATATATTTATTAGAATTCAACCAGGGGGAAACAATATATGTGATTTTTTTCTTTTTTCTTCTTTTTTCTTTAATGCACCTTTTTGTTTGTTTGATTGATTTTTGTTCCGTTTAGTTTTGTTCTGTTCTAGTTTGTATTTTTAAATTTTACATAAAAAATAAAAAGATATTTGGAAGTTGTAAATTTCTAAGATTAAATTTACCTTCATTATAATAACCAGATTTTATGTTTACATTTATGTTGAAAAGGAATTTTAATAATTTTCCAGAGTACTATTTTTAGTTCTTTATACAACTAGTCCTCAACTTGCTACCACAATTGAGCCCAAATTGTCTGTTACTTAGCAAAGCAGTTATTGAGTTTTGCCCCATTTTATCTCATTTGTTGCCACAATTGAATCATGCGGGAATGTTAAGCAACTCTGGCTTTCCTCATTGACTTTCTTGTTGGAAGCCAGCTGGGGAAGGTCACAAATGGTAATCACATGGCCCTGGAACAGTGCAACAGTGTAACTGTCATAAACACATGCCAGTTGCCAAACAATTGAATTTTGATCATGTGACAATGGGGATATTGCAACAGTTCTAAATGTGAGAACCGGCCATAAGTCACTTTTTTCAGTGCCATTGTAACTTCAAATAGTCATTAAACAAATGGTTGGGGTTTTTCTGGAACGCTGATGACGATCTATAGTTTGATTATTCATCATAATTTTAAATATTTTTTTAAACTTTTTTTTTTTAATTTGATGGTAGGGTGATTGTCCAGAGATGAGTTTAGCAAGTGATCGGATTTCTAATGTCAGTTCTTGTAATAAAATCCATTGCAGTAATTTTTTAAATTATTTTTCACATCAGTTTTTCTTCAGCTATTTAGGAAACTTAGATTATCAATTTTTCCTGTATGCAGCATATGTAACTGTATGGTGCTGAATAAATAATATTTTAGTGAAATAAAATAGTTTCCAGGATAATTGGAGCAGTAGGTGTATGCAATTATGCCTGGAGAGATTTTATATAACTGTATGTAGAAAAATATGAATCTCTTTTTTAAAAATTATTATTATTTTTAAACACAAACGTACAACGTAAATAAAGCATTTATTTATTTAAAAATATGAATCTTTTTAATTCTAGTAACTTCGACTTAAATCATCATTGAAAGAAAGTTGAAGATACTTGAATGGAAGATTCTAAACATTATGCTTGTTGGCTATTCTATCTATGGAGTAATGAATGTTTGCTGGGTGACTTGTGCATGGACTTATTTTTAGTCAGACAGTAATATGTGTTCTTATATGTCAGGGGACTGTTGTAATAGATGGAACACAAGTTTAAAATTGTGAAGTTAATCAGTAGATGATATCAGGATTACCTATTTATAGATCATCCCTTTCAATATATAACCAGCAGTAGCATCTTTTCCTGCTGTCTGAAGTTTGACTAAACCATTGGACTGTAATCTATTTTGAATCATGGTAAGGTTTTTCTCTAGTATATAAATTAACAAAATCCAGATATGTGTTTTAATTTTTAAATAGCTTTTAATACTTATTTTCTAATTCAGTTAGAAATTCAGCACTGTTTGATTTAACAGCAAAGGAATCAAAACATATTTTAGTGGGTAGCTGAAAACAGATTGATCTTCATTTATGAACTTGTTTTCATTCCCAAATCTATACCGTTATGAGCTATCGGGTCTGTTAAATTGCACACACTCTCCTACTTTACCCATAAAGTGTAAATAAAACAAGAATGTTACAGGGTATGAATGTCTAAAGCTCAGGGAGTAACATGTCATTTAAATTTCATTTTTTAATATTTCAATACAGCATGTTGGCTTTTTCTTCACACTATTTTTGTTTTTCCTAACATGCTTTACAGTGAAGACTTCTATGATTAGAACAAATTGTAACTGCGGTGATGATGATTTGTTAAATTAAGCTAAACAGCCTTGAAGATAGATTGTTGCTTCCTTTCTCTACTGTTCCTTACTTCAATGATTTTTTTGCCTCCTAGAGTCTAGCAGCCAACATGTCAAGCAAAAGAGCAAAGACAAAGACCACTAAGAAGCGCCCTCAGCGTGCTACATCCAATGTATTTGCTATGTTTGATCAGTCACAGATTCAAGAATTTAAAGAGGCATTCAACATGATTGATCAAAACAGAGATGGTTTTATTGACAAAGAAGATCTGCATGATATGCTTGCTTCACTTGGTAATTACTTTTTCTATTTTACTTCAGTTATGTTTCTTCTTGCTAACTTCCTCCCCGGTTAAAGTGTAAGGAATTTTTATTTAATACTTTAGAGCTGCGCCTTGAAATATAACCCTCCAACTATTGATGTGGCTCAATTTTAAATGTTAATTGATTGTAGGGAAAAATCCAACTGATGAATATCTAGATGCCATGATGAACGAGGCTCCAGGACCAATAAACTTCACTATGTTTCTCACAATGTTTGGTGAAAAATTAAATGGTACTGATCCAGAAGATGTAATCAGGAACGCTTTTGCATGTTTTGATGAAGAAGCAACAGGTAAGAAGCTATAAAGTATCACAAATAATTTCGTAGCTTTTGAGTTTGATTATATAATCTTGGTTAGTTATGTGTAAAATGATCTACAAGTTCAAGGCAAAGGAATGAAACACGTTCCGACACCATGGCAAAATAGGTGTTTAAAAAGCAAAGCTGTGACACTTAATTTTTAGAACTGCAAAAATTAGGGATATTTTCTGCAAAGGAATGGTTTGGTAGGGATGATTTTAAAAATAGAAACTCTTCTTGTTTAGGGAAGAAATCATTTGGTTTCGTAGTCAGATTTGGAAATTTCTGATCCTTCCTTCTCTGACATGTTCAGCTGCTTGATAATGATACCACAGCATTATTCACATTTTACTTTATTGTTTTCAGTAACCGGGGCCATTTACTAAAATAGTTTCATTTAAGATTTTAGTCATAACTTTAATTTGGTGACAGCCATAACTGACATAATCAAATTCTATAAGACTTCATACTTCTACTCATACCGTGATTTTGAATCCACAAAGTTTATTTAGAGTAGAAAAAATTGCTAACAATTTAGTAGTAATTGTTTGTTAAATAACTACAAACATTTTATTTGTTCATACTTATTTCCTAAAGTATAAATAAGTGCTGAAACAGTAAAATTTTAAAAGCACTTAAGAGCACTTTCAATAAAGCCTTTTGATTAATTTCGATTTTTTTTTGTGTATAATATGTTATACTAAAACTTCTTGTATTAAAATTCTCGAAATCTTTTCACATTTCTAGGTGTCATTCAAGAAGACTACTTGAGAGAATTGTTGACAACAATGGGAGACAGGTTTACAGATGAAGAAGTTGATGAGCTGTTTAGAGAGGCACCAATTGATAAAAAGGGCAATTTCAATTACATTGAGTTCACACGCATCCTGAAACATGGAGCAAAAGACAAAGATGACTAAAACAGAACTCTTGCTTCTGCATTGCTCTTTAGATCTCATGGTTATCTTCAAGGGGGATTTTTCCTGGTAGAACCTGTTGCATGCAGCTAGCTTTACAGCTTTTACCTTTCTCGATGTATTTATCTATACAAGGCCATTCTGGCACATCTTGCACCAGTTTAATAAGGCCAGCAATGGAAATTGTAATTTTGGTGAATTTGGAGGATGAGACCAATGAGTTTGAAGGCCCAGGAAAAATATGTGTTTTTCTGGTTTAGCTGGATTTTTACATTTTGTAATAATGCCATTTTGAAATAAGATTGCTATATCAATAAAATACCTCAAATGCTAGATTGCGAAGTATAAGATTTTATTAAGAGTTGATAGCCAAACCTCATTATTTCTATAAAGAATAGGAAAATGATCTTATGAAACACTAATATCACCGTGTCACTACTTCATATAGATTCAACTGTGTATCTATTATAATTTTAATTTTTTTCAGGGTAAACATATCTTGCACATATATTTTCTGAGTAGATTGGCCTAGAGAATCATGGCATCTCCAATTTTTTTATCTACCCTTGTTAAATTCATTATTCTTACGAAGCTTTTTTTTTTTTTTTTTTTAACATTGGTGAGAATTTATAGATCATACCATTTTGGATTCATGAACATAATATAGTTTTTCTCAGTGTGTCACCGGAGAATAGAGTCAGAAAAAATGAACTAGAAGTTTAGGAAAGCATAATGCTTTAGTTTCTTCCCTAGCTAATTATCACTGCTTCTGTTATACTGATCTTTCCCCTCATTTCCAGTATCAGCAATAGTACCTCTAAGCTTTTGCTTTTAAGAATTTTGGTATGTGCCGATATCCAGCCAGGAATGGAGAAGCACTGCTATCTATCCTGTTTTATAACCTGCTTTAGAGTGCTGTTCCTATTAGCTAGAATAATGTACACAAAAATAATTTTCATTTTTTCTAGGGACCAGTATCCATTTCAGTGCCACCTTGGAACTCTAATATTCGTGCAACCTTTTAGTTATCAGGCTTGGCATTAAGTGTTGGCTATAAGTTGGCTAGAAAACACAACACCTCAAATACTGTAAGTTTATTGACAAATTGAAAGAAAGTACAATTGAAAATATGTGATATACTGGTTATCATTCCTCATACTTGCCCCACCTAAATATATCTTGAATAACTACAGGGCCCTTTTGCTGAGAAAATAAGTAGTGCGAATTTGGGAGATATTGTAGCTATAAATTAAAAAAAAATAATGATTACCGTATTTTTTGGACTATAAGAGGCTCCGGACCATAAGAGGTATCTAACTTTTGGGGAGGAAAACGAGAAAAAAAATCTGCCTATGCCTCCCAGCATCCATCGGTATTCATATGGCTAGTGTCCTAACAGCAAACAGCCTGGTCAGTTTCAGTACATTATTGCAACCCGATTTAGCACGAGCAGGTGATTGGTGATTGAATCAGTCTCCTGGAATACCACCAATCAACTGTTCCAGGATGCAGGGATCGCTGCCTCCGCGCGCCCCATTTTTGGCTTCCACAAACCGAAAATGGGGCACCTGGAGGCTGAAAATGGCTGAAGAGTGGGGGCCGGTGGGTGGGCAGGGATTCGACAACGTTCACTCTATAAGACGCACAGACATTTCCACCCACTTTTTTGGGGGTGGGTGGGAAGTGTATCTTATAATGTGAAAAATATGGTAATTAAAGTGTTTGGACTAGCAGTTAAGATATTGGGGTAGGAATGAAGAGACCTAAATTTTAGTTTACCATTGGCCATGGAAACTAGTGACTTTTAGCCAGTCATTCTTTGAGCCCAGCCAACCTCCCAGGATCATCACTGAATAGAAAAATAAGAAGGAAGCATCACGTACAGAGTTGTGCTCTCTTCAAATTGGAATACAGCAATACTGTCAACCATGTTACTTCTGGCCACCCCCAGTAATCGATGGTGGCAGATCCTTTATTGCTTTTTCTACATGATTGTCAATCTCTTAAAAGTGTTTAAAATATTGAGAAGCTAGTAGTGTGAAGCACAGTTAATTCCTGAATTTCAAAAATTTCTCACACCAATATTTTTAAACTTGATAAATAAGGTACGCTCAGCTTCAGATCAGATCTGACTACATTGTGATTTGGTTAGAAGTTATCTCTAGGATTACCAGATAGGAAATGAAGAACAAGGTTCAAGTTATACTTTTGCTCTGAAATTGTTACTGTTTCCCTTCCTCCTGTATAGAGATGGTTTCCTTCCAAAATGGATCAAGTCTGAATCTAAAACGTGTTAATATATGATACTGTTATTCCTCATACAAAGCCCTGCATTGTGTTTTAAGAGCAGCAATACATATCATGGCACACTTAAGATTAACACGTATTTGATCATAAATTTTTCCTTTTGAGATTCTAATTTGACAGTTGCATGATGTAAAAACAGACATTAAACAATAGACAGATGCATCCCTGAGCACACAAGGCACAAATGAAACAAATTTACAAAGCTCTTAAAATTTGCAATGCACCTTTCAGGCCATCCAGATGAAAAGCTGATATCATTCTTAGAGTTGGGCCATGTTAGACATAATACCTAAAGAAATTCTTTAGAGGCAGTATGAATATCCAATATCTGCATATCCAAACAATATGGATTAAGGAAAGTAATTATTTTTCTTTCTAATGTTATCAGCTTCTCCAGAATTTTGGGTTCCTGTAGGAAAGAGAAGATTTGAATGCATGAAATGTATAAAATATGTGCCCAGGGGAGCTTTTATAGCCAATCTTATTTCCTAATGCCATGGATATTACTTGATTCCAATTACAAGCCTTTTTTAATGCTTCATTGTTATGCAGCAGATAATTTTGAAGAGTGGGAACAGAAACTGCAGCTGAAAAATATCTCTTTGGGGACCTTTACAGTCACAAAAATTTGAAGTGGGCTGTTGCCACTCAAGGGAGACAGGAAACACACTGCCTCAAAATGATAAGCTTCACTGCAGCTGAATTGGTGAATTGTCTTTGCTTAGAAGAAGTTCCAGGAAAACACTGCTATTTTGTTGAAAAGCAGAGATTTCTGCTTGTTATTTCTTCCAAAATGGATCAAATCTGAGTCTGCAATGTGTTAATATATCATACAGTTATTCCTCATAATTTGAGAGTGAAAATAAGACCCAAATGACAGAAGTCTCAGATCAGAAATGCTCTATTCATTTCTCTTAAAACTAAAATTTCATAGTAAATTTTAGGAAATTTAGTACACAGTAACTATAGGAAGAGTTATATATAACTCTTTAAACAGCCTGTTTCCTTGCAAAAGTATTGTGCTATACCTTCCATAATTCCCAGCCAGTCAGGTGAGAGTTCTGGGAGGTATTGTTCAACATAGCTGGCAGTCATTGTAAGTGATAACCTAGCACGTTCACAAACAAAGCCTAACTTTCACAAGGTTGATAATCTGCAATCATTAGCCATCATCAAGCAGACAAAAGAAAACACATATTTGCTTTGTAATTCCCTTACAGCTTCCATTCAATTTGGTTAGGCAAGTCAGGCCTTGACAACAGTGCAGGCAGACAAGTTGTGTAGGCATGCATGAAGGATTACATATGAATAGGCTGACAGAATAAAGAGAAGTTATTTTTGAAAAGGAAATGCATGCTTGTCAGCACAAGTTATGACAATCTGTCTTTGGATTAAAGGCTGTTAGTCTAGAGTTTATTCACTCAGAATCATTCCACCAGGTGGCACTGTATAAATACAGTGATGTCAGAAGGTTAAGGTTCTTTCTGTACCATTATCGAAGTATCAAAGCAGGTCTTGTATTATTACTTTTCTCATTGTATAGTTTTTTCACATCTACTAAAGCACTGCTTTATTTGTATTTGAAAAGAGAAAAGAAAAGCTTGTTAACCTGAATATTGATGACATCCAGTATTAATGTATACATTCCCTACGCAGCTGTGAAAAATAATTTGGATCCTTCAGTCTTAGGAGATGAGACATCCTAACTGTCCTTCAAGCTTTATGAGGAGCTTATCCTTAGCTTTGACTAAATATGTGCTTTGTTGGGAAGGATTTCCTATAATATGTACTGAGTTTCACCAGACAAAAATGTTTTTTTCTCCATATCATTGCTTTCAGGGCTATGGGAAAATAACATGTAAACGTCTAAAGATTCCTTATTATCCAGGAATATTTTGCTAGACATGTAAAAAAAAGTTCATGATCTCAGTAAACTACACATATTATATCAAATATAATAATTTATTTCTGTAAATATTATCCAGTGTTATCACTTCTCTTATACTTGTAGGATACACCGATAAATGTAATTTATAAAAAATAAATCATAAATATTAGTAAAAGTAAACTACCAAATTTAGGATATATGTTAAAAAGGTCCGGAGCTTTAATTGTATTGTTGACCTTGGTTTTTTAATCTCATTGCCAATGCCCCTCCTTTAGATATGTTAGACTTGTGGATTTAGGTCTTAAACTTGTAGTTTAAGTCTTGGAACAATTCTTTTTCATATTTATGTAAGAATATCATTGAATTTCCTGCTCTTAGTCAAGTTTAGTACTTTTGAATATTATCTGGAACATATCATCCATTGTGAGGATAAAAGGTACACCAAAATAGTGTTGAGTTTCTTGAAGTATTTAGATTTTAAGCTATTTTCCTACATAATATACCACAATAAACATATATTCAGATTTCTGTCATCTTGAAAGAGAATCAGGACTCCATTTGTAATGTCAAATTCAATGGAACTTAATTTTGAATAGGCTAAAAGTATAATCCTATGTATTTATTACTTTACTGAGTTTGGATTCCTGGTAAAATCCCATGAATGATACACTAATATTGTAGTCTGGAAGCATCCAGTGATGGAACCAGCCTGAGGCTTCCAGAATAGATAGCTTTCAACCTGGCCTGAATCTCATCACTTTTATTTTTAAACTTTTGGCTGGCATCTTATGCCCTTATATCTGGTCTAGATTGCCTTTCCATTAAACAAACATAAACCCTGTTCAGTGTTTTACTAATGTGCAAACATCTCAGAAATAGAGCACCTTTTTCATTAAAAGGGTTGTTTCCACTTGCTAGGGTGTTGGGCTTTGTTGTGCTGGATATAGTTTTTTGATTCTCTGTCATTCACTTAAGCAATGCTCTGCATAAAATCTATTAAAAGGATTGAGAGGGAAGAAGGAGCTCAAGCAAGTCCTGGATTCAACTCCTCTCAGCCCTTTCCAGGAAAGCAGATCCTGCAAGTTCACGCAACAGCAGTCTTTTGGGATTGGCTATTGTGTGGTGTCTAATGTTTGGCCCTTTTGTCTTCAGACATACTTCCAAATGGAAGTGTTTTCAGAAGGGTACAGTTTGAAATGTGTGTGCATATACTACTATGCAATAACATTACCAAGGGAGAGAGACGCTATGTAGGATCCAACAGGGGCCAAACTCGAGCGAAGGGAAGTACAGATAGTCCTCGAATTACGACCACAATTGAGCCCCAAATTTATGTCACGGAGTGAGAAATTTGTTGAGTTTTGCCCCATTTTGCAACTTTTCTTGCCACAAGTGAATCACTGCAGTTGTTAAATTAGTAACGTGGTTGTTAAGTGAATCTGGTTTCCCCATTGACTTTGCTAGGCAGACAGTTGCAAAAGATGATCACATGGCCCCCCAGGACACAGCAACCTTCATCAATGTGAGTCAGTTGTCAAGCATTGTAAATCACGTGACCACCAGGATGCTGCAATGATCGTAAAATGTGAAAAACGGTCATAAGTCATTTTTTTCCAGTGCCATTGTAATATTGAACAGTCATTAAGTGAACTGTTGTAAATCGAGGACTATGTACCCATACTCAACACTCCCTTCGGGGCCTCAAGCTGCGTCATGCCAACATTTAGGGCAACGGATCGGTGTAGCTCAGAGGCGATCCTCTGCTTCCCGAACAAGGAGGAAGATGGCAAGCCGGGAGACGAGCCGGGAGTTTCCTCCAAAAGGCGCCTCGTTTGCATCGCCAGCCACCGCATTTGGCTGCGAGCGAGACTGTCAGGATGGCAAAGCAACCGCTTGGCGACGCTTTGGTGCGCTCAGCCCGGATATGAGGTGTCCCTGACTCAGCTTCGGTCACCAATTGCAGCTCATCGGCGAAAGCGACGCTTCGGGAGTTTCTGCACCAGGGCTCTCCAACCTTGGCAACTTTAAGACTTGTGGACTTCAACTCCCAGAGTTCCTCAGCCAGCAAAGCTCTGGGAGTTGAAGTCCACAAGTCTTAAAGTTGCCAAGGTTGGAGAGCCCTATTCTGGGCTGTAAGGATCGAGCCACCTGGCAGCCCTTTCGCAAGCCCAACTCCAGCCCGCAGCCCCGCAAGAGAGCCTTGCGGAGAGAGAAGAGAGACGCACAACTTGCGAGAAAAGGCTGGAGCCTTGTTACAGTCTGATTTCAGGGGAATAAAACCCAAGCCTCGATCGTTGAAAGAAGGGATGTCGATAGTTTTAGGTCTCTTCTGAAACGCAGAAAGCGGCCGGGGCCATATATATATATATATATATATATATATATGTATATGTATGTATTATGTATGTATGTATGTATGTATCGTCATCCTTACTATAAGTATGCCTCCTCGGAACTCAGTTCAGTGTTGCGGATCAGCTGAGTGATTCCGTCATTAATGATGACACGGCAGATCCGTAAAAGCCTCTCAGAAACATTGAAAGGGGGGGGGCGTGTTTATTCCTTGAGCCCGATGTGGCTTTCGGTCCAGATCACATGCAAAAAAACTTGAGAAGTTTTTGTTGTTGTTGAAATAGATCACCCAGGAGTGTAACTGCAGAAAATTAGCGCTTTAGCGCGATCCTCCTAACCGCCTCGGTTTGCCGTACTGCATCTTTAACTACACGAACTGGTGCGCTGCTAAATTATTTAAAGAAAACGACGAGGCTTTGGTGGCAACGTGGGTTGTTCACCTTTGTAAGCCTGGCTAGGTGGCTCAGACACAGCTTGTCGATCAGAAAGATTGCCAGTTCGAATCCCTAGTACAGGTCTCCCGCGTGAGCACGGGGCTGGACTAGATGACCTCCAAGGTCCCTTCCAAACTCTTGTTACTGTTAAACTGTACAGCGAGGACCCGAGATCGAGCGTGTAAACACGACTCTTCCCGGAGCGCCTATTCCCCCCTCCCCTTCCGGAAGTCAACCACGTGGCCTCTGAAGGCCCCGCTTGTCTGCAGTTCAGTCAGCTGGTGGTTCAGTGGCTGGAAGAGCTGGTGGGGCGACGCGGGGAGGGCGCCTTTCTATGAAGACCTGGCTTGTTCGACCGAATTACGCCGCCGTATGCTTTTCGCTTGCCATAATTACTGCATGACAGCCCCGTTTAGTCATGATGAATGTGCTCGTTAAAATTCAGGCCAGGTGACGGGCTGTAACGCTTGAGCAAGAGGGTGCTTTTCCATCCCAGATGAGAAGCGTCTTCTTACGGGAAGGAAAAGAAGCCGCCTCTGTCCCTGAGGGTTGGAGAGCAGCCCACGCAGAAGTCGCTAAATTTCAGCTCCGGTGATCTGCAGGAAGGGGCCGGTGGGTCTCATTCAGCCGCAGTTGGATCCGTCCCAGTAACGCTGCTAGGATAATGCGGAGGAAAACAAACACGTTGCACACAGGTTTATTCCATGGAAATGAATCAAAGCCGTGAGACTAAAAACAGAAGTCACTGAGTCCGGAGTCCCCCCTCCCCCATCCCACACCCTTAAATGAGCATGTGTAAAATATATGGAATGCATTTCATTAGTAGAAGCGGAGTGGCGGGAAAGTAGTGTAACTGCGGGATCGGCGAATTTTCCTCGGTGTAAATTGGAACTGACGTAATGTGTTTTTTTTCCCCTCCCTCCCTCCCTCCCTCCCAACTCGCCGTCTGAACAGACAGGAGAAACCGCACCGTTCAAGGCAACTCTCTTGATACTCGCGTTACTTAAACCCACCCAACCCCCTGTCCCAAGTTAAGTCAAATCAACGGTTCATCTTGTAGCTGGGCTCTTTGTAAGTTAACAGACCGCATCTATCCCAAAACACGGTGATGTAGATTCCGGGGGGGGGGAGGCTTTTAAAGCAGATTTGGGTTAAGATCCAGAGTGGGATGATGGTAGGGTTTGTTTGTTTTTTTAAATAGGATTCGCCGCCCCCCCCCTCCGGTAAACTCGCGCAAAGGGTTTGAGGGCTTTATTCAAGCCAGCAACGCGGTATTCGGAGCAGGAGCTGCAGCGATCTCGGAGGAGAAAGCGGAACAAGATTTGAGCCACCTGGCTTGCTACGTGCACAGGGGGAAAACTTGGCTTTCTCTGGTGGGCCAGGCTCGTTGCGAGGACTCCTGGGACGGAAACCTGACTAACAATCCAAGAAGTGGCGGAAAGACCTGCGCCGAGGCCTTCCCACGCTGACCAAGCCGAAGAAGGGCTTGGGGAGCAAGAGTTGCCTCCGCCTGAGATTCCCGAAGCGGGCCGCGCGGGTCTGTTGACGCAAACTTTATAAACGGCGTTTACACCGTTTCAAGGCAGAGCTCCCGGCGCCTCAAGCATTTAAATTCTCTTTCCCCCCCTCCACCTCCGGCGACTTCCTCTTTGCCTACTTTTTCTTAAAGAGATCCTTTAAAAGGAGAACTTCGGCAGCGAAGCGCTGAGGCTTTCCTTGCCTGCCCGTGTGTTTACGCCGCGTCTTGGGGAGAGCTGCTCTCCCCCCTCCTTTCTGTTTAGCGCCGGTATTTTGACAGACTCGGCCTTCCCCCCCACGCCCCAAAGCCGTTACCCAGCCGGCCAGTGAGGAGGGGAGGGGCAGTTCTGGCTCCTCTCCCGCTTAGTCAGGGCCGGGAGGTGGGGGAGGGCACACCTCGTGGCGGAGGCGGCAGCAGCAGCAGCAGCTTGTGCCAAGCACCAGTTGAAGAACAAAGAAGGAAGAAACGGCGAGAGGGCCACTCTCAAGTTACTTTCTGCACCAGCCAGCCCCCCGACCGTCCCGCAGCTTCAGACGCCGCCTTTGCAAAGGACCGCGCTGGAAGCCGCCGCCTTTTCTCCCCCTCCCCTTCTTTTTTTTTCTTTTCTTTTCCAAAGTTTCTTTCTCCCTTCCTGGCAATAAAAGGAGGGCGAATCTTCCACGAGAAGGCGGGAAGGGCACCGAAATGAAAGCTCAGAAAAGTAAGTAGAATTTGTCCTGCTTCGAGCGTCTCTCTCTCTTTCTCTCTGGCTTTCAAGTGGAAGGAGCCCCCGCTGCCTACCTCGTGGCTTTGCTAAACAATTGTCAGGCGGAAGAGAGTGCGTGCGTGTGGGGCTTGGAGTACGCAACTCTCGAGTACAGGCTGTGGAAGAAATTGGGACTTCTTCCCCTCCGTTTTTTTTAAAGCCTCCCCCCCCCCTTGGCTTCTTTGTACAGCGTTTAAGTCGAAGTTGAGGAGGGGGGCTTCCCCGTTCAGACATTAAAAAAACCAACAACATGAGGGCGGCGATGTCGGTTTGAAGGCTGCCGCCCCTTCAGCTGCTGGCGCCCTGTCAAACCCGCCCGTTTTGTGTCCGAAACAAAAGTTTTTGTCCCCCCCCCCCTTTCCGACTCTTTTTTTTCTCTCCCCAACCCGCTCGCGGCTCTTCCTTTCCAAGCCTGCTTCTTTCGCCTTTGCCGTTTGGTTCTGCTGCTGAACACGCGATACGGAGAGCAAGGCGGCATCTGAAAACAAATTCTTTAGACTAGCAACAGCGTGCTTGAAGTACTTTCTTTGTTTGCGCTTGTCGGGGAGGGAGGGGGCAGAGAGACGGGGGTGGAGCCTCTGCAAAAATCGGTTAAAGAAAGCCCGGAGAGCGGATCTCCCACGCTTAAGACTCTGGACGTGTGAAAACAAAAAAAAACGCCGTTTATTTTTTAAGAAGACGCAAAAGCAAGTTTATAGGCTACTGTCAGATGAAAGGCAAGATAACTTGAAAACCACTTTAAAAAAAAAAAACAGGACCTGGTGAAATATCTTGTCGACACTGCTGCTTTTGTCAATGTCTTGTTCATGTTTATTCATAATTTGCTCCCTTGAGTTAGAGTTTCTTACCTGTGTATGCTACCTGTAGCTTATGTTACAGAAGTAGCTGCATGAACACTGTGAAAAACAATGAAAAGTCAGTGGCTTAGAGTTAGGAAGTTAAAGGGAAAGTCACAGTGCAACTCCTGTTTTAACAAGGAGTTAGGCTTTGTGGGTCATTGGGAAACTTATTTTTTACTTTTGAAATGTATCTAAAACGTTCTTTTCCATGCAGCTGATCTTGTGTAGTGAGTGACAAGTAACTATGAAATATAAAAAGGGAAGGGAGCTAACAAGTTAATTAGAACCATTAAATGGTAATGTAAGCACACAAAATAAGAGAGGTACAACCTTGTGTATGTAACAGTATGTGCTCCAACAATACCATGGCCTACCTCTGCAGTTAAAGACAAATGTAATTGTTTTTGAACTTTGTACAAAAATATTGGTTACATTATTGAGCAAAAAATTCCACATTGGATAATTTGTATAGTGTTTTTGTAACTGCTGCTGTGCTCTCTTTATGTCAGAGGTCTTCAAACATGGCAGCTTTAAGACTGAGGGACTGCAACTTCCAGAAGAGCTGGCTGGAGAATTCTGGGAGCTGCAGTCCCCCAGTCTTAAAGCTGCCAAGTTGGAAGATCTCTGCTTTATGTGAACTGTTGTGGTGAGCTGATTTCCTGCCTGCTGATCCATTGTTCCAAGCTTTTGGGGAAGGGGAAGGGTGGGATATGAGATGCTGTGTTTTGTGCTTAAAATCTGGAGTTCCTAACTTGTCAACTGTAAGCATGCTGCCTGTTCTGTCAGGCCGGACAATGTTTAATAAAACTTTTTAACACGTTAAGTGCATGAGAGAAAGTGGAAGGAGTGGAGGAGTTGAGCATGAAGAAAAGTTTTCAGGTACATGGAATATAAAGGTGATCAGGACAAAAACATTTTGAAAAGTTGGATGGTTGATGACATGTGATCTGGAAATATGAAATTTTGTTTGTGCTATAACCCAAGATGTGCTATAACCCAAGCCAATGTTATGTTGAATGTATTTTTCTATTGGTGGTGTAGCTTTCTGTGGTCTGAGAAGTATGCATAAGATTAAAAATATTAAAGGTGGGATAAATGAGTAGACTTCAAATTTCACTGATCGTGTCAGTGAAAGTGTTTTTAAAACATCTATTAACTGCACAGTATACCTACATATCCTTACACAAATCTGGCATTACCATTGTTTTGTGAAAGCACACAATGAGTTACATGTGACTAAGCTTTAGCATAATGATTACTATGTGTATCTTTGGGATTTTATTTCCTCTTACTTCATGTCCAAAAATTTATCCTTTGTCACTACAACTTGGGACAATACTTTTGTATATTTTTTTTGCCTATGATAAAAGCTTTCTATTTTAAAATCTGATGAGATTTCTTTCTGTAATGAAAAACATGTTGATTTTTGAAGAGCTATATTCCTATTCAAATATCTAAACTATCTCTAACTTTTAAAGAGTTACAGATATACATCCTTTCTACAGTAAAGCTCACAGGTAGGGTGCTGTAACTTGTTTCTTTCTGGCCAAAATGAACTTGGAAGGATTATATGCTTGTAATTATTAGAAAGTCAGTTCTAGGAAAGTTCTTATTTTTTCAAGTAATATTTATTGCTTAATAACTTAGGGCTGCATCCATGTCTTTAATTTTGTGTCAGTCTCAAGTCTGTTATTTTTCTTTGTAATTTTGTCTTTCTTGCATATTGAAAGAGTCAATACCACATATGTAGAATCTTAAGGTTTTCAAATTAAGAATTTAAATCCTGTACTTATAAATTCTGCAAGTGTTTTCTGGAAAATGACTGAGCTGCCCTGCAAAACAGCTTGTTAAAAGTTTCACACACAAAGAGATTTGTGGAGATAGCAGTTTTGTACGTTGCTCATGGTGCAAAGCGAACTTATTTGATATAAGGCATTTTGTAAATTTATCAAAGCAGCTGGTATCTACCACTGCTTTATGTAATACTTCCCCCCACCCCCAGAACAGCATTCCCACTATTTTATAAGGTTAAATTTTCAGTAGGTTTGTCATTTCCTTAATATGCAAAAATTGAAGAATTAATACTCTTATCATGGATGGCTTACAGATGTAGTCATAGTTTAAGGAATAATTTCATTTTAACTTTTTGGCCACAAAGAAGCAAACAGGTAAATAATTTACATGTAAAAGGTATTTGTCCTTGTTTAAATGTATTAAGACAAGCTTTCAAACTCTACATGTCTTTAGAAGAGTTTTTCAAATTGAGCCCTGCACTAGGAGATGAAAATCAATTGTGCCCATAAACTTTGGATAAAGTGACCTTTTAATGTACCCGCAAATTATAACTCTGGTTTTGGGTTTGTTTTGTTAGACAAATAATATTGTTAAAACTATTGTCTTTAGAAGAGTAAACTACTGAACATAAAAGTTACTTCAATAACACAAACTCTTGTATATGTATGTTAGTATGTAGTACAATGTTAAATTGCTGTTAGCTAAATATTTCTCAGTCCTCAGATGAAATAAGCTAAAAATAAGCTATTTTTAAAATTGAAATTGGCGCGTTGGTTACATTATGACCAAGCAAGTCATGTGAAAATTGTAATCTGCTATGTTAAAACACCAAATTAAGAGTGCAAATATTTCTCCCTGCTAGAATTCTGTAGAGTAACGAATAACAAAGCAGTAGTGATCCACTGAGACAAGCAGCCTAGTCAGGCCACCTTTTAACTGTTCCTTGTTAAAACAGGAAATGCAGAGCACAGACTGATTACAGGGTAGCTTTGGTTTTCCCTTGTTAGTAATCAGCACAAACGCTCCAATGTAAACACTGCCATGGCAGCACCAATATGGCCTTTGCTCTAATAAAAAAAAATCAACTGGATTAGTCTGCATCTAATGCTCCCTGTAGTTTCCTGTAACTGCAGCTTCTGCACAAATACAGGGTCTCTTTCCTGGTAGCTAATGCTCCTTTATTGAAATCTGCTCATTATACCCCCCCCAAAAGAGTTGCATAGCATTTGTCTCCTGTTTAGCCCAAACCTGTTTTGTATCATTAACCTCTTAGCAGAGGGAACATGTCACAATAAGTAAGCAGATCAAAGGGCACTCAGTACTGCAGGTTTGTTCTTGCTTTAATTTTTATTTATACTGTCAGGAGCTTTACTGGTTCTCTCTTTTTTTTTTTTTATGTTTACCAGGTGAGGAGGAGATCAGCATTTACATTTTGTTTTGAAGGGACCAGAATACATTTTCTAGTCTTTGAATACTTTTTAGTTTCAAGTTTGTTTGTTTTTCTTTAGTTTTTAAAGCAGCCTTCTGTTCTAGCTACCTGAAGTAGTTTGGCTTGATTGCTTTTCTCAGCATTTAGGTGTAAACCTTGTGTAATATGCTAGGATCCATTGACTTGTTTTTTTAATGACATCTCTGAATGAATTCCTGTTCTTTATCCGTGTATGAAGGGCACTAAGAGAGAGCAAATGACTAAAGGCCCATGAATCAGACCATTATATGGAAAGGAGGGTCTCAAAAGCATCCGGAGAGAACTACTACAACAATAAACTCTAGATATTATAAATTATCTGGTATCACAGTATGAAAGTCTTCTTAAAAGGAATATTCCATTCTATTGATAACATTTCTATGGCTTCTATAAGGCATAAAGTACCTTTTTAGATTATGTTCTGCTATCAAAAGTTTTAGCAAATAGAAAGACACTTATCACACTGAAATCTAGGCTACTCATTGCTGGTAGAGCACTGATTTAAAAAAAATTTGGCCTTGTATTCAAGATAATTCTTGATTTACAACCACAATGGAGCCCAACATTTCTGTTGCTAAATGAGACATTTGTTAAGTGAGTTTTGTCCCATTTTACGATCCTCCTTGCCACATGTTAAGTGAATCATTGCAGTTGTTTAGCTAGTAACATGGTTGTAAAGCGAATCTGGCTTCCCTGTTGATTTTGCTTGTCAGAAGGCCGGGGGAAAAGTGTATCACATGACCTTGGAACATAGCAATGGTCATAAATATGAACCAGTTGCCAAGCATCTGAATTTTGATCGCATGATCATGGGGATGCTGCAACAGTCATAACTGGAAAACGGTCATAAGTCATTTTTTTCAGTGCCGTTGTAACTTTGAATGGTCACTAAATGAACTGTTGTAAGTGGAGGACTACCTGTAGTTCAAACCCTGATATAATGGTGCCCACCCTTTTTTTTTAATTTGTTCCATTCATGGGAAGACCTCTGTCACAAAATTTTTGATTTTTATTGAAAGATACCATAGGAATGTGTAACGTATTATAAATTATATCACACACAATGAAAAGAGAACTCCGATTTCAGATATTATGGTCACATGATGCATTGGATCACAGACTGACTTAACCACAAGCATGTTGGATGAACCCAGATTTTGTGTCTAGGTTCACTGTGTTTCCTCAGAAATTTTGATTAGTTGATTAAACCAGGTTTAAATTAACAATGGTTAAGAAAGTTTTGTAAACATCACTAGAGCCTGCTACTGAATAGGCTAGATAAACATCTGGAAATGCAAATAAACCCATCTACAGTAAGTGCCTGAGACCTTTCACTTCGCTTTCTACATTGTCCCCACCATCATCCTCAACTGGTGGTTTATTATTGTTACAGGACACCTTGTTAAACTGTTCTCTTCAGGCTAAATGGTCCAACAGTCAGCTTTATCATTACATTTGGAGAACACTGACCTATTGTATTGTATTCACCTGGTTTACTGACACACTAGTGATACAGCATGACCACAATTAGATCTTGAGCCCTGATACAATTGAACACCAGAAATCTCATTCTTAGCCCTGCACATGATCTGTTATGTTTACACTGGTAGATACAAATGCATTTCTTATTTACCTTGAAAAGTTTCAACCTTTATTGAACAGTATCTCTTAGAACAGGGCTCTCCAACCTTGGCAACTTTAAGACTTGTGGATTTCAACTTCCAGAGTTCCTCAGCCAGCTTTGCTGAGGAACTCTGGGAGCTGAAGTCCACAAGTCTTAAAGTTGCCAAGGTTGGAGAGCCCTGTCTTAGAAGGTATAATAACAAATTGGGTTACCAGAGTTTATGTTCATAAGTAACCCTGGAAGTTGCTGGGAAAAAAATATCCACCGATAAACGATGAGCGCAGTTTTCCCATCAATGTATTTTATGCTTGAGAAAGCCACAATTGTTATCCCTCACCATCAGACATTCTGAAAAGATACAGGACCATTGCTAGAACAAGCAAAGCAGAGAAAGCGTGCAGAATGTGCCTTCTGGAACAATATCCAATCCTTTAATTGCAGCTCCAGTCTAGGTCATGTGACTGGAATGGAGGGATGGAAAGGATTTAGAATGAAGGAGGTGATAACAACCTAATTCATTGCCTAACTCCTCCTTCCGTTAGGGATGCATTGGAACACATTTTCTGGATTTATTTTAATCTGCAACTCTCAGCCCGATGTGGTCCATTTTAAAATGTAATCTTTCTTTTGCCAACTCTATAACAAATTTGATCAACTTTGCGTAGTTTTCAAAATTATACTGGGAGATAAATTACATAATTTATTTTCAATGTTACATTGGAACAAGACAGAATAAAAGGCAGCATAAAAGAAGAACAATTAAGCCCTTCTCACAAGAGGTGGTTGAATTAATTAAATCCTTTTAATACTTGTATTTACTAGTTTGAGAAAACAACATCATTAGATCAGTATTCAGAGAGAGGAGCTGTTTTTTTCTGCTATTCTATTGGAAAGAACAGGTCTTGATGCGTGGCTGCCTTTGTCAAGAGACTGAACTATTTTCCTGATGTGTTTCAATATATAGGATAAAAATCTCTGTTCATGGTGGTGGTTACTTCTTATGATAAGATGTAACAATCATTTCCCCTTTTTATCCAGTGCTAAAATATACTGAATTCTTGTTGCAATAAAACCTGTTATCACTGTTAAAGATGAGAGAACAGAGTAATTGAACTACAGATAGTCCTCGCTTACCAACTGACTCATTCAGCATTCATCCAAAGTTACAATGGTGCTGAAAAAATAACTTTACACCAGTGTCCACATTTATGACTTAACAGTGAAGTCATTTATTACAATCACTATGTGTTGTCCTGTGCCTGATCTGTGGTTCTTCCACAATAATGCAGAATGGAAAGATTGGAGAGGAAGTGTTATAAGAAAGAAAGAAGGTACACAGTGGGGAATACACCAGGCTGTTTGTGCAGTGTGCCCATGGTTGCCAAGGCCAGTATGTTGCTTTCTATGTGCCTTCCCCATTGTGTGCCTGCTTTCTCTCTTGTAATGCCTTCCTCCCCATTAAATGTAAATTAGATTCAGTGGAAACATTATTTTCCTTCTTGCTAATTATATCAGGGGTGAACAGTCCCAAAACTTGGGAAGGGGTTAGGAGGCAAACAAAAACAGAAGTTTGTCTTGTCAGTTTCAAGCCAGCTATACCAGCACCAGTGGGGGTGAGCATTTCAAAGGACTGGAGAGCGGGAGAAAGAATAGCACAGTTGTGTCATATGAGTTCTCACTTAAAAACTGCCTCACTTAGCGATTTGATTGCTGGTCCCAATTGTAGTTACTAAATGAGAACCTATAGAGTACCTATAAGTAGGAGCTATAGAAAGGCTGGAGGAAAAAAAAACCCTTCATTCTAATGTAGACAAACTATTTTTCTTCAGGACTTCAGGGAGAAGATGAAGGAAATGTGGATATCATTCTGAGGCATAATTTACCATTTTCTCATGATTTTTTTCTCTGTCTTAGTGCTAAATGCTAATTTGCAAGTACAGTTGTAGAAGTAGGGTTGATATTTCTATTCATAAAAGATATTGATACTTCATGCAAAATGTTAACTGAGCGCAGATATGAATGAAGTCATATCTAATTATTGGGCTTAATTTTAGTAAGTGTTCTAATTACAAAGTTATTATTCTTAGATGACTTAATGGTAGAATGTTGATATAAAGTCAGTATAATGATGGGTAGCAATTTAAAAAGGTCAATTGTGAATGAGAAACAGCTGATGCTCCAGAAAAAAAATACGAATTTTTCAATCTGTGGGTTTATTTTTATTATTCTTATAGATAGCATTAATAATGAGAGTGGTTTGTGTGCCTCAAAAAATATGCTGGGATCACACATCTTGGGTGTCTCATTCTGGCTTTGAATGATGGGTGTAGTTATCATAACTTAAACCCTTGCTTATTGCTTAGCTTTCTGAGTTAGTTCAGCCTATTTGATTTCTCAACAAATAATTAAATAATCACAATTTAGTGCTCTGAGTGAATTAGCTCTGAACAACTGTTCTACATTAATAAAAAGTGATAGAATTAATTTTGAAGAAAATTGGCCAGATGAATATACACATTATTGGCCAATAAGTGGTGTGGTTCTCTAAATAAAGCAAATCATTGCATATATGCAGACAGATAGCCAAGTTGCTCAGTTTTTCAGAATGAAAGATACTAGGATTTTCTACCTAGTCCTCATTGGTGCATATTATTACATTTTTATTGCATAGGATGGTGATAAGGTGTTTGAGTAGGGAAATGCAGGTTAGAAAAGATAGTAGCATCATACCTTTTCATGTGCATCATAGGTGCTGCTGCAATATCAGGCAGTGAGACAGAAGACGATGACAGCATGGATGTCCCCCTGGATCTCTCTTCTTCTGCCTGCTCAATCAAGAGGAGGAGACGGGGTAACCTGCCCAAAGAATCAGTGCAGATTCTTCGGGACTGGCTGTATGAGCACCGTTACAATGCTTATCCTTCTGAACAAGAGAAAGCACTATTGTCGAGACAGACTCACCTTTCCACACTACAGGTATGTGTGTCCTAATGAAGCTTAAGGCAATAGTGACAAGTTTGTTTACCTGCTGAATACTATGTATTTTGCTTTTAAGTTAGTAGACATTAGGTGATGTACCACAATATTAATATCTAGTGTTGTATTGACCATTAGCTTCCACTTTACTTAAAAAGTGTCTTGGTATTTGATTGATAAAGATGCTATTTCAGCCTGGGTTTTTCTGTAGACCCACAAAGTTCAAAGCTTAAATGGGATGGATGCCTGCTTACCCAGGACTAACCTTTTGCTCAGTGCCTAAAATAAGTATGAATGTTCAGTGCCCATCTGTGCTTTTTATTAGGACAATTTAAGCTTCCAGCCTGTTGAGAAATCCTGATTTACAAGAGGCAAGCTCACGCAGTAACAGTGATGGAAAGAATGTGAATTTCAGTTTTTCCAAATCTAAATGCAGTACCCTTGAAACTCAGTGGCCTTTCTTACTGAAATACTTCTTTCTGCATATTTAGAAATCAATTCATGTCTAATTGTCAGCACTCAGATTTACCTAAGAATGCAAATGATTGGTTTCTGTTCCAAATTCTGAAAAAAGTTTACAATTCTGAGTATGTAAATTAAATTTTGCTTTCTCCTTTCTACCAAAGAGGTGAATGTGTAATATGTTTTACTTGCTTTGTGAATATATATGTAGTTGCATTTTCTTACATTTGAAAAAAGGTTTGTAGCAGTATTTGAAATAACCTGAGTGTATTAATTTAAACACATGAAGCTTTTCCAAAATAGAAAGCTTATAAAAATTGCTTTTATTATTAATCTTAAACCAAACGGGGAAGAGGGAGGGTATGAAAACACAAAAGGAAAATTTTCAAATATTCCTTTTGTTTGTAGGATTTTTACCACAATTTTCTTCCAATCCATTGACTTACTTATTTTTTTAAATAATACATTGTGTGTGCAGCATTTGTAGAAGGTGATGAATATATTTGTGTTTTTGGAGTGTGTCAGTTCAGCCTATTTCATAGGCTTTATTGTAAATCTGGTTTTGCCATGTTGGCTCAGAGTAATTGTTTCTTTGTAGGTATCCCACACATTTTCTTTGTAAGGAGAAACAGTTCTTGTACAGTAAACAAAAAAGGACTGTTGGACTTTCTTTTATTGCCCAGGAAACTGGCTTGATACTCAAACAAGGGCAAACTTGGTGAGGTAATCCCTCTTTCGCCTGTTGACATAGTCAGTTGAACAACGCAAATCAGTAACTCCTTTAGGGAGGAGTTACTGTTTCAGAGGAAAATGTTTTCCTGTTGTTAATTAACCTAACTATAATGATTTAGATTACTCTTTGTTCATTACTCAAAGATTACTCTTTGTTCATTACATATATTCAGATTTAAAACCAAATTTAGGGCTTTACCCATTACAATCTTTGGATTTTCTGCTGAGAGGAGGGGCTGGCCAAACCAGGAAAGTCTCTTTTTAGGGTGTGTCAAAACTTGTTTGCCAGCCTTTTTTTGGGGGGGGGGTCAGGTTTAGGAATCTAGCTTGAAGGGATTCAGGCATTTAGCTGAACTGCTTTCATGCAATACATAATTGGAATTGAATGACAGTAAGAATGAAAATGTCATTGTATTCTCAGGTCTGCAACTGGTTCATCAATGCACGACGCAGGCTTTTGCCTGACATGTTGAGGAAGGATGGGAAGGACCCAAATCAATTTACTATCTCACGAAGAGGGACCAAGGTAATTGATGGCCACCCAGTGGAATTTTCCAGCTCAAAAAACTGCATTCCCCTGATTGAGAGCTCCTTTCTCTCTGGTAGCCCAAGACCAAACAAGACTTGTAATGCTCCTTCTCCAGGATCTCTTTTGGCTCGTCCCTCAGTAATCTGTCATACCACCGTAACTGCACTGAAAGATGTCCCTTTCCATTTCAATCAGCCTGCTGGTACAGGTCAGACTACAGATGACCTTCAATGGGCTTCACCTACCAACTTTACAGACAACTCTCTCCTATTCCACGAGGATAAGTTGGGACCTAGTTCAAATGCACAAAGTGGGCTTTTCAACACTCCTCCTCCAACTCCCCCAGATCTCAATCAGGACTTCAGTGGATTTCAACTCCTGGTGGATGTTGCACTGAAACAGGCAGCGGAGATGGAATTGCAGGCAAAACTCATGGCATAAATTGTTCTTCATATTTTCTCTTCCCCCAACAGGGATGTAACAGAAAGATGTGGCAATTGTTTCAATATCAAGGATTTAACTGCATTATTTGTTCTAATTAATCTTATTTGCACAAGGGATTGCTGAAATGAAGCTTCCTATCCCTGTTATGGTCTTCAGAGGATTCCAGTCATTCCAAGAATTATAAACTTAAAGCTACTGTAGAAGCAACCCCCCCATTTTTTAAAGTTTCTTAGTAGTTTTTTTTCTTCATAATGTGAGATGGTTCCCAAGATCATGTGATTTTGTTTTGTTTTCATTATTTGTCTCTTTCAGACTGTGCAATATTTAGTAACAAGATTAGTATTCATATCATTCCCATGTGGAACAAAATATACCAACAGACTGTCTTATAAAAATTCAGATTTTAATACAAGTTTGGATTTGAATGATTATACTTTTTCATGATGTAATAAAGTATTTTCTTTAATAGTTGACTTACCCTGAGTATTTTGTGGAACTAGTGTTTCAAAAGGTAGCAAATTTGCATTGTCACATGGAGACATTCAGTTCTTCTAACACTATATATTTTTTAAAAAGAAATTCTTAAACAGTTTGATTTAAATTTGTACTGCTACTGATTATAAGTTTCTGGCAATGAAACGTGCTGTTAGATCTATATGAACTTAATATATTTCCTTTAGTACATTTTATGGCATGGGTGTCAAACTAGCCGCGTCACATTGTCATCACGTGACGTTTTGCCACGGACTGGAAGCCGCCAGTGTGACACCCCTGGTTTATGGTGTATTCTTGCTTATAGACATTTCTGTTTAAACAAGTAAACATTTAAATGCAAATTCCTTGTTTATTTTCAAAAATAAGTGGTTGCACTGTCTTATTGATTAATCACTGGTTATTTTAGTATGGTTTGTTAAGATTCTTTTTTCCAAAGTGTCTTCTAGCAAATCCTTATTTATCTGAAAACTGAATTTAAAATGACCCTGCCCCAAAGGATTATTCAACACAGAGAAAAACTTTTATTCTTTAGATATATTAGCAATTCTCAAGTGGAACATGAATTTTTTGACCTTCATGATGATGGTAGATGAGATTTTCACCCCTAAATACCACACAGATGGTCACATGTTAATCTAGTTTTTATGTAGCAATGTGATCTGAAAATGGACAACTTTCTTTTGCTGTGGTCAGGGTACTTTCTGGTTTTCATGCATCTCGCCATCATGTTTAATCTCTGCAGAAATGTTGAAATAATCCACTCAAGGTCTATTTGGACTTCTGGGTATTGCTTGAGGAATTCCCCAATCAGCTTTGTTGTATGTCTCACTAATGTCTGGAATACGAAAATGGTAAGGTAGCTGAATGAGTTTTTTTCCAAATTTCTCTCCTTTCTTGCAGGACCTAGGAAGTTCTTGGGTTCTGCAGAAGATTAAACAAATGTAGACACCTAAAGTGATGGTAGAAAAAAAGTATGAACCTAACCAATCACAGTTTTATCTCTGTGTTTAGGAGTATAAAGGACAGCAATTTCTCTGCCCTTACCATATCTGCAGACTTGCATCTGTTTAAGGATACCCATTCTAGTCATCTTGAGGAAAGTAATGGTATACCTTCTTCTAAAGCCGTTTTCAATCTAGCCACTTAGGACAACTATTAATTAATTTCTCATCTTACCTTTTTAAGGAAAACTTTGAAAAAGGCATTTGGAATATAAAAAGAATTCTAAAGAAAGAGATTTTCTTGACTTCTTGCAGGTGGAATTCAGGCCTGGGCATGGGATAGAAATTGCATTAGTTGCTCTTATGAATGACCTTTGTTTGATTGGGGTGCAATGTATCCCTCCTGACATTTTAAACTTGGTGGCTTTTGATACCATCAACTATGGCATCGTTCTGGCATCTAGATGAGCCAAATCAACCTTAAATTACATCTCTTCAAGACTGGTACTCTTTGTTGATGTTTCATTGACCTGAACCAAATTCCAATTTTGATTCTTAATAGGGTTATCCTCTTCTATTGGAGCAAATCCATATTTTGAAGGTCCTTCTGGATTCAAGACACTTGCTGGAACATAAGATATAGGCTGTGGCCAGGAAGGTCTTTGCATTAATTTCAGACCTTTTTGAACTGGGACTCAATGGCAAAAGTTAATCATGCCTTTGGCACACTCCACTGTAAGACAGTTTAGGCAGGTCTTGGGGCTACCTTTAAGATGGCTTGGAAATTTCAACTGATCTAATAACCAGAAGTCCATGAGCTAAACAAGTGTAGCCATTTCAGTGGTGTTACTCTGGTGTTGTTGGTTATGTTTTCTTTAGGTTAAAAGCAAAGTTCTGATTATAACGTAAGGCTGTGACAGCACATGATAAAAGTACTCAGCCTACAGGAGATAAGGAAAAAGCACTCAGCAACAACACTTCTCAGAGAGATCTTTGCTTCTTGCAGAGGTGAAGAATGCATCCTATTAAGGAAGCTTTGAAAATTTTCCTATTATACAAAGCACATGGGCACCAATGGTCTAAGGGCTGCCTTATATTATCTAGATTCATTACTTTTTTATTGGCTGTTACTTATAAACTGCTGCAAATTGTTATGTAAGTAGGCAGTCTACAAAAGATTCAGCTATGTAAATGTTACATCATTTGAATGAAGACATCATTATGTATGCGGCATCTCTTGCTTCCTTTCCTCCCCTATGGATGAATATGGTCAGAATCTTTTGTGCATGTTCTCATATATAGACACTAATGCCATACTTGCATTTATATTCCTGATTTAGGAGCTTAAATATAGGATTCTAACATCTTTGTAGCAATCGGATGTTGAAGCATGTAGATAACTCCACATAGCCAGCTAATATGCATATAAACAGATGTTCAGTGATACATGAATATCACCAAACTTCATTTACAGTACTTAAAATGCTGTTTCTTCCCCAGAAAATTAAGAATTTGTGATCTAATTACAAATAACAAGTTATCATCCACAACTATATTGAATTAAATTCTGAATAATTTATACAGAATTATATAATTTAATTTCTTTAAAGAGAATTTCCCACTCAAATGGAGTTTAAAAGCAATATTACAATGTAGGCTAGGGTCATATCTTTGGGTACATGCACTTTAATTTAAAGCACCCCTTTTAACGGGCAGCAGTTTAGATAGCTGGAAGGAGGAGGACAATACTAAATTACTTTCCCCTAATCTCCCACTAGAAATATTTTCCGCTAAAATATTCCTCTACAAGTATTTCAAATGCATTTTTTTCTGACAGAAATACCTTTATTCTAAACATACAATTGCAGTGAAAAGCACAAGTTTCCAAGTTTCACCAAAATTCTTCATGATATCTAGAGTATTAAGAATACCTAGACTATTTTAAGTTTCTGTTGTATAAGCAGTGTTTGTGGGCCTGATTTCAGTACACTGTGAAATCAACTGTTTGGCTTATCTTGCACCTGAACTCAAGATGATATGCCAGGCAGCCTACATCAAACTCTGATATAACAACTGAAATTGTTTTAAATCTGAGGTGGATTTGCTGTCAATAAGGCTAAAGGTTTTGTGAATTTTGCAGATTTCTCAGCTGCTGCAATTTTTACTTTCTAAGCTAATGTCCTTGCATATTTTAAATTGTTTCAACTGTTATCTATCTTGGTTTCAACACTTTCCCTAAAAATATCTGTCTTCTATCCGAAACATTATTACAAAGTTTATTTAGTTGATACACAAGATGTATTTGGTTAAATTGAATTACTTTCATGTGGCCATAATCATGATTCTAAGTGAACAAAAACAGAATTAATAAAACTTTGTTCTAGTGAGAAACCATGAAAGCACTTATGTGCCACCACGTGTAACTGCTTTTGGCTTAACACCACTGCAGTGAGAGAACAAGGAAATATATTTGGAGGAGGAAAACTCCATAATAAAACTCCATTTATTTTATTTCTAAACCAGGAATGGATTATGTTTAATTCAAGGATTAATTAAAAAGTTTTTAGAAGTATGAGGGTCATTAAATGAAAGGACTTCAGAGTGATGTTTCTAGGTTTTCTTTGTTTCTTTTAAATGATGAAATTCCTATTTTAGGATTTAAGCTATAATGTTAGTGTGTCCATTTCAAAATGGTAAGAAATGACTATGATTATTAGTTTAAACAGAATCAGACAGAGGAGCCAAGACCTCGGGAAACCTCAAAGATACATCCTGACTGATTTGGATGTTTTATATATTTAGCTGTGAATTCTACATCTACTTACCTAAGAGTGAACCTCACTTATAACTAGGTACAAAATTATTCTCATTTTTCTATTTGTGTACATATTTAAGATTCAGCATTGTAAACTGGCCAACAATACTTCAGTTTTGGGGAGTACCGTTCAGTCTGAAGCCTGGGGAACAGGAGGATCTGTTTTCTTGGGGCAGAATATGTAACTAAGAATTAGAAAAGGGCCTGATACGGCTCATGAGAGTATTTAGTACCTACAGATCAGTGGTGGGTTTCAAAATTTTTTACTACCAGTTCTGTGGGTGTGGCTTGGTGGGCGTGGCAGGGGAAGGTTACTGCAAAATCCCCATTTCCTCCAATCAGCTGGGACTTGGGAGGCAGAGAATAGATGAGGGCGGGGCCAGTCAGAATTTTTACTACCAGTTTTCCAAACTACTCAAAATTTCCACTACCGGTTCTCCAGAACTGGTCAGAACCTGCTGAAACCCACCTCTGCTACAGATACCTTAGAATGGGTGTTGGGCCCACCAGCAACTCCATAAGCCACATTTGACCACTATACTGTTCTTCAACAGTACCTATACCAAACTTTTCATCTCTGTTAGGATGGCACCTTGAGCCTAGCTAGTACAGATACTGGTTTATGGATGGAAAATAGTAAAATTCACTCCCAGCCTAATAAAGAAGGAAGAAACTGAATAAATCATGGATTTCCAAAGGAACCTTAGTGCATATGGGGAAGAGCAATACAATTTTTTTAGGGTAAGCTTTCGTATCTGTCTCATAGGATAACTGACTGCTCATAAAAGAAAAATGGAGTTATGGTTCAGTGAAAGAAATATAATTTGAATCTAGCTGCAATTTAATCTTGCCATCTCTAGGTGGAAGGAGTCTTGTCTGAAATCTCAATAATCAAGAGGGACAACATATCTCTTATTTATCAGTTTCTAGCTGCATTGGGACTGTAACACTCAGAATTCCCAAATGGTTGAGTTCTGGTTTAAATCCAAACATAGCTGAAGATTAGGAAAGGGTGATTAAAAGCTATCTGATAGTGGACATTTGAAATTATCAGCTCATATTTCTGTCACTTATTTTAAAGAGCAGATAGGTTATACTAATTGATATGAATTATTACTGTTCAAATATAGTTATTGTTTTCTTGTTCCAGAAAATTACAAATTCAGAAAATTCCTTATTTAGAAAAGATAGACCACACAGCTAATAAGGTCACATTGTTGCAGAACAGCAATAAATACCTAAAACATTTATAGCTATATGGTTGCATATACAGTCTCTGTAAACTCTGGTTTACATTGGATGCTCCCAAATGATGAATTATAAGATAACTTCAATTTTTTTTTTCAAAGTTGGATTCATTATGCCTTTCTGTTTATTCCACTTAAGTGATGCATGAAAAAAATGAATTTAAACTTAGTGTTATTTTGCTTATGGAAACGTTTATCGAAATGTAACTTCTGTAACTGTGATATTTTATACCACTGCATAAATACTTCCATTACCACATTGTACAGGCATTCACAGACCAGCATAAATCGTTGGTTTGCATTTCATTTTTCATTCTCTAGATCCAAATAGAGTCCTCTAAATACAAATACATTACTGTAGACTTTATTTCATGTCTTGAAATAAGATCTGATGTTTTATACCAACAAGTCATTGTATATGTACATAAGCACTAATCACTATGCAAATTTTTAGATCTGAAGAGCAGAGGATGATTAAGAGTTATTGCTTGATACACTTTATTGGAGAAGCTTCTAAATAATATGAAGTGGTCATAGAAACAAAATTGTTGTAACACTTGCTTTTGCTGGCGCTACACTGCAAATTAGGTTCAGAGTATACTATCTGTGGAGAACAAGTACTACAAATGTAACCGGCCCTTTAGAGATTTTTTTTGCAATTGCTGTTTTGCAAAAGATACACTACAGTATAGCCTAGAACACTAACTCCAGGATGATAGGTTGTGATCGGTGGATGTTAAAAATATCCAGATGTAATTTGGGAATAGGAGACATGAATTATTGTCCTTTTTTATCATGATCAGAGCAGACTAATTATTTTGGAGATGCTGGGCGTCTATTTAGTTGATCTATTTAAGATGTTCCATCTGGTAGATCCTCTGAGTTTTTTGGAGAAATCCTGTGGGAATTTTCTAAAGGCCGTGGTGGACTATACTACTGATGCTTAATTATAGTCTCAAGCATAGAGGTGGCTCTCGCCTTAGTTATGATTGCCCCTGAGCAGCCTATGTCTCTTCAGTGACGAGCTCCAAGCACTTCTTCAGTTTACTGAGGAGTGTCAGGAAATGAAGTTGAGAGGACACATCTGGAGCACAGCTGGCAAGAGAGAGACAGAGTGTGTGTGAGAGAGAGAGGGAGAGGAAGAGAGAAGTGAACCTGACTGAACATGGATAAGGGTTGATGTTCATGCTTATCTGAGGCAGTAAGAGGCATTATTTCTCTGCTTTTATTACATTCATGGAATGTCATCTAGTGAGACAGATTGATGTGAGTCCTGAAGAAATAGAGTTCTCTGGTATATCAGCCCTGCTACTTGTAGCTTAGATTCTTGTCCTTTCTGACTCATGAAAGCTTTCAGGGAGTTAACCGGAAGCTGGGTTCAAGGAGTACAAATGCTTCTTTCCTTGAATGGATATTTCTGCATGTCTTGAAAGGTAACAATGTGACCTCTTCTCAAGAAGCCATTGTTCAACTGCCAAGTCTAAATAATCTTTGATTTTTAGAGACACTGTTAAGACACTGGTAGGTCCCAGTCTGGTAGACCCAGACAATCCCATTTCTTCTGGATTGGGTTTCAGGCCAATCATGAATGTCAGTCCTTCAAGATAAACCATGTTCAAAACAAGAGACACCGCAAGGATTCCAGGAATGCCACTTCATCGATGTAGGGTTGTTTTATAGAATTAGAAAGCCTGTTCAAAACTTCACTACTCCCCTTTTAAGAATAACAAGGTCAAGGTGGGATTGTTCTGAATTCCTTTCTCACACTTTTTTCTTTCCCAGAGCTGAGCAACTGTTTCATCTCACTTCCTTCTCAAGCTCAGAGGTAGATTGCTTTACATTGTGTGTTCTTTTAGGCAATCCATGCAGAGATCAGGATACAAAAAATATGATCTTCCTAGTCCTGTTTATCTATTAGTGGCATTCATTGTATTATTCTATGAGTGTTGCGATTAGGAATGACTTTTTGATATATTTGTTTAAATGGGTGAATCAGTGAGAGGTAAGAGAGAGAGTTTGAACCATAAGAAATTCCACTGAGGGTTGCCACAAGACCTGATGCTTTCCCCTCCCCATATTAACAACTATGTGATATCATTGAGTGAAATTATAAGCCAGCATGGAGTCAGGCATCATCATCATCAGGCTGATGACATTCAACTTTGCAGCTAAACTGATCAAACAGGAGATGCAGCCAGGGCAGTGTCCCAGTCACTGAAGGCTCTTGGTATCTGGATTGGGAAAACAGGTTTATGTCCAATTTGCAGAGAGAATTGGTTGATAATCTTGGGATATTCTTGAGTCCTCAGCTCCTGTTCAAACATTTCTTAACTGTAGGTAGGAGGCAGTTTATACAGATTCATCTTGTGTGTCAATTAATGACTTTTAGAGAAGTGGAAATCTGTTCTCATCATCTCTCGTGCCTTGGTCATCTCTTATGCACAAACTACCCAGAAGTTTCAGATTGTCCAGACACATCCCAAAAGCACTTCTGGTGGCCAGTTCCTCCCAAGTGTAATTCATAGTGCTAGTTTTCACCTTCAAAGCCCTTCAAGGATCAGAATCTTAGAATCTTCAAAATTGTTGACTCTCAGTGGTTTTTGCCCAACTGTAAGATCCAAAACAGAAGCTTCCCTCTGGGTCCCTTCTCCAAGAGTATTTGATCTACAGAAACCATAGAGAAGGACTTTCTCAGTTCCTGGCCACTCCCCTCCCCACAAATCTGGAATAGCTTTGTAATGAAGATCAGTTTGATCTCTGCCTGGGTGAATTCTAAAAAACTAAAAGATAGTTTTCTGTCATGTCTGTGATGTTTGATTTGGTTGTTAGCAAGGCCTGGGATATTTTAAAGTTGGTGTATTGTGTTTTTAATCTGATTATTGCATATATGTGCCAGCCAGTCATTTAGGATTGGAATAGCATATGAGCCCAATAAATAAATTAGCAAGTTAATAAATAATTTAGATTACATAAACATTGGTTCATTCATACATGAAGGCAGATTTTTTAAATTCACAATCAAAAGTCGAATGACTTTTGAGTAAATGACGTATGGAGAATGAAAATGTGAAAACTAATGAAAAAAAATATGGAAGCTATACCACATATTAAGAAAAACCTCTATGTTTTGTCAATTATGATAACTTTTAACATATACATATAGTACTACCAGCAGCCAGCCAACCAAGCTAAAAGAGAAGGATTCCTATTTGTATTAGACACCTTTACACTAGTATTTTGATGCTCAAAGAAAATTATCACATCACTACTAAAAAGTATTTGAAATATGTTTAGAGAAAACCATGTCAGAATATATTATATATATATGATATATACCAGCGTCTGTCCTCCCAAGGATTAGAAGGATGAGGTGAGAACAACTGTTCACATAAGTCTTTAAAAAGCCAATCTAACATTCTGTCCTGTAGATACCCGGAAGAGCTGCTGTTTGCTCCAGACATCATACAACCAAAAGCAGGATTTTTTATTTTTTTTTGCAAAAAGGGAATAAAAATTTATATTGAAAAGCCACAGCTCTTACAAGCAGTGCATTATTTATTTTATTAATTTGCTCTTTTTACATTACGGGAAACATTAATCTATTTACATGTTTGTGTGTCCACATATCAGATAGATAGATAATCCTATGAAAAACTAATTCAAAGTGCCATATAATGCTCTCCAGCCTTCCCTCTAGAGTTTTTCAAACTGTAGCAGTTTTGCAAAAAAAAGGAAAAAACAAAAACAAAAACGGATTATCCTGACTGGGAATACAGCTAGAATGCATCTATGTCACTGATTCTGATTCACATTCTAGTAAAACTATGCATTATAAATTTAAAAAACAAACTGTAAATTCATAAATATAAAATCCAAATTAAAGTGATAGTACATAACAAAACATTAAAGGGACACCCAATAAATAAATGGAAATATATTATTTACTTTTTTATATTAAAACGTTTAATCTTTTTATCTCTCATTACAAAAGAACAACAGTGCAGGCTTATGTGTGTCTACTTAGAAGTAAAGCACAGATTAAGTGAGATTACTCCCAGATTAATTACAGTCCTACCAGGCTTCTCCAATTTGGCATTATTGTGATGAATTTGCCTAATGTGCTTGGAATTACTAAAAGATTTAGAAGTAACTCCAAAGTATCTGAAAGTGCCAGGTTGGGTAAGAGTGTTAAACCATAGTGAATGGAAATAAACTCTGTTTTACTCAGTGACACTTACATCTAAGAAGACTTGCATTGTATTGCACTGTTAAAGGTATTTTACGGAAAGGTCTGCAAAAATATATATAATAAATATTTTAAAACTTTTGGTTTAAGAGGTCAGCCTCTTTTTTTAAATATCCCCTAATCCCAATTGTACTTTAAAACACTGATTGCAACTTTTTTGCAGAGATACGGAAATTTGAATAAAATAAGCCCTACAAAATCAATTGAAAGAATAAGACACAATTTAGCCAATTAAAGTTTCTAATTCCCACTGATTTCAATTGAAGAAATCTGAGCATGATAAGATTCCCTGCAGAAAGAGATGATTTGGAAATGTTTTTTTTTCTCTAGTTGCTTTGTACTGTATAGATAAAAAGGTCCACAAGAGGCAATCCGAGTAAAGCAGCAGCCTGATTTATAGATCTGCAGTGCCAAACAGTAATCTGGGTGGCACTGTTGTCCATTGCAGGACTGCAGTTTCTCAAATCTTTCTGTTGCAGGCAGATGTTCAACATCTTCATATCTTCTGCATTTTTCTAGGAATTTATTCGAAGATATAATTGTTATGTCTACATCAAACCCAAATGAATAATGAGGTATCGTGTTAACAAATTCCTTTAAGTTATGATGTGCAAATACATCTCTCCGAAAATGTAAAATTAAGTTGTGATCCTCACCATTTTTCCCCAAGGGCAATCCAAATAAAACAATTGGCTACTTCGTAGTACATCGTTTGTAATCATATGGTATATGACATTGCTAGATAAATTGCCTTATCTTAACACATTTTTTTCAACAGCATTTCAGCTAGTTTTTATACCTTTTTCATGGGATTCAAATACCACAGAATATTGTTGTGAAAATAGATCTGTATGACATGTTTTGCACATCTGTGTACGAAGAGTCCAATTTTTTAAAAAACATCATGTCTATATTTAAAGGTGGCTGATATTACATAGACTGCAAACAATGTGCAAGCCTTCAAATATTAAAAAGAGGCTATAAAGTAAAGCAAAAAACATTCTCAACATAATACAATTCAAATGTTGCAAGTCAGACTTTCGGTTTTGAGTTAACACTGGATTTTTATCCTTGCCTTTAAAAGTCTTAAAAATAGGAAATTATTAGCCCTTTACTTGTAAAACACAGCAGTGATATTTTGTGCCCTGTTAATAAGTGTATAGCTTGGATATATCAATGGCTTTGAGAGGTAGCAAATTTTCTAGTGATTTTACTTTTTTTTTTTTTTAAGATTTCCATATCTGTTACCTCTCCCAGATTCTTTAAAAAAAAAAGAAGATAGAGCCTAAAAATGATGCTGTATCATTACAACATGTTCTGGCATGATCTGTTGATATATATTCTCAAAGAAAAAAGGCACAAAAGAAAAAGCCAGCTTTTGAATGGTAATTTCTATCACTGCGAGATTGAACTGTGTAATTTTACTATCCAACCAGTTAAGAGTTTCATATTTGAAAAGTTTTAACCTTAAACTAACTGAAAGCCAGCTTTGATAATACAGATTACAAGTCAGTCATTCAGTGTATTTCATTAGCACTAGATCAGTATTTTTCCATACTCAACATGGATGCCAACATGAGTAAAGTTAAATATTCAAATAAGAAATGACCCACAATTCTTTGCCCATGTGACTTGGGAGGATACAACTAAAAAATGACATATAATCCAGATTGATAAACTGTTGAGTGTTTTAGTCTCATCCATGATTTTGCCAACAGAAAGTAGACCAAATCTTGCAACTGAAACCAACACCTCCATTAGGACATGAACTGTTAATTCTCTAGTGCTTTAAACATGCACATTAGTGCGTGTTAGATGCTTTCCTTAAAATTGTGGTACTTGTGAAATCATCACGCTTTCTGCTAGTATGATAGTTTGGTCAAATTGCATTCTATAGTCCCATGCCAGGGGTTCCTTATTAGGGTTAAGCAGTGTTTCATATTTGGTTCCAAAAAGGTTTTTTGTTTTAGCAACTCTAGAGAGAGCCACATAATCCAAAGAAAAGACATGGCTACTTTAAAGAGTCACAAACAAGTTCTATGTTTGTCCTTCCAATTGCTCTGAAGCAGCTTTTTTGAAATCATTTCTAAAACACTGAATAGCTCTGTTGCCTATCAAGTCTTTTCCCCCAAACAATCTAGCATTATGTGTAGACTACATACTTTAAAACAGTTTTGTAAAGAAAGGTATTCTCTATTTTAAAGAAGAAACCAAAGGGGAAAGTATGAATCACTTGATATCAATGGTCATGAGTAGTATACAACATGTATTTCATTTACAGCATTTTAGAAACAAACAGCTAGTTGGAGATGTGCAAAATCTGAAAGCTCATCAAAGTCAGGAAATCAACAAATGATTTTCCCTTTTAAAATGCACTCATTGTAATAGGAAATGACAATATAGTACAATGTTAAAAATTCTTGATTGGATGAAAATATTCCTTTAATCCAATTTTCACTCATCTTTTAAATTCATCTAAGCTTTCTTGTTATTGCCTTAAAATATTACTACCTTGGAAGATAGATTTTACAGTCTTCTCCTGATCAAAAAGATTCTAAATTGAGTTTGAGGAAATAAAGTGAGGCAGTTTGTGCAGCTGCTAGTCTTTTCATGGGATGACGGACATTTCATTCCCATTACTCATTTGAACTTTTACTGCAGCACACCTATCTCCCCAACTTCTTCTGGTATGACAGATGAAAAGGATTATCTTGAAAGATCAAAATCATATGTGTCTGTTTCTAAAAAATTAAATTAAATTAAAAAATAGTCATACAAAAAGGGATTCTGAGCCCAAGCTCCATTCACTATCAATGTGGAGGGCAATAGAATCCTAAAGGTATTACCCTGCAATACTGGATTTCCAAAGTACCAAATAATGGAATATTGCTGTACACTAGATAACAGAATACCTTTGAGGAACAAGGATGAGTAAATCGGTGCATCTATTGTACAGATTTCTGTGTGTGTGTATGTGTGCACGCGCATACATGTGTGTACATAAGACAGAAAGGAAGAGAGGCGTTATTTGTGGGTGTATGGGATTCTTTACAAGAGGCAAGGTGGGCAGCATCAGTACATATGGCGAAGCACTAGGCTGAGATGGGCAAACCTTTAGAAAGCAAGGGATGTTAGCAAAACCCTCTTGGAGAATTGACAGTTACACCACAGAAGTGTTAATTCATTGGGAGAGAAGAGAGAGATAAAAGGAAGAGGAGAGAAATACAAATACATATTGGTATCTCTGAGCATGGACCTAGGGCAAATTATACAAGAGATATTTCTTGCCATTAACAGTCCTCCTGGTTGGATCCCTTCATAGCCTGGTCTGGGCTTCGGGGATGTAAATCTCAATGCTTTCGGCGCTTTCAGTGGCTGAGTTCTGACGAACCGATGCAGCTCGTTTGGCAGCCATCAGCCGTTTCCGGGCCTCCTGACGCTGCGAGCTCTCCAAAGAGCGTTCCCGAATGAGTGGCACCTGACCTTTCGATGGCTTCTTTGGCACTGGAGGAGGGGCCCTTCTCTCCTGATCAAAGCAGAAGGTTAATGACATTATACAGCTTCTCAGGGGAAAAATTTAAAGAAAGGGCGGGTGGGGGAGACAAACAAACTAGGACAAGTCAGTGGTTAGAAGATACTTGTTTACCTAAAGTTAACTCACTGTCTCTTCACTGAACTGGCATTCAAAGACTTTAAAAAAGTACATAATCTTAAGGCAAAAAAGGACGGCATTGATAACAGTGCTAGTTCTCCATAGACATGTGGTGTCTGAGGCTCAAAAAGATGAAGCTCCCACCATTAAATACTGTATGTAGCTCCTGCTGGGCAATCTAAATTCCTCTTCTGGGTATTCAGAATTAGAAAGGAGAGCATCTTTAGTACTGCTGCTTAATACAATGTCATAATTCTATAAAGTCAGATTGTAATTAAAATCACCTTATACCTAACTATTAGTAAAATTCTTGCATGTTCTTAATAAATTAACTCAGCGTAATAGAATAGTATGTGATAGGAATGAAAGACACATATAATGAGCACTGACCCCTTTGTATACAATATACATACACAAGACTAAATGGGCTTACAACATTCAAGACTTATGGATAGATTTCACACAGTCATATGAACTAGCAGCCTGAGGTTAGTTATCATAGCAAAATTTTAAAACAAAATGAAAAGGAACATGTGGTTGGTGGTGACTGACTATGGAGCGTTGCATACTTTGGGTGCAATGTGCTTCTTAAAAGTATAGCATCGGAGTCAACAATCTACAAACTGAATTCAATTACAAATTCAGAAGTGGGTGGGAAAACTTAAAAAAGGAATTCTGAGAATATACAGTAGTAATTACCTTGGCATCCAAAGATATCATGGTTAATAAACAGGAAGAAATATGTATATATCCACATGATATATATTAATATATCATATACATATATAGAAAGAGACAGAATGAGAAGGGTGGGTATGTTACTTCTGGAATTTACATCTAAGATGCAAATAGGGCTACCCAGTAATCTGGATTTGAAGTGCAAAGGAGCACAGGAGTCATATAGTATGTATCTAGCCTTCCATAAATTAAATGCATACTTTCTGGGATTGTATAGTGGCTATGAGAGCCCAGGAATGATGCAGTTTCTTTAAGGAGTTGTCAACAGATGTTATATTAGTGCCTGATGCACCCCAATTCACCCTTTCCCTTTTAAATTTGGATCCACAGGTCTAACCCAAAATATATCTCTAGTTTACATAGACTCTATTTTTCCAAAAAATATATAGTATCCATCTTAATAATAATTTCCTAAATAGATTATTAATTTCATTATACTCTATAAGTGTCATTATAAACTATTATTTTCTCATTGTTGATCAAAACAGTTCCTCATTGCTTGTATTAATGGAATGATTTGTTTGAAATACTGCATTCAATCTGCGTGCAAAGAATGAACTATGGTAGTTACCCAAGTTTAGGATGAAGGATAACAAGCACAAATATAAAAACAAATTCACAACTTTTTTCATATTTTGCTTAAATAGGGTAAACAAGCAATTTAATTTAAATATTAATGTAGCCACACTTGGTAACCTTGATCCACAAAATATATATTTTCACTACAGGTTGATGAAACATCCTGATTTTTTAGTTCTGTTTAATTTACTCCTTTTGTTGAGTTTATCATTAAAGTAGTATCAGTTTCTTATGCTGGCAAAAAAAAAAAAAAACACCTTTGGCCTATTTAGGTATCATAACATCTAATAAAAATAGTGTGTTTTAGAATCACCAAAATTTTTTTCCCTAGAAATGTTATCTTATGGGACTTAAAGAGGTAATCATGTATTAGTATTTTGGTTTGGAACAAGCAAAGAATGCAAATGCATGATTTTTTTCAGACTGTTGTAATGTAACATTCTACAATGTAAACCACGTGACTTCATGCTTTTCCCTACTGAACATTTATAGGTAAACAATTCTTTTACTTGACTTAATCATGCAGTATTTATTTTGGTGGGGGTCAATATTCAGAACTGGTTAAGGTTTCAGAATGGGGCATAACAAATGCAAGAATGGTTCAACAAGCCCATTCTTTTCCCTGGAGTTTTTTCATATTCCTATGGCTAACCAAAAAAAAAAAAAAGATTCTGAGAAGAGTGACATTATGGAATGAAATCCCAATTATTATTTTTTTCAAAATATCTTTTGAAAAAAATGAAATATCTACAGCACTTATTCCCATATTATTATTCTTTGCCTTAAAAATAATTCATGAAATAATCATAGGCAGAATAGGCCAGAGTATAAACAACACTATGAACAGCTTGAAATGTTCTAAACAAGCAGGTGCAAGGGGAACACTTCGTCCCTCTTTTTCAATTTTCTTTAATGTGTGTGAAACTGAATTTGTGCTTTTCCTTATAAAGGCATGGGCCTTAAAAATATTTGACTACACCAGCAGTTAACAGCAAATTTCTCTTTGCTATGGAAATGTAGTTTTTTTTTACTCATTGAAATAAACTTCCCATTATTCTACTAGATCGCCATCTTAAGTCTCCATCTTAATTTTTAAAGGTAGACGTATTATTACGGGCAACAGGGTAAGAATATAATAAAATACTTCATTTAAATAGTGCATTTTTACATTTCATAGTGGGAGAAAATATTTCAGGAGACTTTCATTTTTTTCCTCCTAATGTCCTTCCCTTCACCTCCCTCCCTTCCCAATTTTGGGCCTTAGAAAAGAAAAAGAAAAATGTTTACATGCACGTTTTCATATTTCCATATTACGTGTCAATTTGTACTGATATTAATTATGGGATATATCTCATCTTTAAAATGTTACTGATCTCTAGGGAAAGAATGACTACTTCTCATACTACTACTGAGAACAATGTGACAAAGCACACTAAAAATTACCTAACATCCAGGTAAGTCTAGGAAAGAAAATTGAGTCTTAATTTACCATCCTATTTAGTGTTGGAGTCTGGGAGACAATGGAGGATAGGGCCATGCTATGGTCCATGGGATTGCAAAGAGTTAGACAAGACTTAACGACTGAACAACAACAACAAATTAGTGTTTTAGAGTTAGAACTTACTGAATGAAATAAAAGAGGTGAAACCACCTATGAGGTCTCCCTCAAAATAAAGTAATGACACAAGAGATTTTCCAGGTAATATTTATGATGGCTTGATTGGCAGGTACCCATACATTTATCCATGGGAATGGGGCTGGTTACCAAGTCAGTGCTGATAACAGTATTCCCCTAGTTTACTTATACATTTCATAGTGCTTTAGTAAACAAAACTCTTACACTAGGCAGCACTGTGTACTCTATATTATTTATTTTAATTGTAAGAATCAATATATGAGGCAATTTCTTCTAACAGTTGTTTATCTAATATGATTATACGTTAAGTATAATAAGACAAATGAGCACATTCCCATTTTTCACATGTACAAGTTTGCCTTAAAAATATGCCTGAACATATTACAGATAATATTCCAGGTGATTCTTAAAGTAAACATTTTCTTTTCTTTTACAATGGAATTAACCTGATATGAAATCCATTTCATGTTTTTAACATCAGTGAAGTATGTAGAGACCTATTTAATCTGTCCAGTATTTGTGCAGGGTTTTAAATGAAGCATACAAAATCGACAATGTTCTACCTTCTTGTCATGTAGATCCAGATGTTTCCAATTATTGGCTTTTAATTGATGAAGTTCATCAAATTTCATACTAATATTTTCTATGGACAACTGCAGCATATCCCAAAACCCTGCTAAATCTTGGGAGGCTGGTCTCGGGTGTGCGTTGGGATTCTGTGTGAGAGAAAAGAATAGGAAATAGAAATAGGAAAAAAACACACAAAAAATGCAAAGTCCTTGAAAAAGTCAGGTTACTTTTTATTTCTAAGGATGTTGGCTACTTTACTACATCTGATTCATAGGGAATAATAATTCAAGTTAATTAAATTAACTAAGCCATCATGCACTGAGGCAATGGCGGAGTTTTACAAATGTAATAGTTTCAGCACAACTAGTATGGATAGCATATGCTGTAAATTGGTTAAATGTTTGGGGGAAAATTAGTTGAAACAATCTTACTTTGGAATGAATGTTTTGGCAGCAATATGTTGCAGTAATGATTAGGGTAGTTATTACTGGACATGTTTCCATTACTGTATATACAAGTAGTCCTTGATTTATGACCATTCAACAATGGTTTCAAGTTACGATGGCCTTGGAAAAAGCGACTTGCAGCCTGTCTTTGGAGTTAAAACCATTGCATCACCCTGACGTCATGTGACTGCAGTTCAGGTGCTTGGCAACAAGTTGCATTTATGATGATTGCAGCATCTTGTGGCATATGATCACAATCTGTAACCTTCACAATGGCTTCCAATAAGCAAAGCCAATTGGGGAAGTTGAATTTGCTTAACAACTGCAGAATTCACTTGCCCTTGTGATGTGCTTAACAAACATGGTAAAAATGATCAGTTACACGATTACTTGCTTAACAACCGCATTACTTAGTAACTGAAATTTCAGTCCCAATTGTGGTCATAAGTTGAGAACTACCAGTACCAGAAACAGAAGACTAAAATATTCTGGCACTTTCCTGAGTTTTCAATAATTTCTCAAATCAATATTTTTAAAAATCCACTTTTTGATATAGTTCCAATACATCTGTGTCCTAGACAGCATACTTTTGGTTACATTTAATGTAAATTTTGTTCCATACTGTGATATATTAGAATTGGAAATAAATGTTATAAATATAAACTCCTCTATTTTTAGTGTTTTTTAAAATTTCTTGGGAGAGGTGGTTGTAAGATTTTCTTCTCAAGTACCAAAATATTTTGGCCAGCCTTAAATTCTTGCATTTGAGTTATGGGAAGAGCAACAGTGGTATTATACACTATTCTGCTTCAGACATATTTTTTGCATGCAAATAATAAAAACACCAATATCTTAATACACGTTACATACCAGATTTTCTTCACAGAGTTCTCTGAATTGGTAAAATTTTTGAGCCATGAGAAGCTGAGCACTACCAACTGCAGTTCGAATTTTACCTAAAACTTAAAAATAATCAAAGCATAAGACACCATTGTGATGTATTAATGTAAGCAAATATTGGATATCTCTCGATTGTTACAAAGCCAGATACAGATCTTAATTCAAGAGTGCGGCCTGTGGCCTATGGACTAATTTCAAATACTGTCTGCAAGCTATCCACATTAGTATCTGTGGGAAGAACATTTTTTCCCTTTTGGGTACTACGAGAGTGAGTGAAAGACAGAAAAGAGAATGGAATGTCAGAAGGAGAAATGGAGGAAGAGAGAGAATTAAAGAAAGTGAGTAAATGTGTACTATTACCCACTCCTGGTAGTTTCATTTAACTGCTGCGGACAGGAAGGCACTACAGAGAGTGATCAATTTGGCACAAGAAAACCATTGGTTGCCCTTCTAACATCACTGGATGACATTGCCAGGTCTCGCTGTTTCAGCAGAGTAAGGAAGATACTCAGAGATGATTCACACCCTGGTCAGGTCAGTGTCTCTTCGCACTTCTACCATCGGGCAGAAGACATCGAAGCTTAGCCAGCTGAACAAATAGGTTTTAAAATAGTTTCTATCCTTGGGCTGTCAGACTTTTAAACACAACCACAATCACTCCATGCACAGGCGGAAACATATTACTAGTTTTTCTTTTTCTTTTTCTTCCCCCCCCCAATTACTTGCATAGGGATTATTCTTTATGCTATTTATGTTGTTTGTATTTTTTGTCGTGGATTGCACCATTGAGGCTAAAACCAATTTCGTTGTATACATGATGTACAATGACAATAAAGGCTATACTACTATAGTTCAGTGGTGGGTTCCTCCCGGTTCTGCGGAGCCAGTAGTGCTGACGATACGACGTCACCGAACCTGTTCTGCCCCCCTGCCCCCTGCCCCCCCACCCCCGTGTTATTCTTACCTTTTATTTGGCCCCACCCCCAATTTATTGCTGCCTCCTGAGTCCCGGCTGATGGCTAGAAGAAAAAAAACTGTTTAAACCAGGGTGGATAAAAATCAATGATTTTTTAAAAAAAATTAAAAAAAATCAGATTTTTTAAATTTAAATCGGATTTTTTTGATTTTTATCAAATTTATTTTAATAAAAAACTTTTGGGGTAAAAATCTATCGTAAGATAGTTTTCTATTTAAGATACATAAATAATTTAGTTTATTCAGCATGAAATGGAGCTTAGTTATGTAGCATGAGGCTGTATATTCTGCAACATTGGGACTATCGGTGAGTCAAAAGTGGGTCAAAGGAGTAGCAGAGATGACAGTTGCTCTTTAAGAATTATGATTTAAATCGAGTTGATTTAAATCAAGCCTTTTTACTAGTGATTTAAATCATGATTTAAATTGTGATTTAAATCAACTCGATTTAAATCAAATCCACTCTGGTTTAAACTTTTGCTGCAGGGCTTCAAAGGGCCGCCCTACAGCTGATCAGTGTTAAAAGAAAAGAAATGAGTAGACTGGTGCCTGCAAAAAATAAATGGGTAGACCAGTGCCTGCACAAATACATGAGTAGATCGGTACAGCTCTGCAAGCAGTTAAAAGCCTGTTAGACCAGTACCTCTGCTAAATCCTGAATAATTGTCACATGACCATCAAGCCACGCCAACAAAATAAGCCACGCCCACAGAACCGGTAGTAAAAAAAATTAGAACCCAGTTCTAATTTTAGTTCCATGTCCAATGGTTGCTTAAAGTCAGCTCACCATTGATAACAGATTTCAATTAAGAAAATGCAGTCCTCTACAAGAAAAGATTGCCAATCCTTTCCAAATGCTACTCTTAAAAACCCACAGTTCATTTTAAAAGTGAACATACATTCCCAGTCACTGAAACTTCCTCCAAAATACACCAATTATCAAATGCAGGAATGCAAAAACAATGAAAACTCTCACATCAAAAAAATAATCAGCACTGTGTTTCAACTTGGCCTATGTACTTTAAAATTAATTGTATGGATAACACAATGGTCTCAAATATGCAGGTTCTTTTTCCAGTTCTGTTGCTTGTTGAATGATGAGGGATGATAGAAACTCAGTTCAACAATATCCAGAGAGTCACATGTAATCCTTCTGCTATTTGTCATTGAAACAATACAGTAATAGTCCAAAGAATGCAAAATATTTAATCAAAACTGAATCTGTGCTAAGTTCCCCACAGGCAACATATGTTTGGCTTGGCCAGATACATGGACTTCTGTAAAGTAGCAAGTTGTATAGTGCCAAGTTAAACAGATCTCGAAGCCAATGAAAAGGCAAATCTAACTAGGATACTATGAGTTGTGAACATATAGGAGGTCCAGTGGCTTGGATCCTAAATTGCTTCATGCCATTTTATTCCTGGAACCTCTCCTCCATTTGTAGCCCCCTGCACCTGATCTTAGATTTTCATAGTCATTCAGAATTGAAAATAATTATGTCCTTGATCCTAAAATATTCTCCAAATTTAAATGACGTTTGAAAGAAATCTCAAAAGCATCTGTACTCACTTCTGAGAATCTTATACATTTGGTAGAAGTTATGTCTTAGCTGCAAATGTTATGGCATAAGTTTAAAATTGCACACTTGTATTGTGGCTGTTGAGTGTGGGTTCATAGATGAATGCTAGAAGTCCTTGTGAAGTCACTTAGAGTATGTGCTGAGATGTTTAAAGTGACAAAATATTGGGGGATGATTATTATCACAGAGATGATCCCCACTCTAGCAGTTCTGGGTTTTTTTCTTTATGAGGGCCATTACAGCTATTGTTGATAAATTCTAAGGACTATCACATAAAACAGATGAGATATGAGGCACTTGTGGCACCATGACAAATACTCTAAACAACAACCCCCCCCCCACAAATCATAAAATACTAAGGTAGCAGTCTTACATATTCTAACTGGGGAGTAAGTTTCACTGAAAAAAAATCAATGAACTTTATGTCTGAGCAGACAAATGTCCAGTATATACATGCTTAGTATTAGTACACAGATTATTATATATCTTTTCCTTTGCAGGTCCTGGAAGCAGAGTTTTCTCCTTAGACAGACATCAACACCAAAAGGAAACAACTGTGAAGAGGGAAATGTAAATTCACACTACACAGCACAGGGAATTCTACACATAACTGCCATTTTCCCATTATTGTTTGGAAGGGTTGCGTGTCTAATTCCCTAGGCACTGTGCTGAAAATGTACCCCTTGGTGTGTCTAGTCTTTTATTCGTACTAATGTGCAAACCACTGAAGTGAAAGAAGCCTTCAATAGGGGGGAGGAGTTAATCGGAGAGCTTTCATGTGGTTCCCATTGTTATGAGAACCCTTCCCACTGCATCGACTTCAGAACAGCTGCCTCAGCTGGAGCTGGGCCATCTAACATTTCACAAGGCATTTCAAGAATTGAAAGGAAGGGCGAGGGAAATAGAAGGGAGACGGTCTCCCAGCTGTGCATTAGAGGAGAATTTTGCACAAAGCCAAAAATTGCTTGGGTGATTATACTGATAAGAGAAGTTGCTTAAAAATGTTTCATGATGCAATGTTGAACAATAGCTTGAATACTCCTTATTAAAACACTACTCTATAATATCCCAATACTTTCTGGAGAAAAGAAGAGTAAGGAAAATAGAATGTGTTGAGTCTTCCCATTCCAAATATTTAGTGATCTAAGACAAATTCTCAGATGACTATGCGATGAATTTTGCATTGAGTTAGTTCAACAGAACAATACTGAGGCCTTCCGCTCAGTAGGGTTTTCAGCACAGTACAGTCTTCATGCTTTCAGACTTCAAATCTATCCAGTGATTCCAGACAGTGAACTTTTGATGTTTGGCATGCAATGTACATGCATTCACACTTCTTATACCTACTTCTTATCGCAGTCTTTTCCAAATTTGAGTTTCCAGATGTGTCAGATTTAATTTCGTTAATACCCATTCCCAAATGCCAAAAATATGTAAACAACTCCAAAACCAATGCTGATATTTTATAAATCTCTGAACTGATATTGCCATATGTTCCTTTTGGACATGGATCTAACCCAAAGCCTACTGCAGTTTTGCCTTATACCTATTTCATCTCTGATTTCTTTTACATCAGCTAAGTGAAGTATACACCTACAAAACAAAATGCTTATCATGTATAATGTTTAAGAAGAGACAGTCCTAAACTTTTTTTTTTTTTATCAATAATCAAAGCCCATTCTGGAGAGATGCCTCCCATTCTGAGGCTTTCTCTGATAAACTTTGCTTGCCCATAGATAATTTCTTAATATGATGCAGGTAGAAGTAAAATTAAGCATATTTAATTCAGCTAAAATGTCACCTTATTTGTTTGCTGGGAAGAAAGAATGGATAGAAAAATCTATTCCACTAAGCTGCACCTTCTTAGAAGTAAGTGTCCATGTTCTAAAAGACAATGGATGGATAAAAACGTGCAATGAGCAGAAAACTAATTGAAGGCCCAGGAGTAGATATACCAAGCAAAAATCAAATCTAATCAGTTTATTGTCCAGTATATTAGTTTCAGCTATCTTGCTCTTATTTATTCAATAATCTACTAATAACAGATTTTTCTAAAGGGATAGACATATCTATTTAGCTGCTGGCATCATGTGCAAACTCTTGGTTCAAAAAGTTTTTTCTAAAACTTAATCAGTTTCCATGGTACATGTGGGTTCCTATGCAGATTTGGCAATTTTATGTTGATCATGAGCAATGACCTATGCTCAACAATTAATACAGACAGGCGTAGTTTTAATATGTTAGTTATTACCACTATTATGAATAAGCAATTTCAGAGGAAACTAACAAAATTTTAATGTAATAAAACATGTGCACAATTAACTAAAGAACTGTTTCCAGATGTTTTTAACTTAGCCCCTGACATTATAACCTGTTTTTATTTGCCACAGCGGGAGCAGCAGCAGCAGCAGTAACAACAAATTGCATTCATAACTGGAAACACTCTTTTCATTGTGACACTTTCTTTCTCTGAAAGATAATAACAAATATGTCCATGGAGCACACAAGACTCTGTCAAGCAGTCCTAAGCCATCTCCTCCAGACAGCTGTTGTACATAAGGAGGCATTGTCTGGAAAGGCTTGTATCGTATTACTCCTAGCTTCGGGGTGGGATGGGAGAACATTCACTCTGTCAGCTGCCAAGATATTGAGAAAATTTCAGTCTTTGCAAGTTACAGTAAGCCTCAGTGTGCTGTAGTGATTAAGACATAATAGATAAGCACAGGTCAGATAAAGGAGAAAGGGGGAGGAAGAGGAAGCTGTTTGAAGCCATTCTTAGCCATGGAAACTCCCTGTTGCTGTTGTGGGAAAGCATTGAAAGGAAGAAGGCTCTGCATTAGGATTTTGCATTTGAAGTATGACATTTTATTCAGAATGTGCATGGACAAAAACCTTTGTAAAATCTGTTGGAAATGCAATGCATTTTTCTAGGTGTAAACTGCAGGGGGCTATTACATCACCCCCCACAGGAAACAGTTGTTTTAAGGTGTTCCTAACATGTGCTATATTTTTCCCAATAATCTAATATTGGGAATATTAGTGAAGTAAAATGAAGTAAATGCAAAAAAGCAATAACACGTATGCAAGAAAGGGAATTACAAAATGTATACAGGTAGCCCTTGACTTACAACTGTTCATTTAGTGACCATTCGAAGTTACAATGTCATTGAAAAAAGTGACTTATGACTATTTTTCACACTTACGACCATTGCAGCATCCCCATGGTCACATGATCAAAATTCAGACAGTTGGAAACTGACTCATATTTATGATGGTTGCAGGGTCCCCGGAATATGTGACCACCTTTTGCGAACTTCAGACAAGCAAAGTCAATGGGGAAACCAGATTCACTTAACAGCCATGGTACTAATTTAATAATTGCAGTGATTCAGTTAACAACTGTGGAAAGAAAAGTTGTAAAATGGGGCAAAACTCACAAATGTCTTGCTTAACAACATAAATTTTGGCCTAAATTGTGGTCATAAGTTGATGACTACTTGCACAATGTCAGGCAAATGCTGTGTCAGATTTGGGTTAGTGTTAGGATGCAAGAATGTAAAAGTGTCATTTGTAATGGAGTCAGCACACACTGGTTGTCACTTTGCTATCACTTCAATTGGCTATGGATGTTAGCGAAATGCACAGTGATTTTTGTGGGACTTTTGGCACTAGAAATATATTTTGAGAAATTACATGAGGTATTGGTTTTCCAATCTTTAGATTTTGATTTGAAAGATAACAGAATAAAGGCAACTTCTCTTGTTAGCATTGGAATTACTTACTTTCATCTGGAAGATGATTTTCTTGTTCTTCTCTCTCCATTTGTTGGCACCAACCTTCCATACGTTCTCTTTCTGCTTGAAGAAGCTTCAGAAACCAGTGTCCATCTCTGTGGCACACGGACCTTTGTACAGCTTCAATTGGATCTTCAGTTATAGAATCAATCCAAGGATCCGGTGGAGGTAAAATGGAAGGATCAAAATCAGTGTCAAAGTCATCATCTACTGCACATGCATGATAATGGTTTCCTGAGCCCTGTATGCTAACAGTGGAAGTGCTGATATCTCGGGAATATTGTCTCGACATTGGCCCAGAATATGATTGATCTTCTTGAGGGTCCATGGACATTTCAAAGTTCTCATGGAAATCCATGTCTGCTTGAACAGCTGTTGTAACACTATTTGATCGCGTAAACCTGCGGAAACTGAACAACACAAAACAGAAAGTTTAACAATGCAGACGTTCACAAGCAGCTATACTTTACAGACAAACATGCAACTGTACAATAGGGTAGCTTTAAATTCTACCAAATATTTTATAACATCAGCAATTGAAATAAATATATTTTCTTTTTATAAGGGTAATAATGGCTTAGGTTTTGCATGATTATGAATTAAAATATTCATATTAACCCTTGATTTTACATGTAATTCATTTTAGGTTTGAATCATAGTGATAATTCATTAGGATATCCTTGAAAGTTTGACTTTTGTTTAATATCTAATGGTATTCATTTTGTGTGTGGTAGTGGTAAAAAGTAGTGGTAAAAAAGACAGAATTGAGAAAGGACAGAAATTAATATTTTCTCAGGATTCTCCCACCTTACTGCTACCCCCACATCTTGTAGACCAAAATCACTGGAATCTTTCCACAGGTGAATGACTGAGAACAATTATTAGATTTCTATGCATGACAATATTTAGAATATTGTCCCTCTTTCGTCATTCAAGGCACAGAAATTGCATAACATTGCCAGTTCTACCTCTTCTCATTTTCCTTACATTTGATTATTTCTGTATTTCTGTATCATCATAGGGCAGTATCTACTGTTACTGATTTCACTTGAATTTCTATAAAATAGCTAGAAATTTCCATACAGTATAATTGAACTGAATCAGTAATACTCGGACATAGACACAAAGAGCAAGGTTTTCCCCCAGTGACTCCTACTATCCTAGCTTTTTGTTGTCCATGTCTAGAGGGTAACTGCAATGAAGACCTTTCTCTTCCCATAGAGTCTTTTCACAGCAAATGAGAACTCTGTAAATGTCATGATCTCAATAGATGGAGAGTCTCAAAAGATTAATAGGCTCTTCATTGCAGACATTAATTCTTTACAAGCAGAAGGGAAGAGAGTGGGGTAGGTTTAGCATAGTGACTTAATAGCGCTAACAGGTCTAAGCATGTGTATCTAGGAATAACGGCCAATGAACTTAATGGGACTTCCTACAAAGTAAGTGCATGTAGTTTTCTTCAGTTATAGTCCAGCACAAAGGAGTCATCATTTCCTTTTATGCAAATAGGGGAAAACAAAGCAGTCCAATATGAAAAGAAGCTTTTCTGCAGCTTCCTTCCCAATTTCCATAGCAGCAGCCCAGAAACGTTCACCTGAGATGAAGATTAAGCATTCTTAAACTCACTGGGATTTATAGCAAAGTAAACATATATGGGTTTATACTTTTTCAGGCCAGTTTTTAAAAGTTTCTCTATAAGTGGTGGGTAGCTTTGTGGGGAAGAGAATGGTTTGTGTAAATGTGTAGGGTGGAATAATTGATATTAAAAGTGAGGTAAAATTAATTTCAATCAAAAGTCAGTAATATTATGGTTTGACTTGTCCGTGGTTTTTTTTTTTTAAATCGATAGATATAAATATAGATATACAACTGTGTCATATGCACACAAATTCTTAAGACTGGCTTCATTGGGAAATGGTAACTTTAGATGATATATGCAGGTAGCTGGGCACTAAACATAATTTGAGTGTGTACGTTTATAAACAGTATTTTCTTGATAGTGGTTCACCTTAAATTCAGTCATTTTTTAGATGAAAGTGATAATTTTCTATGTTTAAATTAAGAAAATTAAAAAGACTAGTTCTAATTAAAATACTGATGCTATTCGGAATGGCTGGTGCACAACTTTCATATGGAACAGTGAGAAAAACATGCTACATAAAACTACAACATTTACTCCTTTTGATCTCAAATTACAAATTTGCAATATGCAATTTATAACTCCATGGGGTTTGGAACTAATTTAGTTTCTTATTAAAGCCCATCTCCATGACTTTGTAGCTTCTTCTTATTGGCAACCACTGTGAGAACTGGATACCCATTGGGGGAAGGAGGGTCAAAATGTCAAAATAAAGGTGTGACTGGATATTTACGTTTGTTGCATCTGTTAAAAGAGGTGGAGCTTCAATCATCTAGTTGCTACTGACTTTCCAATCCCTGAGGGATCATCAGACTGACCCTGAGTGTTTTGAAAGTGGCAGTGACAGTGATGGTTAAGTTGAAGTGAAGTTTACATGCAGTGGGTCAAATAGTTATGCATGGAACTTGATTTGTTTATGTGACACTTCTACAGTGAGAGTTGCAGTGGTTGCCAGGTGGCTTCTGGGTGCAATGCAAGGTGCTGGGTGTCACCTTTAAAGTTCTACATCACAAGTGTCAAACTCGCTGCATCACGTTGCCATCACGTGATGTACTGCGACTTTTTTCCCTTCGCAGAGCTGGGGAGGGCATGGCCTTCACATGACGCATCTGCCCTGCGAACTGCCAGTTTGACATCTCAGAATCTACATGATTCAAAATTTGTACAAGACTGTCAATTTTACAGAGACTGTCAATTCAGAATGGAATCTGTCATTCTGGAAGAGAATTAGAAGAGAAGGCTTCTCCAGAATTAGATCCCTGGGCATTGTTGTCATTGGAGATCAAGGGGGACAGCCCTCCCCATTGTTACCTCCTTCTTTGGAACAGCAAATCCATAGAGATTAGGGTAGCTTTAAGCCTTCTAGGATTCTGATGGCCATCAAGATTTGGTTGTTCTAGAGAGTTTTTGTGGGAATGCTGTGAATTTCATTGCCTCTTAGAAAAGAGATACCAGTTGACTATAGTATAATTGTTCTTAAATTCTGTTACTATATATTGGTGGATGAAACTATGACCGTGTTTGCAATCTTACTTCAGCTTTCCTTATTTATACAGACCTGCAAAGATTTGGGAGGATTCTCACAAAGTTAATTTTTTATTACAGTAGTAACTTCAATAATGAGGCAGTCACTAAATGACGACAATCTGTTTTGAGTTTTCTGCCATAAGGATTCATTGAACAGATAATATAAATGGACTTCAAAAAAATTCACACAATAGAATTTTGTGTTTTGATTTTTCATCAAACACAAAATACAAATTCTATGAACCTCTATGAAGATACAGTACTGGAGTCAGGAGTTGTATTTTAAAACAAGGAATGTATCCCTCAGTTTTGAGGTTCAACTTGTATAACGAAAGACAGGCTGTGTTGAATATGTAATAAGAAGTGACCCAATTTTGTATGCCTTTGTATTTATTTATACAACACTGTGGCTAAGCCTTGCTGAGTGGACTGTTCTTGGCACTGAAGCATGGAGCTACAATGGAGATTCATGTAATACAATTTGATAAAAGAACAGAAAAATTCTTTCACTAATATTAACACAATGTGAATCCTCAAACATATCTATGATGACCTAGATTACTGTTGCTATTTTCATGAACAAAAAAGAAACAATACGATGACATATACAAATCTTTGTACAATAAAACTTCATTACTGACTTAGAGGCCTCCCAGTTGTTAATAAACCAATATGAGTTTATTAGGTACAGTAGAACCTCTGGTCACGACCATAATTTGTTCCATAACTTTGGTTGCAAACTGATTTGGTCATGACCTGAACCTAATTTTGGAAATTTGGCACTTACAAAAAAATGGTGTGAAAGGGAAAATCGGCTGCAGAAAAAAAAAGTGAATCTTTTGGTCGGAACCCGATTTGGTTGTGGTCAGAAGCGTTCGTGACCAGAGGTTCTACTGTATGGCTATATATGGCTCCAAACATACCAGTGATTAGAAGTGAATATTCCTGCACAAACACACATCAGCAATCAGGAATAACTTTCCAAGCCACGGACAAACTTGGAAAAACCACGGCTGCTTTAATGATTTAAAGAGAGCCCTTTCAAATGCTTTGAACAATGCTACAGATCAGAGTGATAATTTTATCCAATTCTTTACTGCAGATCTCCATTCTAAATGTAGGAAGAGAGCTTGCAAAGACTAAGCTGGAATTATTGGTCCATTGCTTTATCAATGAGGCCTGCACTCATTAATGTATTGCCACCTGTAATCCTTCTATCTTAAATTAAATTTTCACAATTAAAAAAATATTTGTTAAGAACTTGGCATGCTCAGCCTGATCCAGCTTAGTTATATCATTTGTGAAGATCTGGACTAGATATAAAGATCTTGCTGTCAGTGGCATATTGCGTTACCAGCTTTATCAATGTTCTTATATTGTTCTTAGAGTAAAATCCCAACAATTTCCTCACTTTGTTGCTCTTTGAACATCTGTACCTTTGCATTCATTCATGCCCTGCAGGCAGGATATTATATGGTATAATAATTACAACCTCTGATTACTATGACAGTTACTTGGCCTACGGTGCAGAAAATTATGAAACCATGGACTGACTAAATTCCTATAGAACACAAAACAGCCTATTCCAAATAGTAGCAGCAAACCTATGTTTCAGGCTCTTTGTTTAATAACCCCTAAAGAAGAAGTCAAACAAGATTCTTCTTTTGCACAACAGTGCCAAACAATTTATAGTTGTTTTTGGCTATTATGTACTTGTTTATCATGTCTTGAAATTTTAATCACAAACATTTATATCAATTGGCTGACTTATAGCTGAAACAAATACATGTGTAACTGAGCTGAGCTGAAGTTACAGATGGTAAATAGCCACAGTACTGATGATTTCAACCTTCCTCGTTATTATCATTTAGAACAGATGGTGGTTACCGGATAAGTCCCAGAGAATGATAGCGAGATGAAGCAGGTAATGAAAAATTTTCAGTTGATGAAACCACAGTTGCTGAAAATTTGCAAGTTCTCTGCTCTCTTGTTTATTTTTAAATTGTAGGCAAAACTGTAGGTAACTTTTAAAGGAAAACCTTGTGTGCAAGGACAAGATTGCATCTGCAATCTTGATGAGAATCACTGTGGATTACGTCTGTGAGAGATTATGTCAAAGTTTATCTAAAAGGCAACCCACTCTCAGCTGCTATTCATGCTTTTTATCAATCAACATCCAGGCTAATTACTCATAGGAAATACCTTTCCTACACCAGGTAGACAGTGACATTATTCTAAATTATTCAATGCTTTCATTTCATGGCATGCTGGTAGCTGTCAGTGACTGATTGGTTGATTTTTAAGATACGATTGGACCAAATAATGCTTAGATGGAAGATCACTGGAAATCCAAGGCTAGGGTTGCCTTGGTGGCGCAGCAGACTAAAGTGCTGTTAAGTAGCGCCAGCTGCCTGCAATTACTGCAAGTTCAAATCTCACCAGGCTCAAGGTTGACTCAGCCTTCCATCCTTTCAAGATAGGTAAAATGAGGACCCGGATTGTGGGGGCAATAACCTGACTTTGTATAAAAAAGAACACCGCTTAGGGGGGGCGGAAAAGTATGAAGGCTATTGCTTAACGCATTGTAAGCCGCCCTGAGTCTCCGGAAAAGGGCGGCATATAAATCGAACCAATAAATAAATACTGAGAACTTCAAAACACATCCCAGCAGGTCAAGGGCATCCTCCTATAATTGCAGTTTCATATGTCAATCAGAAACTGAGACTTAAGTCTGACTTAAATTGTAAGCAATATGCATTCAGAAGTAAATCCTAGACTTCTGGGACTTGCTTCCATGTAAATAATGCAAAAAGCATATTTTGTCAATAAATTATTGACATAGTGGCCTAAAGCTAATAATCTTTATCCCACAAACTAGCACAATTTAGGTATCATCAGGGAGCCAAAAGGTCTTAATTAAATCACTAGCAAAATACAAAAGTTGTTGAATTGGAGTGCCATATTATGACTTAGAAACTGGATGCCATTCTGCAATTCTAAATGCCAATAATTGGGAGATGTTACACTGAAGTTGAAAAATGTTTCCAATTAAGATAGTCCAGAGGCAAACAGCTTAAGAAAAAGATGTGTGTGTGTGTGAGTGTGTGTGTGTGTGTGTTAAGTGTGTTAAGTGTGTTATATATATGCGTTCAAAAGCCCGATTGGGCTTATTATCAGGGGATGTCTTATTTTGGGGAAAACAGGGTATATATAATCACACAACAGACAGTTTTTGTGGCTCAACAGTTTGAAATTTCTATTTTTTGTTCCAAATAAAGAATTATTGAGTAACACCAGCCAGTGTGAGGTACAAATAGTACTGAATTATGACCAAATTGAGCCCAAGTGAATCACTGCAGTTGTTAAGTTAGTAAAATGGGTGCTAAGTGAATCTGGCTTCCCCATTTACTTTGTCAGGAGGTTGCAAAAGGGGATCACATGTCACAGGACACTGAACTGTCAGAAATACATGCCAGTTGCCAAGCATCCAAAATCTGATCACGTGACCATGGAAATGCTACAATGTTCATAAGTGTGAAAAATAGTCATGGTGACTTTTTTCAGTGCCACTGTAACTTCGAATGGTCACTAAACAAACTGTTGTAACTCAAGGACTACCTGTCATGATTACAGTGTTAGACTATGCCAGCAGATCTAGCTATCAAAGTGCTGCAAGGGCAAAATGACCTTAAGTAATCAGTGAGTTGTAAATAAATCTTTATTTTTTATCATAGGAATAATTATCCACATGCTCAAGTATCACTGCAGGAAATTCTGCCATCTCCAAATTAAGGGCTGGGTTTACGCTATGTGGATGTCTACAGTGTGCTGAAAATTTATTGTGTGCTATGCATTAATATACTTTACTTGTCTGAAAAACGGCTCAAATTTAGGATGATGTCTCCTCACAAAAGGAAGATTACATAGAAATGTAATCTTTTTCTAGTCTATGCTGCTAAATTTTTGGATATTTTGAGATTATTATAATTTAATTCATAGATTTTTTTTTAGGTAAATCAATTAAAAACTACATGTTCAAGTTCTATTACAGCAATATTAGAAGAAATGGCTGAATCAGACAATCAGACAGAGAGTTAGCAGTTGGACATATGCCTTGATAATCACCACTGTATAGACATTTGTATTCTCTAACATTGGCCTTAAAATAAGAAAGAGACCTGAAGAGAATTTCAGTTTATCTACAGGGAATACAGAAATAGAACCTGGACTTCTCAGTATTTCATGGGTTTTTTTTTTTAACTATCATCAATGTAGCTGCAGATTATTGATAACACACTTAGGATATAAAATTAATATTTGCTTACCATTTTTCCTCCTCTACTTGAACACCTATGGATTGGAACTTACTGCACACTCTGGTTTCGCCGGAGCTAGAGGATTCATCTCCACCATCAACCTGCAGAACAACCAAATGAAAATAGAGTTAAAGGCAACGTGTAACTTTATTTGAAAATGTGTTCTTTAAAAACTGTATCTTACCACTTTATCTCTGTTTTACTGTTGTTCTGTTTTAAAGCTCCTATATAAGACAGGATGAAATTATTGCAAATTTTCAGCAAGATTTCAATATATTATTTAGAAAATGAATCAATTTGATTCCTGCACTAAATTATATCTTGTCTATATTTTGTCAAAGAGGTGTAACTTATGGTTCTAACTTGCACCAAAAGTGCTTTACTTAAAAGTAAAGAAACTCTATTATCATTAGAATGTACATAGGGTTCCCTGTAACTGAATGTACATTCCATGCATTTGTTTAACTAATTGGTAAATGTATTTAGAATATCAACTGTGGACAATGAAGCATTTTTCTTTAAGGAGAATATACAATATACTATTATTTACCTTTCTGAAAGGGGTTTACCTCATATACAGTGATTTAGATCTTAAAAATAACAAAAAATGTCACAGGAGTAGAACATTATTTTTAGCTGTTCTTCAGATGCAGCTCTGTAGTTCCCCCGTTCTTTACAGTCACACCTGAAGACCAGAAAGTGTTCCAGAATGGCAATCATATAGTAGGTGGGTTTGAGTCTAGGCTATAATTGACAGAAAATGGAAAGTGCTCTATTGTATATAAGACACTGTATCCAGGATGAGAAGAATGAGAATCAATATCATACAATGGATATTGGAGACCAGTTCAGGATCCTATTTGACCACGAAGTTTACTGGATGATTTTAAATCAACCACTACCTCTCAGCTTAACCTCCTTGTAGATTTGCTGTAGGAAATTACTACTTATGATTCTTTAAACATTTTGGAGAAAGACAGCATGTACATTCAAAAATAATGGGTAGTTTGCTTATCTGCTTATTCCTTTTTTTAAGGGCAAATGTGTAACTAGCTTCATAGTAAGATCCATTTTTAAAATGCCATCTATGCTCATGTATCTATTGAATATTAAATTTCTTAGAATTTGTTTGTTTCCTTGGACAAACCTATAGTTGAGGAGAAACACTGCTGGTATAACATCATCTTCTCTGGAAAACTTCACTGTAATATGAAATCCAAATTCCAAATAAGAAACAGGAGTAAATGTATATATTAACAACACAAGGTATCAGAGAAAGAGTTACAATGAGTTTTTCTACTGTACTTCCCAAGAACTTGCTACCTGTTCTCCCTTCCTACTTTTGTGTACATAATTAAGCATTTTGAGACTGCAAATAATATATTGCTAGTTTTCTTCCTCTCTTTCCTTTCCACATAAATAAACTATAGCCTTAAGTGGCTTGATAGTTGTTTGAACAACAATTCTAACTTTTTGTACATCCCAGTTTAATAGCATATTTACCACAATGAAAAGAAAAGAGGTTACTTGAATTGTTAACAGCCTGCCCAGCTGTGATTGGTAATTTATTTAAAAAGCAACGTTCTGAAGATAAATAGTAAGATAACAAAGAATAGTTTGCCTTAATTCTAAGTATGGCAAATAATACTAACTGTAGCTCTGGTGTAATAAAGGAACCGTATCTCATTTATATTCTTTCTTGGACTTTAGTTAAGTTTTATTTGTTGAATTTCTTGCTCTGCCAGTGTAATAAAAATCTAATCTATTTGTATAAGGAGTGACAACTGAGATAATTTGACAGGTGTTTTTAGGGAGCCAGATTAGAATCAGAGGAGCTGGATGAAAACTTTTGTTCAGCCACTAAACTCACTTGGGCATAATCCGAAAGCTGTGGCAAGAATGAAATTGGAGGGAAAAAAACCTCTCATGTGCCATCCTTGGTTGCTTAGACAAAGAGTGGATAAAATACAACAATAGAAACAACAAGATGAACTACCACTGCTTGCTAGGCTGCCCTTTCACCTTGTTCAGAAACTTTCCTAGAGCCCCTGCAACAGTTCTGTCTGCTTTGTAGATTCTGGAACCATTTGTAACAGCAATTTTTTTGTTGTTGTTGTTGAGGATTGTTCCATTTGATCTTGTGCATTGCTCTGGATCTGTATTTCAACTGGAAAGGGCACTTAGCTTCAAAATGCAAAGGATCACCCAGGTAAATACTTCAGCCCATGGTGAAGCTGGTCATCTTAGGGAGAAAGTTAGTTGCTCATCAGTTTGAATAAACTCAGAGTATAATTTATTTAAACAGGGTGAATCAGACAGATCATCCTTGGGCCCTCCCTGCTGATTTAACAGCTAAATAGAACAAAGCTGCTGCACTGAAGTGAGTAACATGTGATGCATGAATAAGCAGTGACAATTCAGCTAAACTGGCAGAAAACATGTCTCTGGTGATAGTGCAGTGTAAATCACTGCTTTACACATTCCCTTTCAATGATTTCATTCATGATTTCCTCACTCCTGCAGGGTTATGAATCAGAGGTTTAGGTTTCTATGTGCTCATTCAAATAAGAATATATTAAACAGCCAGAAGCTTCAATAAATCGTTACATATAATGAATAAAAACTGAAGGGCTTAAAGTGATTCTAATTGGCATATGAGTTACCTAAACCAAAGTAAAACAGGGGAACTACCAAAACCAAGAGTTTAATGATTGGACTGTCCGAGTGGCTGAAAAATGACTCTCAATACCAGTTAAGACACTGAACTGTAATATAGTCCCTTATTTTGTTCATACCTGAATTCCAATGGATAGACATCTGTTTTTCTTGAAATGATCTCTTTTTCTGTCATCTGCAGTTATTGTTGCAATGGCGGTAGTGGTGGTGACAGTAGCTGTGTTGTTGCCCATATGTTGACTGGCAGGACCATGGATCTGTGCGTTAGCTGCTTCAATAGCAGCAGTGAGTGCTTTCATACTGTCCAAGCTTTCAGTAGAATTGCTAAGTCCTGACTGACTGATATCTCCCCTTGGTCCATGTCCATCCATGTAGGCATCTTGGGCAGATTCTGTGCTGCTCTGGGCTGTGATGGAGATAAAAGGTTTGGTGGTGGTTCTTGGTGGGACAGGAGGCGGTGTCTTCTTATAGGTGGTAATACAAGAGGAAACTACAATGCAAACACATATGGACATATGTAATTAGTATTCTTTTTTCATAAACACATAATAACAATTTGTTTATACCAGAATGGAAAACTTTCTACCATAAAGTCACTAAAACTTTGTGACCAAGCTCAGAAACGCAGAAAGACGCCTCCTAAAACACTTTTTAAAAATTGCATTGTTTAAATATGGTTAATATACAGAGAATTAGACTTTGTTGGTTTAATACATATCTGTTTATAATATTTATAATTACCATTACACAGATATGATAAACTACTAATCCCATTCAAATAAGACATTATTTATACTAACCATACTCAAGAGGCAGAAGCACTTTATCATATAATTTTAACTGTACATCTCTGTGCTGCCCTATTTGCATAAAACATAACTGAATTATAGAATGTTCTGTTTATTCTACCATGTTTCCCCAAAAATAAGCCCTCCCCAAAAATAAACTCTCCCCCCAAAATAAGCCCTCCTCTGAAAATAAGTCATCCCCAAAAATATTTAAATGCATGCACAGCCAGTCTGGTTAGGGTTAGAGAGACAGAACTCAAAATCAGGTAAGACGGCATGTGCCCCAAAATAATAACACCTTCCCGAAAATAAGGCCAAGTGCTTATTTCAGAGTTCAAAAAAATATAAGACAGGATCTTATTTTTGGGGAAACATGGTATTCTGTTCTAACCAAGGTCATTCTGGCATTACAGTAATACTTCAAATTCAAATAATTCTGCTTCTTGAAAATTTTGATAGTGATAATTAAACAAAAAATATTTGAACAACAATGGATATAGATTTTAATGTTCTATGAATCAGTTCAAAGTAAGTGAATGTTAAAATAAGAAGGTAAGTGAAATAATTTCTGCTTATATCTACAAACAAGTTTTTCATTTCAGAATTCTTTTATACTTGTCATTAGGCATTAAAAAAAAACCTACACTCCCTTTTGGACAACATATTCTGATATATGTTAATATAGTATATATTAATACAGTGCAAGTATTCCTCGGCTTATGACCATTTGTTCAGTGACCCTTCAAAGTTACAATAGTGCTGAATGAATGGTACTTATCCTTGTCTTTGGAGTTTCCGCCATCACAGCTTTCCTGCAGTCACATAATCATGATCTGGGCACTCAGTGCTTGGCTTGTGATTAGGATACAGCAGAAAATCAAGGACATGATTTCCAATGTTCCCTGCTGGCTTCTCACAAGTCAGCAGGAAGTTGGAATCACGCGGGGTACTTGCTTAATGACCCACATGGTCCTTGCTTAATAATGGTAACTTAGACTGCCAGAATTGCCACCGCTGGGTGGCACACTGAAGTGACATTGTGCTTTGTACTTTATGATTGTTGCTTAATGATGGCAATTGCAGTTCTAATTGCCATTGTAAAGTGAGGAGTACAATATATCTAATATATTATATATCAGTGTAATAAATTGTGTTATTGTATATATATATATATATGACAATGCAAATTTAATTAGGCAGGTAATACAAATCTGAATATGTTTTAATTTTCAGACATGTATTTACTTATTTGTGACTGAAAGTACAAGCTCACAAGTTGATAAGAACTCATTTTTGTTTTCCACTGACCAATATACTCTTTAGAAACTCCTTTCATTTCCAGTTTCATATTTGCTCAAATTCAAATGCTAAAAGAAAGAATTGAACTTTTTATAATTAGTATATGGTCTCCTATCAGTCTTCCCATTATCTTTTTGCAGAACAAAGCAATAATTCACTTTCTCTTATGAAATATTATATACAGATACCCACATCCACCCACAAATATTAAAGAGATTCTTGTAAATACTTCTGAGTTTGTCAGAAATCCTTCAGTTAATACAACGTTCAATTAATGTTATGTATTAAGACAAGAGGAACAGGAAGAGAAAGCTACAAAAGGAAGGCTGTTTGAATGCAATCCTTTAGATAATGCAATCTTTTAGTTCCTGAAGTTACATATAAAGTTCAGAAGCAGACAGAAAGCAAATCGTAATGTGGGTGGAGTGCAGGGGCAGAAAGGTGGGTGAAAAACCTCAGGCTTTTCTACTGGAAATGATGCACACTATTTGCCAGTCCTGTGCTGGAACTACAAAAAAAGAAGCCAAAAGCTCCAGTGGAAGCTTCTAAAGGTCAGCACTGGCCAGAGATCTTCAGGTGCCTAAGCGCTAAGAAGCAAATGGAGTCCATGCCTTGGATTTATTTCTAAACACTCCAAGATCCTAGCAACTTGAATCATGGCAACATGCTGATTCTTTAAAAGGCATTTCATTTTATGTAAACGGCAACATTTTAAAAAAGGTGTTTTTTTTAAAAAAAGAGATGCAATAATTTTGTTGTTGTTGTTCTGGAGCCAAGTGAAATTGGCAGGGCAAGGCAACTGCAAGGCAATGTGTGAAATCTTCACAGAAAAGGACCCACTCCCTTTTTGGCTAGGGTAAATGATAGTCAAAACAAATGACAGCCAGATCAACTAAATGGAGAGAGGTGGCTAATAAACCAGCTGCTTTTAGAAAACCTGTACATTCTGCAGATAGAGTTACTTTCCTTCTTCCTTCTCTTGCTTGCTCAAATGCAAAAATGGGAAAAGCAAGAGTTCATGTGTCATTTTCTCTTAACCTGGTATGTTCCACTATGTTGTGCATAACATCAATCTTAATCTTCTCATAATTCTTAAAACAACTAAATGGGGATTTTTAAATTTCAGTTATGTTACCTGAAGGGCAAATTTTTAGACCAAGAGGAAATTTCTTTAGCAGTTAGTGTATTTAGATAACTTAGTCATGGGGCAGGAATTTGAAAAAAGGAGTGCCAGTCATTAATTACAAAAGAAAATAAAGTTAAAAGTACAAATATACACACATACTGTACAGCTGTTATGAACTGTGAAGCACAGCCTTGCACAATCCATGAATCACAAATCTAGGAGATATGGTGTGCACCAGATTGAGAAGTTTAATTATGTTCTGAAGATGACGGAATGCTAAATAAATAAAAATGATGAAAATGACCAAGAGGTTTATTCATAGAGGAGCCAGAGAAAAATAAAGACAATATTCCTATTATTCCATCAAAAGCTCTCAGTTTTGCCTGGTTTCAGGAAATGAAACTTTATGCCACTTTCCATGACATAATAAAAAGTTTGGCTAACAGATATATAATAGAATAATATACAAAACAGCTCTGTTAACTCAAGAGTTCTGGCTGAACAGAAGGCTGGTGTTTAAGCTGACTAGAAGAGAAAGTAGCGTATGTTTAAAAAGGTGGAAGTCTATATACACAAATTTGAGAAACAGTGAAAGATTGACTGTATTTATGAGCTGGGTACTGATAGGAAATACTAAAATATTGCAAACTTTTATTTAGGAACGACCAGAGTAGAAAATAACAGAAAGCATGTGGAAGTCATATACAAGAGAAAAAGAGGCAAATTTGAAAAAGAAAAAAAAACAACATTTATTTTGTATTTCAGCTGAGAGTTACTAGCATGGAAAGGCTTAGTGGCTGGCAGTTCAAAGGCTTTGAATTTTAGGGCTCAGGTGGTTGCAAATTACTTTATACTTGGCAGAAAAAGAGCAGTTTATTGGTGCCTTGATTTGTTTATTTTAGCAGCTGTGTAAATGGAGATGTTTGTCAGTTCTCAGCAAGAAAGAAGTGAAGATTGTTGAAAAGAAACAATACCTAACAAGACATTTTTTTAAATTAAATCATTTTATTACATTTGACATATACTCTCTCATTATAGAAAACCAGTCTGGTATAGCGGTTAAGGCATCAGGCTAGAAACTGGGAGACTGAAGTCTAGTCTTGCCTTAGGCATAAAGTCAACTGGGTGACCTTGTCCCAGTCACTCTCTCTCAGCTGAGAAAGAGGTAACTGCAAACCACTTCCAAATTCTTGCCAAGGCAGTCTCAGTGACTTTTTCAGGCTGTCACCAGGAGTGAACAAAACTGATTTAAAGGCAAATATTCTTTCTCACAACTGTTTGTCTTTCATTATACCTGTATGCAAATATTATGGTGGAATGTAGTATGGAGTCCCAGTAGGGAGGGGCTGTCTCCCAGAGGGCAAAGAGGCAGCAGAGCTTCAAATGTCTAATAGGCAGGAAGAGAGCAAAGACAGTTCCGCTCTAGCAGTTCATAGAGTATATCTATAGTTCTGCAAGATAATTGTTTTAGTCTGGCAAGATTTCTGTTTGTAGGCAAACAATAGAATGGAAACTACTCAGAAATTACATGTTGTTCTTCATTCTTAGGTATGACAATATACACAGCAGTTCAGAATGACATGCTATGTTTTATAAACACATGATTTAGAAAAACTATTTGTTGTCTTTGTGATGCAAGAAGACCCTTGGTATTTAGATACATCAAACAGATTGGCAATAGATCAGTTTACAATCTAAAAAAGAAGAAACCAAGATATAAAGTTCAAGTTGTATCAATATTTTGTAAGAAAAAAAAAACATTTAGAGTATGTACTTTGCAAGTACATTAATCTGCTACTTGTATTAATGATAGTAGTCAGTTTTAGTTTCCCCCCCGAAATACATTAAACACAAGTTCAGGATTCTTAATGCCCAGAAATAACTACAGTATCACACCTTTGTCCAGGATAGTAGATTCCTGGTTAAATCTGAATACCAACTACACAAAAATGATCCCTATTGATAATTCAATTGTGATCACCTCAGGACCCAGATAAAACCATTCTAATAAATCCAATAATCTATTGTACAATATCTTAGTTAATGCCAACTAAGTAACCCTCTCTATTGCTTCAGCAAGTAAAAGATTCAATCAAAGGACTAGGGAACCTAGGTTACATGAAGGTTGCCAAGCCAACGTTGGCATTAACAATGAATGTGCTAAGTGAATAGCTTTCCATTTGCTTTTTCTCTTAGGCCTATCTCTTGCCATAACAAAGGAGCTTGGCACATGTAAAGAAGTGTGAAGAACTCTCCGAAGATAGACTCACTACATGT